ATTAAATATTATAAAATAGGTTTAAACCCTATTATCTTAAACATAAAGCAATATAGTTATAGTTAATTATATATTAATAAGCTTAAAAAGTATAGTTTATAATAATAAAATTAAAGTTTTAAAATAACTTAACCAATTATTATTAAATACTTTAAAGGTTAATAAATTAATAAATAATTAATTAATTAACTTATTTAACCTAACTTAACTTAGCTTAGCCCTATTTACCCTTATAACCAATCTTATAATAACCTTATATTATAAAAGCTTACCTTTACCTTTAACTATTAATAATAATATACATTTTATAATTTATATTATAAAATTAATATTTTTAAATTCTTTATAATTAATATTATTAATTTATATTAATTTTATTATAATATTAATAATTTTAAATAATTATAAACTATAGGAAGGTTTACCAGCCTACCTATTTTAAGCTTTAAGGTATTAAGCTATTATTTAAATATTTTAACTTAGGACCCTTAAGCACCTTATATAACGCATATTATATTTAAGGGTATAAATTAACCGTTTTTATATTTTTTAAACTTTTAATTATTTATTAAATTAACTTTTAAGCTATAAAGTTATTTATATAGCTTCCTTTAAGCTTAGGTATAACTATTCCTATTATTATCCCTATTATTACTTCCACCATTACTTTCCTATATATTTTATTAACCTTATACTTAATTAATTAATAATATTATATATAATATAATTAATATTATAAAACTTAAATTTTTAAAATTAATATATTAAAGGTTATATATATATATAACTTTTATTAACTTTTAAAAGATTTATTATATATATTATATTTTGCTTAAATTATTAATTCCTTATTTAATTATAATTATAATCCTATAACTAACCCATTTTATTTATTAATAATACTATATATAATATAATTAATATTATAAAACTTAAATTTTTAAAATTAATTTATTAAAAGCTTTATATATATATAACTTTTATAAGTTTTTAAAAGATTTAATATATAAGTTAAATTTTTATTTAAATTATTTATTTTTTATTTAATTATAATTATAATTCTATAATTACCTACCTTATTTATTAATAATATTATTCTTAATATAATTAATATTATAAAACCTACATTTTTAAAATTAGCGTATTAAAGGCTATATATATATATAACTTTTATTAATTTTTAAGAAATTTTTTATTAATGTTAAATTTTTAATATAATAACTATTTTATTATATTACCTCTTTTAATACTATTCCTATTATTAACCTAATAGCTATAATATTACTATATAGCATTAAAAGCATTTCCTTAAGGCTAAACGTCTTATTACCTTTAAATAATTAAAACCTCTTTATATATATTTATTAACGCTATAGAAGTAATAGATAATAAATTAAGTTAGCTATTATTAATATTATTCCTATTATTAGCTTAACAGTTATAATATTATTATATAACATTAAAAGTATTTCTTTAAAGTTAAATATTTTATTACCTTTAAATAATTAAAACCTTTTTATATATATTTATTAGCATTATAAAGGTAATAAATAATAAATTAAACTATTTTAATTGTTTATTTATAAAGTATTAATTATATTATTTATATTATTAATACTTATTAATAATATTATTATTAACCGTTAATTTTTAATACCTTGCCCATTTTATAATATACATTTTTTTAATAGTTGGAATAGGCTAATTTAAAAGTACATATTTCCTAAACGTATCCTTAGGGACTTTAATGCCCTTTATGTTATCTTAGGAAAACGTTAACCCCTTTTTTATCCGTAAAAACTTATCCTTTATCTTTAACCGTTTAATAACCTATTCCTTTAAGCAATATATATATTTAATAAACTCCTTAATTAAGCTTTTATAGTTAATTTTTTACTTTAAGCAATTTATACTAAAGTTAATTATAAGCTATAGCTAATAATATTGCATATAAAAAAAACCCCTTACTATTGATATACTAGCTATTAAAGGATTAATATCTATATAATTTAACTTTTAATTAAGCCCGTTTAATTATTTAATAAGGTTTATATTAATAATTATAAAATAAAAGTACTTTATAATAAAGGTAAAGGTTTACAGCTTTATAAAAACCGGTTTCTTTATATATTTTATATTATTCTTACTTATATTAGAAATAAGGGGAGCAACTTTAACAAAGGGAAATAGTTATTCAGTAGCCCGCTTATTAGCTTTAAATAACCTAATTGCCTAATTAAAGTTAAGGTTATTAATAAGAATAACTATTAAGCCTTTATTAATTAAAAAATTATATAACCTTAACTATACCCTTATAACTTTTATTTTTTATAATATTAATATATAATATATAATAATATTTAATTTAAAAATATTGCTCGTTTAAATATAGGGCATTTATTAAATACCCCTCTTCCTTATATTCCTAGGTATAATATAATAATAGGTTTAAATATTAACTAATACTATTATAAATAGGTAATTAATATTATAATTATTTATTTATTAATATATAGCTTAAAAAAAGTTATATAATTTATATTAAATTATATATTAAAATTTAAGCTTAGTTTTACTTAATATTATAAGCTTATTTATAGCTTTAACCCTTTTATTTTTTAACCTTTAACCTTCCTTTATAATATTTTTATAAATATTATTATATAATTCTTTTAATTAAAATAAAAAGGTTTTATACTTCCCCTTTTATAACTTTTTATTAAAGATAAGGTTTTAAATATAAAATAGTTAAATTTAAAACTTCTTAACTATATTTTAATATAGTATAGCTTTTTAAAAGATGCTTACTATAATTTTATTAAGCTATTTTAATATATATAAGATTTTTATAACTTAATTTATTAATAAAAAGTTTAATATATTATCCTTATTTATAATAATAACATTTAACTTTCCATTTATATTATCTTTATTATAAGGTATTATAGTTATAAATATTAAATTTATAAATATTAGGTTTATAAATATTAGGTTTATAGATATTTAATTTAAGTTTACCTTTAATATTGTTACCCCTTTAATAACCTTTAAAATAAATAGGAAGTAGCCTTTTTTGCTTTATAATATACTTTTTTAAAGTATCGTTTTATTATATACCTATCTATAAAGGATTATATATAGGTAAAAGTAATAATAATAATATATAGCTATAGTTATAATAGGTTTAATGCTTTATTAATAGATTTTAAATAAATGTTTTATATTTTTATAGCTATATATATATATAATATTTTATAAGTTATAAATTAAAATAAATTATTTAACATTAATAGTTTAAGTAAATAATACTTAAAGCAAATAATACTTAAGGTAAACATTACTTAAGGTAATAAAGTAGTAATTAATTTTATTTATTTAAAAACCTTTTATTATTAAATCTCTTTTATTATTAAACCTTTTTTTTTATTAAAAATATTCCTATACCTATTTAATATATTTTTTAATACCTATATTATATTTAAATTTAAAGTTTTTATTAGCTTAAATATTAAAAAGGTTTTATTTATTTTTAATATACTTAATATAATAGAATTTAAAATATAATTAAAGCTTATAAGGGGTAATAAATTAATATAACTATATTTTTAGCTTTAATTATATTTAACTAATATTTAAATAAAGATAATAATATTTAAAAAATGTTAAAGTATATATTTAAAGTAATAACTTTAAATAATTTATTTAAAACTTATATTATAAAATATTATATATTACTTTATATTAAAACAATAAAGGACCTTATAAAATAATATTTAAATGTAAGTTTTTAATTATCCTTATTTTTATTTATCATTAAATTAATTAAATAGTATATATTTCTTAATATTAACTTCTTTTTTAATAATAATAATAATAATAATAATAATAATAAAAGTAAAGAAGGCGGAAAGATACCTTAACGCCTTATTATTATACCTATTATGCCTATATTATTATAATTAAAAAGGAAGTATAGGTTTAATAATAATGCTAAATAGGGTGGAAAGAGTAGTTGAAACGCTGTTATACCTTTACGCCTATGGAAATAGCGGGAAATATAATACTTAAAGCTTCAATAAAGAATATCTAAGCTATCGTAGCTAGTTTAAAAAATCGACTAGTATTAGCTATAAAAGTAATAATAGTTAGGATTTATTATATTAAGCTATAATATGGTTATTATAATAAGGTTAATTTAGATTTAACTTTACCTTTTAAAATAGCTTCCGAGACACACTTCCGTAATATGTCTTCAGAGCTGAGATCATTCCAAAAATGGCAATTCAAGTATCCAGCGTGCTGTAAATGTCCTCATAGATTCCTTCTGCTCCGTAGAAGTTTACCTTCGCTCCAAATGTTTTGACCTTTTAAACAAACGTCGTGGTGATCTGTATTCTGCCTAATCCGAAGCCCTCTTACAAGACTATTCTTGTCATGCTGATCAGGAGATCCAGAAACGAAAACCAAACTATAGACAGGAGCAGACTACGATGCCTCTGATTTCCCTTCTTCTTACAACAAGTGGCATGAATCACAGCAAATCTGTGGCTCGGTACTGTTATTCTCCCCAACTAAGAACTAGGTATATATCTCGCGAAAAATCGGCATCCTTTCCGATCCGATCTGGCGCCTCCGATGCGGCTCATCCCCACCTTCTTGGCTCACGTTGCCTCTCCATTCGCATCCTGGTTGCATTTCGCTACAGCGTTTCCGGTCGAAGATCACACACCTCCCCGCCTCATGAAATACCAGGTCAAATAACAAAATCGGATGGCCAACCTGGACCCATTGGCCAGATTGATCTGCTCTGTTATCGGCCGTGTGTTGCAGCTCTCCAGGTTCCTGGCTACTAGGCCATCTGCTAGGAACCGTCCATTTTAGGGCCTCGAAACCTGCTGTACTGCTTGTCAAACATAGATGCATTATCCCCTGCCTAGACACGCTGATACCTGCTGTCTAAGGTAATGAGAATGGTGATGGGGGTCAACAACCATGTCTATACTAATCACTATCATATGACTTATACATCGCTCTTCACGTCACCCTTACTCACACCATCTTGTACTTCCATTCCTTTTTCTATCTTACAAACTAGCGCCTGGACGTCAATTAGAACTTATCGACACAGGCTATGGATATATGAGCGATGCAGCTGAGCTGGCTCCTGGGTTACTCAATTTTGATGGTGGCGGCCACTAGGGAGGCTTTAACTTACAGCCAGGGCGAGGAGCTAAGAAGTGTTGTTGCTTCTACCACCGTCGGGCAGGACTCGATGTCCAGGAAAGTCGTGTTACATGAGGCGGTGACCCCTGGAGTTATCGAGGAGCAAATCGGGGCCGAAAGGCTCTCAGCGGGAGTAGCTGGCCGAAAGAGTGAGCCGGCAGCAGGGAAATCTTTGGCATTGCGATTGCCTAGACCAACAGCAACACCATTGTTACGGAAGCGGCAGGATGATGGCCAGATACAAGCACTTTCATCTCAACTACAATCGCTCTCACAATCTGCTACCCAAGCTATATCATCCGTCTCATCGAGCGCTTCCTCAATGTTGAGTTTGATATCACAATCTGCTCAATCTGTACGACAGTCTGCAGATCAAGCCACACAGTCAGCAAACCAGGCAGCTGACCAAGCTAACCGGGAGCTGTCTCAAACGCGGTCGTCGGCGTCAAGTGCTGTGTCTTCGGCTAACGCGCGTGCTAGCGATCAGATATCACAGTCGTTAGCTAGCATGAGTAGCCGTATATCAGCCAACCAAGCCAGTGCAGAGAGCAGTGCCAGCGTGGCTATAAGCTCTGCAAGAGTAGCCGCTAGCCAATTTGCAGCGAGTCAGATTCAAGCAGCTCAAGAGGGCGCAACTGGTGTGACGGTATGTTAATTTACACGTACCTTTTGAAGATGCATACTGATCTTTAATGGCATGTAGGATAGTACAAACCCTCAAATGAACCAACCGCAACCAATTTCAGTATCCACTACGAATCTTGCTATTATTATCGTAGTGGCGATTATTGGCACCGCCATCTTGAGCACAGCTTGTTCCTGCTTCTGGTTGCGATATAGGCAGAGGAGAAGATCGTCTCGCTCGAAAGAGGTCCAAGGGGTCAAAGAGGAGAAATATGTGAAACCTATCGCAGTTCGAGGTTCCTTAAACCCGCATTTCCCACGTTTTGGCGGGTCCTTCAAATCCCCAGCGAAAGAATTCAGGCTGCCAAGCTTCAGTCCTCAGATCCAGTCCAAGAAAGCTCAACGTGAAGAATGGGGTAATATTGGCTCTGCGGTCAGTGATTATAGCGATCAAGCAGAGAATAGGGTCAGTGGGCGACGCGCAGAGAAGGCAGAAGAAGTACAGCCACAAGCTTTTCGACTACAGAAAGGCAATGGCGTCAATAATGCAACTACCGTCCGTCTTATTCGGGTTAATAGCGAAAAGAGCAAGGCAGAATCGTCTACGGGTATTCAGCAAAGTGCAGCAGAGCCCATGCCTCCCCCACCTATACTGAACACACCAGATCGAACCCCCGAGATTCCTGCTATCCCTGCTTCAAGTCAATCGTCACCACGGGGGCAACCACAAACCAGCACTTCCATAAGTCAACCGCCGGATGACAAAGGGCCTCCCTCTGGAGGGCGGGTAAGTTCTCGCTCAACGCGTATTTTAGACACGGAGACACCCGGTTGGCGTCCGCCGACGATCTCAACCAAAGCGAATCGAAATCGCTTCAGGTTTCGAGATAGCAGTGACATGGAATCGGCTGAGCCAACGCCTACCGACGTACAAGGGCAAGCCAGCAGTGGCCGCGACAACTCATATACACGAGCCTCTCTTGGGCAGCCTAAAAACGCTGGCGGCACTTTTGCGACATTCCCTCGGACACGTAACGAGTCACAGAGAGAAAGTATGATGAATCGTGGTAGACCTAATCTCGACGGCCGCGCTGCTAGACTCGGGTAGATAGAGGGAGTTAGATGAGGTTTGATAATGTGGATGGTATTAAAAGGGTATAATTTTGTTTCATGGCTAGGCAAGGGAGGAATTGATTTGGTGTAAGGCGTATTTGGATATACCACCACGGAATTTCATATAGCACTATTTAATGAACGTAGAAAGAATATGAAAACGTTCTGAAGATTAGCTCTAAAATGTTGTTTTCTACTAGGTTACCTGATTGATGCTTGTCAAGCTTCATTTTTGCTAGTAACTATTTATTCTATCTCTAGTTATCTGATCTTTGTTATCATGGTACTGGTTCCCAGCTAACTTCCCATACCCAGAAAAGCTGGTGATAAAGGAGTTGGAAACTCACAAACAGCACAAAAGCTCACTGACACCAGGCCCCCTTGGATACCATAGTCTCGTCAACCAACCTGAGTAGGTACCCAGTACATAGCACAGTGAGACATTGAAGTACCGTGATGAGCTAGCTACAAATCTACCAGTTGATTGCGATCCTGACCATGCCCCTTGCTTCCTTTGCTTTTTTTTCTAGTTTCTGTCTTACGAAATAGATGAATCGGCCGTTGGGAAAAACAGGAGCGTGTGACCACCCACCCACATCCGCACTCATTGTTCAAAATAGAACAGACAGGGAGGCAACAAATCATTTCCATAACTAACATGCACATCCCACGCCGCTAATAGTAGAACATGATGGTGGTAGTGAATCAGATCGGGATCTTTGTGCATTGAGCATGGTATATATAACACCCATCCATGCACGTAAGACAACATGAATACGAGTCCCCCGCGCACAGGACATAGATAGGTAGGTGCTGTAAGTGGGAGAAAAAAATACATTATGCTTTTCTGTATATTAGTTCAGAATGACGTACACTTCAGAGTGGGTAGAGTCATGAGCAGACAGCCGCCATGATGAACCTTGACGTCTCTGCAGGTTGTACATACACCGACAGACTGATAGGTATGATAGCCATGCTTGGTAGCATGTTAGAAGGAATGCTAGCAGGAGCTGTTCATGTTAGATTACTCACGAGGTGCCACGGAGAAGCCTCGTGGGCAATTATAAGTTACTAAGCCCGGCGCCTAAGAGTCACATGTGGCTGGGCTGATCTGCAAGTGTCCCATTTTGATGCCATGAAATAGCCCCTGTTTGTCTGACATAGAAGAGCATTAGAAGGAGTTGTTCATCACATCACTACGGTATTCAAGGGGACAAGACATTTGCCCAATGTGTTGAGACCTTGTTTTGCTTTGTGATGTCTACGTTTCATCCCTAGTAAGGGAGATCTCTCAAAGACTTGCCGTGAGCCTCATCTATTTTTGCCCGACTGCTGCTCACGATCGATTGCTTGCGCAATTTTGGGCATCTCTACACGTGGTATGGTGTTGGTAGTAACCAGTTTGATGACTGAGAAATGTATCTTGCCTTCTCTGGTCTTTCCGTATGTCTTGATTAGTGTCCAGGAGCTTTCTTAAGACTCACCAGCCTTTTGGCTTCTAAGATGATTTGCCAACAACGCCCGAGTTATATGCAAGTTTTCTTCTGCCGATGCTTTGCAAAGATGCAAGTTGCAGACGAAGGGAAAAATAAATCGAAATCAAATACACCCGCCCAACTGACTATTGCCCAGCTTTGAAGCTGGCTCAACCTGTACTTTTGACCCATCTAAAGGCAGACAGGTATACTTGTTTAGATACCGCCAGTTGCCAATAGTGTAGTTCGTTGATGATCACCGAGAACTCCGTAACCCAAATCTATGCAATTCGTCCGTATTGAGTCATCGGAATGAGTCATGAGACCAGGCAGGAATGCGTTCATCGCCCTGTATGCCAGACGCCGCTCCCAATGCATCGCCATCTAAACAGAATTCTGCTGTTCCTACATCCGGTGAATAGTAGATGCCTCAAGGGCCTGTAAAAGCTCCGGACGACTCGAAAGGGCCTCTTTGGCTTGTGAGTAGGTGAACCATTGGCGTTCCCGCTTGTGCCTTTCGGGCCAGTCGGCTTCTTCCCGTAGCACTGTGGCTTCATAGAAACGGTACAGAGATTTGGGCGCCTCCTTCGATAGCTTTTTAGGTGGTCGCGAGTCCACGATGTTCCCAAGATCGTAGTCGACCCGGATGGAAATGCCGGCTTCTTCCCACGCCTCCCGTTCAGCGGCTTGCTCACATTCCTCATCTGACTCCCATCCTCCTTTGGGCAAGACCCAGCCTTTCCTCCGTGTTGATTGAATCAGAAGGACATACATTCTATCTTCGGTGAGGGGTACCACTCCAGCAACTAGTCGTTCGCCGTTGGAGCTATAGCCTGCCAAGCCAATTATTAGTTCGTCTACAATGTAGGCGAGACTTCTACATAACACTACATTTTAGGCGTAACAACATCCGAATGGGCTTGAGTGACTGCTCAGGATATACACTTACGTTGCATACTTCTTCCCGTACGAGACTCCATGGAACGATTATTGGAAGAGGACGCCATCTTCGAATAATAGCTAGCTACCCGCGAGAAATGTCGAAAAGTGGCTTGCCTGGGGGAAATGTAGATGGTGGTAAGGAATGCGGTGGTGGAGATAAGAATAGCTCCGACCAGAGTCAGCTTGAAAGAAGATGACTTCACGGTATCCTATTCAGCAGCATGGTTGAATAGCGGCAAGAAGAATTATGTTGTAGGGGTAAGTAGTGGACGTCGATGGTGAAGCGCTTGCGCCAGGGGGTGGTGGCTTGGAGGGTTTAGAGCTCGCGACGAAAAGGCGGCACTGAGGCACCGGTGTAGGCGACTGGAGGCAGAAAAATAATGAAGGCCGACGTTCTTAAAGGCACATATAAACCTCAAGACCCATAATAGAATGTTCCGCAAGTCCTGCAAGCTGCTCCTTGAGATCACGGGGCGTAGCCGAGTATCGCATGCACGAGGGATGGATTTGGTTGGCTTGGTAGTCCACTTTGTTGCAGGCTGAACTGATTTGTCGAGGGTTTCGGTAGCTGGGGCGTGCGGGAGCCACGGGACACTACACTATTGGGGAGAACAGTTAAAAAAAAATACTTTTCTGGTCCCAGAGAAGCGAGAATCATGCCAGCGCTAAGATTAAAAAAAATTAAAAAAAAATTGTGGGAGAGGTAAGTAGGTAGACAATGTAATTAGTCCAGGGTCAAATCAAACAATGGTATGCTGGAGGAGAGACCAATGGTGTGGATTTGTGAATGGGTATTGCAATGATCCGTGCCATCATCACAAATTGGATGGATAGAACAATAAGAGGCACAATGAGGGGTCACGAATAAGGAAATCCACGATTGATCTTTATAATACATCTGCGCAGTAACGGCAACGGGATTACCTAGCAATGACCCTTGTACCAACCCGGCATAGCACAAGCTGGGTGCTTGGATGGTGGTAGATACCTAGTCCAATCCTTTGTGTTGACTGGTCTGACTGGTCTCGCCACGGAGCCGCAGAGTTGGACAGGCGGGACGGGGAGAGAGAAAGAGAGAGCGGGTGATGAGCATTTGACCTCCAGACTAGCCAGGCTGCTTGCTCACTGCTTGGACAACACTTGCAGCAAGCAGGCAAGGCAGATTTCATGCAATGGACACAAGGACCACGGGACTGACAAAGACTCAAGCCAAGTCCAGTGGTGGCATATGTCGGTGAATCAAAACGAACAAGGTCCAAGTAGGGGAACGACTGGTGATAGGACAGCTTGAGGTGAGGTGACGTACCTGTTAATGGGCAGCTTTACTAACCCTTGAGTCTTGTGTGTGTGTGTCTGCGTAAGTTCAATGGGCAGAAGAAGGTCTGACGGTTCGAAAGAATCTCATCAAGATAGTGGACAGGTTGAGACGCTTGTGCTTAGATGAGATAGATCCAGAGACCGGCCCTAGTCTGTAGCAGAGCTGGAAAGCATGGATAGAGATTCCGAGAGAAAGATGGAGACAGCTTAGAGTGAAAGGCTACTGTACAGCAACAGGGCTCACTGATCTAACCTACAGGTTGGATGAACTGGCCGAGGATAGATTTGCTTTTATCATTTTTTTTGTTATATTAGCAAGCCAGACCAGGCCCAGCGCCGCTAAACAACTATGCCATGATTCAGGGGTCAAGTCATTAGAGGATACATGGTATTATAAAGTGTGGCAGAACCGTCCAACTGCATGCCAGGTAAGAAAGACTAGAACTTGTCCAGGGCATTGAAAAATCGTTGCGAAGCTCGGCCGTGTTGTCATAATTCCTAGCGTGATGAAAAAAAAAAAAAAAAAAAAAGCCACGGTGGGATAGAGAACAAGAGCCCCCAAGAAAAACGGCCATAAGAGACAGGGCTCGACAGGAAGAAGAAAAATATCACCCAAGCGTTGATCAAGCCCCTCAGTAGCACTGTCAGTGAAGAAAGTTACTGTATTGTTAGCCACTCAGACGGTTATTAGTACTTGATTAGGGCTAGCATAACCAGTAGAAACTACCTACCTAGGAAGGTAGGCATATCAGTGTATTATTACCCACTAAACAGCACTAAACAAGTATGCCCAGGCACTGTCATGGCACCACACGTAAGTACCTACGTAGGTACATAGCTGGGTTATGACAAGTACCTGCAACGTATCATAGTAAATAAATACTTGTAATACTTTATGTAGTTTTCTCTAAACCTGGGGGAGGAAGTGACGGCGGCTCTGACCTTGGTATAGATTTTATATGCATGCTCTACGCGTTTTAAAAAGACTTAGGTTAGTGACCTGCAGGCGGGGCAAGCATCCTCAACGACAGTAAACTCAATGTTACTTGGGTAAAGTCCGTGAACTGACTGCCATGACATCTAGCCAAAATAAAATAGCGGTGGCATGGTTGCCTGCTTAATACATAGGTACATTTAAACCAGCATGAATACCTGCTTACTTACGATATTTTGTAGTGCAGATGTGCCTACACCAATGTAGTTAACACGGGACATGGACTGAATGCACGTCACTCCCTTAGTAACTACCTTAGTCCACGGTCAAAGATCGGTTGCATAACAGCCCAATCAGCACTTTGTTAGGTTCATTAGGTGCAGATTCCCTGGAGGGGGAAGACGCAACCCAAGTCTAACCCTACGGGCCTAAGTATGCTAAATGGACCGATCATTGCATGGCCTCGATGGCCCATCCAGAGCAGAATCGTGTTTCTCCTTACACCCGGTTTACTATGTAGGTAGCTGAAGGGGTGTGTGTATGTGACTAGGGTTACGAGTCCAGTAGACAATCTTCCTTGTTGGTCGTGTTAAGAAAGCACATTGGTTCACCAAGTTTGTATATGAATACCTACCGGTCTGTGCCGTGGGATCGTGGGGGGTCGCCGGTCAACTCGGTCTTTCCAATCCTGCATATAGTAGGTTGAGGCCGTGGCCGTGGCCGTGGCTGACGATGGCGACTCGAAGTGGCAACAAAAATTTACCACTTCAGCATTATCCTTGGCCCTACCTAATTAAGTACATAAATAGGGAATATATCTGCATGTTGTACTTTGTTCGTGATACTTGTCTTTCCCCCTGGAAAACAGATAGCTCGAGCATATACTACCTAGGTATGTACTGGTATGTTCTGTAATAGTTTGAAATATCTACTTACATAGTATTCCGTAAGTACCTATGTGGTTTAGCCTCAACCAAAGCATCTGCTTTCGTAACCGGCAGAAGACTCAACCTACTAGTATCTACATTTTCTAAAATGCCACTTTAGACACTTTAGATGTCCTCCACATGCAGATAGGCGCTGTATGTCCATCTACCTACCTACATGTACCGTACATGATGGAGAAGAGTGCCCAGCAGTCGCCCGTAACAGGACCTCGAGTGTTAGGAACGCCTGTGTAGCCAAGTACAGCAGTGCCTTAGTGTACATACATGCAGCTGACACTGCACGTGGGTGGCCATGTACATGTACAACTAGCGCATTCGTTGTACATACCTACCTACTTCGCAGTCTGTCTGAAACCCATCGCCCATCACATCATCACTCGCTCACTGCCTTACCACCTACCTCTTCTGCCCAACATATCTACATACCTCCCATCGTGGACTTTGTCGTCCACGAGGAGAGAACTACCGACAAGTCTCTCAGTCCAAGAAAAGTACCCACCCCCATATCCAAGTCCTCTCCTTCTGTCCCCTTCCTCACCTCTCCTTAGCCTAGCCCTCAGCCCTCAGCCCTCCTCTCCGCTGGCCCTCTGTACACTACTATGGACGTAGTAGGTAGGTAAGCGCCTGTCAACATCGTCTGTCTGCCTTTTCGCACTGCCGGGCGGGACCAGGGTGAAAATCGCCGTTTGTATGACACAATAACACCATAATACGTATGCCTCCCGAACCGGCCGCGTAAAGCTTCAAGCCTTCATATACCTAAGATATCTCGTACCAGCTCTCCCAGAGAGAAGGGTTGCCGAATCCGGTATTTCGCTCTCGCCAGGGTCATAAACCGGGACTGGCCGGACATCAGCCTCCCTCCTCTTTTCGGTTCGGTTATTAGAATCATTGCAGCATCTGACTTGATGTCCATCCAGTAGTAGTCGCCTGAAATCCCAACCCACGCGATAAGGCATCCCCGCGTCTGCCCCTGAGCAAACGACTCCTAGCATACTACTCCCACCTCTCCCACCTTCGCTACCACCGCACACTGCCAGTCTTTCTACCGCTTCCGACAAGAGTGCACCTTGTTCGCGTCTGGCTCGGTCTGGTCCCGGGACTCTCGTGAGTGTCATAATATGCAAGCCATCCCTGAAGATGCATCTCAAGATGTATTCTCGTACATAACGCCTATGGGTAAGCCAGTTGCTCCTCCTCAATCCCAGAAAGCAGCCTCCCGTTCGCCTAGTCGGTGATACCCTCAGCACTATCCCCGAATGTCTAAGCCGTTTCCGCCCCCAGTTCACTACGCCATCCGTCATCCAATGATTTAGACTCGTGCGTTACTGCCTCGCTACTGTTGGTCCGTTGTTCTGCATGTGGATCTATGGGGAAATCTCTCGTCTGAGGTCCTGTCGACCGCCACAAACAACCAACCAGCACCGTGCTTTCTGTATTGGTTCGTCAGCTTCACGCACAACCTTGAGCCGTTCTTCAACTAGGTAGCCTGTGTACGGTGTCCTCTTTTTGACTTGTTTGGTCACCAAGTCAGAGGCTTTCTATAACCCCTGCATCATCATTATCATCATTGCCATTTGCTTTTCAATGCCCTGCTCTGTTCTGCACTTCGTGTCGCACCATGATACCATGCCTCTCGTCGTCTCCTTCCCAGTTCTCTAGCCTCATGGTGGCAATAGAGTAGGTGGAACGATGTGTCTGGGCGGTGCATCGATTGATCGACTGTCCCGTGCAAGTGGAGGCGTAGATTTGCCAAGGCCATCTCTCAGCTCCCCCAATGGGATAGTATATCCTACGTCCGTGGGCTTCCTTGAGCAAATCATGATTCTGACGAAAGTTATATTGCAGGTTACATGTCCTCCTCAACATGCGGATACTGCCGTCGCAGTGGGAACGGTCAGTCACGGACGCGTTGCGTGTTCACATGATTCCATTTTCTGTATAGTCTTCGGGCCGCTGTCGCGGTGCTATGGTGCTTCGACGCATCACGGCTTGCAGCGAGCGCTCATGCTCGTTAGATTGCTCAAATGATGCGAAAGAAAACCATCTCTGATCCTGTACAAGCATCATCATACAATGTAGCAATAGTGTCTCGCTTGATCTCACCATCTAGCCAGCTCGGCAGTTTATAATGTGAACATGTCTGACGTGACCAACTAATTCAGGACGATCCTATTATACAAGATCGGTGTCTATGAATACAGCATGTTATCAGGCTTTGATTGATCGAAGTTGGCGACGATCCGGGACCCTTTTATACCGGCCAAACCAACGGGACGCTTGCTGTCCTCACTACAGTCTTCGCATAGACTCTACTCGTTTCAAACCAACCAAGGATCAACGACAAGCCATCAATCGCTTCAATAAGTTCGTCGTTGGCGACGCCTACGCTAAAGAGGCTGCTCGTCGGCACCCTAAGTCGCGTGAGCAGGCACGAAAGCGGGACACTGAATTTCACCTTAGTGAGAGGATTCATGAGAGCGAGAGCCAATCACTCAAGCAGCCTCCTGAGCCTGCTCATTCCTTCGAGGTCACTCTGGAACTGGATGACTTTACCGAGGAAAAGTACATCGTTTATGAAAACTATCAGCAGACTGTCCATAGAGAACCTAAGGATGAGATATCTCGCTCAGGATTTTCAAAATTCCTGTGCAACTCACCGCTCAGGCGGGAGACTGTCACTATGCCCGACGGACAAGAGAAGCGCCTTGGTTCCTATCATCAGTGCTACCGACTTGACGGGCAGCTAGTGGCAATAGGGGTTCTCGACCTTCTTCCACACGCGGTTAGCGCCGTCTATTTTTTGTATCACGAATCCATACACAATTGGAGTCCTGGCAAATTGGGCGCCTTGCGAGAAATTGCTGTCGCTTTAGAAGGCGGCTATCGCTGGTGGTACCCGGGGTTTTACATACACACCTGTCCAAAAATGCGATACAAGATGGATTATTCACCCCAACAGATTTTGAACCCAGATATCATGCAGTGGGTAGAAGTATCCAGCGAAGTACTGGCCAAATTTGACAACCATGGGTATCTCGATTTTTCGGGTGCTAACATGGAACAAGCAGCTAATTCGGAGCAGAAGCAAGTGGATGACACTGTGAACATCGAAGATCAACAAGATGATGAAGATAGCGATGATGGTGACCACAAAATGTACATATCACTCCTCAGCAGTAACATGCCTGGTCTCCCACCCATTGATAGTGTATTATCATATGACTATGATAATATTCCGGTACGACTCAGGGGCGGCATCTTACCTGCCGTTGATGTATTCCAATGGCAGAACGAAGACGAAGATATCAGGGATGGGCCCGGGCCAAGAGGCCAACTGGCGCAAATGGCGGCTGCTGTTGGTCTTGACCTAATGCCACAGCTCTGCTTAGACATTAGGCGTACCTAGTCAAAATTCACCAACTGTCTGATGCTTGACTTTTGCTACCTTCTGTTCTTGTACTCGAGCGTTGCTAGGCGGGTTAGTGAGCTTGCAGCCAATCCATGATAATTAGCATCACAGATTGTCGTAGCCATATAGAAACAGCCCAAATGCCAATAAAGGTTTGCTTTCGCGATAGAATCCCACAATTGCATCTGATCAAAGAAATGACTAAGCTTAGTACGAGAAATCAGGAGTCGGTACCTATAAGACATTTGGTATGCTAAGAGAAAGACACAGTAAGAGAAATTTCCAATATTGCTATCCTAACGATATTCCACCTCTATTACGACGCCCCTGAAGTGGCGCGGGCAGCAGGAACTTTCGTGAAGAGCTCGTTTGTTATTTCAGACCACACGGATGCTTGGATTCTTTGACCGCTGGAGCTGGTAAACATTCTTTCTCTTTGTCTATAATAATCCCAGCAACATCTGTCAGCTGTGTGATCGTAACTACGCGATAAAAGTATTGGGTAAAGAGGAGTAGGTTAGGAGATTGATGGCATTGAGAGATATGAGGATAGAGTAGAATAGCTTGAGTGAAAGGGGTGATTATGAGGTGTTATTAGGGGTAATGGAGGTAGACAGGCGAGACTCACTTCTCATATTCCGCTTCGGACCCATAGAACCGGATGAATTTCCCCTGTGGCATTGATTAGCACCTGGATTATCTACCTATGCGAATGATGATATGAAAGGGTCCCAAAGCCGCAAATGTCTAATCGTTGCGAAAGCACAAGCAAGGCTTATGACATCACGTGTGAGAGGATGCGTAGAACATGAGATGAGGGACGGGGAGGACGGAAGTGGAGATATGTATGCGTACATTTTCTTCTTCTTTCGTTAGCCCAGCTGCGATCAGTGTCCGGGCACCGCTTTCAGCTGTCTTCGCCAGAGTCGCTTGAAATAATGCCACGCCGAGTGCCATAGCGCGACCCTGTCCCTCGTAATGCCGTGCGAGATTCGTTTTCACTACGCCGGGACAACTAGTGTTGACGATGACTTCGGGACTAAGGTGTCTAGCGTGAGTTTTCTTCCTTGTCATTTTTGGTTATTAAAAAGGTGAATAGGTAAAGTAACTGAATGAGTGTGAGGACCAAGACTAGCACGTACCGGCCATCCTTCCCTTTAGCCAACTTCGCGAGTTCGTCAGCTACATAGTGCACCATCATCTTCGTGACGGCGTACAAGACACTCGGACCCGGGAAGTTCTTCGGGTCGCGGTAGTGTGCCAGTACGCCGCCGTCCTCGGCGATGTAACTCTTCAATGCCTCGGTGTCGACGCCTGTGTGAGAACTAGAGCCGACGATTGAGAGATGTGCGGGCGAAGATCTGTTCGCGCGCTCGGACTTCATCCAGGGGAGGAGAAGCAAGGCGAGAAGAGTGGTGCTGAGGACATTGACTTGTATATTCTGGTCCCTATTGGCAATTGTAATATTGTAAGCCTTCTGTATCGATTTTTTTGTTGGCCATTCGTTCTCCCTTTCCTTTGCTTCTGCTTGTGTCGCTTAACTCGGCCTTCATCTGGTACAGCGAATGGGGGTGGAGCGAATCCAAAATGAGAGAGAAAAGGGGTCCAGCGCCGCACTTACCATCCTTCGTCAACCACAGTGAATTCGGTGCCGATGACACCAGCATTCAATATGACCAAGTCAACGCCTCCTTTCCCAGCCCGAACCTTCTTCACCTCTTCGACTAACCCGACCACGGAATCGTAACGATTCATATCAAGCTCAACAACGCGGACCACGCCCTTGCTACGACCGCTAGTTTCCTTCTCCAGCGTCTCGAGAGCTTTCCCCGAGCGCGTGGGATTGCGACTCGTTATGATAACCTCAGAAGCGCCTAAATTCACAAGATGCACGGCGGCTGCAAGTCCGAGACCACTCGTTCCACCAGTCACGAGGGCGGCCTGCCCCCTGAAAGTATCCGCTGGCGGAAGAGCTATCGGGACCCATTTCATATATATTTGGCGGAGGTTTGCCGTGAGCTTGTTCATCGTCGTGTTGTCGCACTCGGGTGACTTATACAGGTAACTAAAAATATACAATTCGAAGTTTGCAAGAGGTGTCTGGATACAGTTTGCGACGTCGAGCTTTAGAACAAAGGGCGCGAGGCATTTTTGAAGCTTTGCGATGATTCTATGTCTCAGTTCTTATGCAAGATTTTTCGAACGTTGGATACGCTATTCAGGTCGTCCGAGTTCTTTGTCCGTGATAGCTTCATGAACTTGCTTAATAAACACCAATCTTAAAAGGGACACAGATAAATGGGTCGGGGCCATTTTCACCCTTAGCCATAACTCTAGAACCTAACATAGCTGGCTACTAATTGACAAACAATAGTTAAGACGCTATGTTCTGACTACTTAGCTTATAGATTACTTTGATGCTCGGCGACTTCTTGTGAACTGTGGTGCGTAAGTCGGTGTCCAGATTCCACCGCAGAATGTTTCCGGGGATGATGAACCAATTGCATCGAAAGGCCACATAACCCAAACTTGGGGGGTAGAGTTTTAAAAATAGACAATTAAAAGTAATTTGGGTGTCCCGGCCCAGTTGGTGTGTCCCGTCCTTTGTATAATGGATTATCTAAGTCATGCTCCAAACCAGCTCTTGGGTGCCTCGGAGACTTCTTCTTACGTGGTCGAACTTTGACCCGGCTCAGTATTAGGAGTATTAGAATCTTGGTAAGCTATTCATAGGATCGTAAGGGCCCTTCTAGTGACAGCTACAGTAGAACATATGAGAAGAGCATAGAGACTGCTATATCGAACGTGATATCGCAGGTCCTCCATGAATTGAGTCTTGCCTGTGGCAGTTGATGGTTTTTTGGGTAGCAGCATCTGGTGGTGGCTCTAAGTAGGCTCGCTTGCGAATGGCTTCGAGCCTACAGCAATACCAATAATGTCCACTATGAACATAAACTTACGCTCGCTTTTAAGGTCTGCCTGGAAGGTGTTATCGAGGTAGTTAGATTCGAGGTAGGAAATGATACTAAATGAGCAGATACTGTTGTTCAGTGTTTACTCGAAGTAACCCATCCCTAGGTGCAATAGCATACACGTACTACGTAAAGTCTCCCTGTAAAGTCTCCCAATCATAATCTCAGCCTCAAAGAGATCTGCCCCACCAACCAAGCTTCAGCCACACCCAATTTTTAGCCAATCAATCGCGTCGATAAAGCTCAGCTCAAAAAAGTCTCCTTGTAACCCCACGTGTACAGCCATGTACCTACATGACGAGGGTACTAGATGAAGCAGAAAAACGTTAGGATCTACTATCGTCACAACTAGCAGCCCAATAGAGAAGTAATAAGAGAGGGAAGACTAGGATTCTAGAAGGTCTCGAGTTCTGGCTTGCGTTAATTCTCAGCTCACAGGCCTATACAAATAGCTGAGTACCTCATCTCTCGCTACCCCCCACCAATGGCGACAACGTCGCAACACCTCCTGCTCTCGCCTGCCGAGCTCGCCTACCTTCACAGTACTCTGAGCCTCACGCCACCGCTACGTCCTGATGGACGTACAGCGACGCAATTTCGGCCGCTGACGGCTGAGACGGGCATCCTCCCAGGCACCAATGGCAGCGCGCGGATATGTTTCGCGGACGGAACCGAGGCCGTTGTGGGCGTGAAGGCCGAAGTCGAGAAAACTGTGGGCATGAGCATATCTGGCGAGGACAACTCCTCGCGATCGCGGAGGCGGAAGCAAGGGAAAAACAAGGGGAACCAATCTACGACTTTATCAACAACAGAAGATGATGGCGAGGCCGAAGATGGAGAAGCAGAGACAGCATCGTTGGCCGAGCGGCGCGGCGAGAATGACTGGCTTGAGTTGACCGTTGAGATCCCCGGGTATCGCGACGATGATAGTGGCACGGTGTTTCTTGCGACTATGTTGAGCGAGGCGTTACTAGCCGACGGCGAGCTAACCAAAAAGTTATGGATCAATCGCCGGTTTCACTGGAAGTTATATTTAGACGTGAGTTCTATTCAAGCTCAATCTTCATTTGAACACATCAATCCGTGGGAAATCATAGGAATAAAGAATATATAGGCTGACAATTGGCTCTGCACAGATCATACTCATCTCCCCGCCCCTCTCATACCCTCTCCCCCTCCTATCCTTAACAACACATCTCGCCCTCCTCGCCACACGTCTCCCGCGGTTAAAGTCGGAAGGTGACGAGGACCCCATGTTCGACGACGACTGGGCCGCATCGCAATTCATATACCCTCGCGCCGGCTCCTCCTCTCCCTCAACAGCATCGACTACCTCGCGGCCCCCCATAACCCTCCTCGTCATGGCCGTAGGGGATAACGTTATCTTCGATCCTGCGAAAGAGGAATTAGCAGTAGCCGATTGTGCACTCGCGGTCTCAGTGGGAGAGGGGATAGAGGACGACGCAAAGACAGCAATGGATATGGATATAGACGCAGACACGAAAACTGGCGCACGGGTTCTACGTCTGTTATCCGTGCGCACCATCGATCCACCCTCGCGACTGACGGCCCCAGGCGTCCCAAACGCTGTCAATGCCGCGGCGTGGGGTCAAGGAGGCAATGGTAATGCCGCGAAGGAGATGGGGCTGCGGGCTGCCGAGACGGGCGATGTGGAAGGTGTGTGGAAGGCGCCGAGAGGCGGGTCGAAGATTGGTATCATAAGCACCATGGTGGAGAAAATATTGGAAAAAGGAGGTGTTGCGGATGAAGTTTTGGAGGGTTTGGACGGTGTTGAAGTAGCATAGCATAGCATTGTTGCGCTCGTCTGTCTACGGTGCTGTCATGATACCACGAATCAACGTCTACGAAGTAAAATATAAATAGAATAAAGTAATGCACATGCGTGCAGTTCTTGTTAGATATGTACATTATATCATATTTGCACGTATACTATACAAGAGCAGGGAGTGTTGCCCTGATCAAAAAGCCTTATACTCCCGCAGTTATCACGCTAGGATTTGCATGCACAAACGTTCTCTTAGCAGGGTATTAGAAAATACCCAAAAACTTTTTCCTCTTTCCCTCGGATGTGGATTCAGCAGTCGCATTTGGCTCCGCAGCCAACGTCTCAACCACAATGACTGGCGAAGCGTCATCCACTGTCTCAACCGCAGACGAAGGAGCGGGTTCCGCGGCCTTAGCCCCGAGAAAACCAGAGCGCACAGGCTCGAGGCCGTGGGCCTTGCGGTACTCTTCACGTTTGGCGATGTCATCGACCTTGCGACGACGCTTCTCGGCCGTCTGCGCCGACTCGTGCTCCTCATGCATGCGCAGCACGTCAAGGCAGACACCGATGTACTGGAACGGATGCCGGGGGAACTCGGATATCGGCGGGACCAGATCCGCGAAGGGCGACTTGGCCTTGAAGTTTTGCGCGAAGGTGAACAGAGCTAGGGAGGTCAAGGTGCCCTGTTGGAGAGTATGCTGGTTAGTGATGTCTTTGACTCTACAATTGAGAGCGAAGGGCGTGGTATGATACTTACGAGTGTGATGAAAATGTGTATTCCCCGGTTGTTAATGAACCAATGCGACCAGGTGTTTGGCGGGGGCGGCAGGCCGGGATATGTCCTCCGGCTCTGTAGCTTGACTTCCTCCGCCGTCATGGAGCCGCCATAGTGCCTCGGCGTTGATCGAGGGAGTCGGGAGCCATGCGACGGCGGGTTGAAGCGTTCTGGCTTCTCCAGTACAATAGGTTTCGAGGGGTCGGCTTTTGGAGGAGCAGCGGCAGTCTTCGGCGCAGCAGCCTGAACTCTAGGTTTTTCAGTTGAAGGTGCTGGAGTAGTGGACGTAGGCGCAGGGGCTGTTTTAGGATCTACAGGCTGCCGAGAACTTGACGCGGATGTCTTTGCGGCATGCTTTGAGGGCGCCTTCGTGGGCGCGGAAGCTTTTGCTGCTTTCGTCGCGGCGCCTGCTTTAGTCGATGCAGCTCTTTGGGTTGCGACTTTTGCCAGGGCGTCCTTTGCGACGGCGGGCCGCCTCGCTGCCGTGTTGGAGGCATAACGAACCATAACTTGACCAACCTCAACATTAAGAGCCCGCGCAAGTGCGGCCGATCGAGTGGCAGTCCGCCACATAGGACTGTACTGGGGGAGGAGGAATCGAGGTATATAAGTTGTCCGTGAAGCCATGATGGTGTAACAGAAAAGTGATGATACCCAGCTCGGGGAGTATTTGCGGAGTTGCAGCTGCGCCCACAGCTATTGTCACGGCTGGTATCAAGGCGGCGGCTTTACAATAGAGTGCCAAAGAAGCCTGATCAATTCATGATGCCTGCGTGCAGCAGATCATTTCTGATGAGCCCGTACTGTGGATATATTTTTTGTACCACAGCAAGGTGAGGTTAGTGATGGAAGTGGGGTCCTAACGGGTACCAGGGGAGATACTTGAACGAGTGCCTGTGTTAGGCGCTAGTAGTAGGTACTTTAGCGTACAGTTCTTGTACCAATACTAGAAGCGTACATCGAAAATGATCCCAGATCGCCAACGTTATATAAGACATTTAATTACCCAGTCTAAAAGAAAATAAAAATAAAAGTTTATATACGGGGACTATTCTTTTCTACGCACGCAATGAAGCTTGGTTTTGAGTAGTTACGACTCTTACTGACCAATATACATAGTGGTATTTGGAATCGAATAAAGGAGTGTCCTTTCGGCAACTTCCGTTGCTCGCTCTCTTCCAAATAAATTGACGTAGCTTCGGGACTTCACTCATGGAGAGCTTGGAAATATGCTCTTATGCTTTTGGATGACATGTTATGAAAAGAAGTTGAGGCGATGAGCATTTGAGAATATGATGTAACGCATCTCCCACTTGACCTGGCCACCCAATTGACCTGGCCACCCCCCTAGCCCATACAAAAAACGTCGGTGCGCTAATCACGTGATAATTTAATAACTTTACGAATATTAGTCGTATAGAATAATAAAATATACCATTAGATTCGTAATAAAAGGAGCTATTTAACGGTACCCTTCATTAATTTATACAACCTATATTCGTAGAGTTATTAAGCAATACGCTAAAGTAAGCGCTAAAATAATCCTTACCTAGCGCTCTTTTAGCGTATTGCTTAATATCTCGCTTAATAAATTTTGTAAAAAATAGTAAAAAATACCGCTGGATTCCTTATTAAATAACGGATCTAATAGTATTAATTAATTTATTGTGGGCCCAATATTGGTCAAGTTATTACAAATTGAAACATTGGATTTTTATATAGGTTAGGGGGGTGGCCAGCTCAATTGGGTGGCCAGGTCAAGTGGGAGATGCGTTAACGTGTCTACATCTGCTTGTGTAGATGGACTAGGTACCATACGACTTCCTAGGAAGTCGGTGGCGTCTTACCTAAGCGGCACCCGTGATTTACAACAGTCTACGGTATGTAAGTACCTGTACTAGTACAACACGAGGATGCCTCTCAATAAGGGTACCCTAGATAGGTAGGTAAATTTCCCGAATGCCATATGACTCCAGAAAGGATATACTATAGCAAGAGCAAAAAGACTCGAAATTATCGTAGGGAAATCCTTGTTCCCTGCCCTCCTTAGGTTATGCTCATATGAGTTAGCAAGTCACGATATGTTAACTACATACTACCTACAGATAGGGCCCTACAGTATCGCGTCTTAACACGGAACATTTACTGCAAAACCAAGACATCTCAAACGCTGTCTCGACAGAGACGTACGGTTGTCAATTCTTCAGGGTGGATGGTGCCTGTATGAGCCAGGAAGTTGAGCAGTCCGGTGAAAACTGGTATGGACCTGGGATATTTCTTAGAGTCAGTCTACGTATCAAGATCGTCAGACGAGCTGTGGTAGGAGTATACCTCGAAACCTAGTAACTCGCTAATGTTAGAGTAGTTTACATCCAAGCCAATTATCTTTTCACCGTCAGCAGAGCTCGTTGTGAAACCGTACTCCCCTAACTTCTCATTAAGTTGTATCAGTTTTAAGTCACTTTCTTTTGCCCTGAGGCATACGTGAGTTTGCCCATGCAAAGACTAATCGAGACCTATTCTTAAGGACAAAATAAATCCGTATTCATTGGCCCAGATTTGAACGTCGATAACATATTGTGGATGATTGCTCGTAAGAAAACTAAACAGTGTCATCCGTAAAGGCCGGATCTGGTCTGCATCTGGCAACCAGGGAAGACGTCTCTCCGAGTGCATAAACTGTAATCGAGGTGTAAGAGATAGATGTTTTAGATAGCTGTTCTTTGTAACTCACCGGCGTAAAATTGATTCATCCGCGGTGTCCATCGTATGACTCTGGATCATTGATTGCACCTCTGCATAAAACGCATGTAACATTGGTTGCACACATGTTGTCTACGCAACACATGTGAGTATCTTGCAAATGTGGGATGAAGTTGCCTGTCAAAAGCCGTGAATTGAGTTGAGCTGATGTCCTCTTACTTAAAGAACAAGCTCTCGAATTAGAGTTACTGTCAGATTGACATGGCGCCTTATGGATGCCTAGGCCACGGCTCGTAGTACTCTCTTACGTTTGCAACCACACTATGAGTTCAACATTTGTGTGCACAAGATATACCCTTAATAAGTTCGCTATGGTAACCTCTGCAACAGCTCACTCACACTTGCCATCAATCTCGAGCAAACACTGATGAGAAAGTATCAAAGCAACGGAGTCAGACTCACCATGAGAGTCGCCTTTCGAGGCAACATCCGAGATCTTCTCTAAGTCTTCTCTGCGGCCTGTGGTCTATACATCGCTTGATACTGTATAACATGAGCAACTCCTAAGAGCATACATAGGTAGGTAGATGGAAATTATGTATCATTTGACGAGTTTTGATGTTGCCCTCGGGGCGCACATTAAGTTATTACATCAACTCTTAGAAACAATAGGTACAGAAGCACTATCTAAAAGCTACCACTGGAAACTCCCAAACATGCACGTCAATACCTAATTGTAAGTAAGTCAGGGGCAGCTTTGGTGATATCTTGGAATAACCGTATATGGTTAGCCAAATCGCGAGTAGGATGGATCTCGGTTCGCCGTTGAGAACGTCATCAGTCGCTCATTATCCGTTATCTATTGGCATTGGGCATTGGGGGCACGCGGTCCGCGAAAAATTCTCTCCAGCACACTAAGGGAAGAAGGACGTACCTCCGTGAAGCCGAATTTCCCCGGAGCTGTATTATTTCAGCAGGCCGCTGATTGGCCGGGGCCAGGGGGCAGGGCTCCATTCTAGTGGCCCGAGGGCCTTGCCCAGCATGGATTTTAGTGTGCATGCAAGGTCACCATGCCGCAAGTATGCTCTATTAAATCTTGATTGCTTCAACTTTTTTCTTCCCTCCTCCTGACAACAACCTGCTACCAGTATTTCCCTGCTCGCTAGACACACGACAACGTCGTCCATTTAATCCCTAATCAATCTCCTTTTGCTCCTCCCGCAAAACACACACAACCGTCAAGATGGGTTTCTCTCAAGGTAGGTTTCTTCTACTCTCTCGACCGCTGATCAGATGATCCGCCATTTTCTAAAATTTGCCCGCCTTGTCAACACATGTTCGTTCTGCGAAGCCATTGAGTGACAAGCACCTCATTCAACTCTATGCCGACCGTCGCGAGTCCCCCTTCAACAGTCACCCTGTCTGTTCGGCCCCTAGACGTTGCCCTTTTGCTTGCGACTGTGGACAGATCGCCACACAAGCTTGCGCTATTTTCCTCAATCGCCTCCTTCCATACCTACATCCTGGGTTGAGCCTGTCGCATCTGGCAGGGAAAACAGGGAGGCTTTCTGCGAGCGCAGACATTGATACCCTTTGCAATATACATGGAATCTGGCTTCGCGCGTGCCTGTAGTATGAGAGGATAATACGCTAACATGACGGATTCTAGGTGATCTCAAGAAGGGCGAGAAGCTCTTCACCACCCGTTGCGCTCAGTGCCACACACTGAAGGAGGGTGAGGGCAACAAGGTCGGCCCTGCCCTGCACGGTCTTTTCGGCCGTAAGACCGGCTCCGTCGAGGGCTTCTCCTACACCGATGCCAACAAGCAGAAGGGTATCACATGGGACGAGGAGACCCTTGTATGTTGCTACATATATCCCCTATCGGCCGCTCAAGCGGTAATTTCAAAATCACTAACCGCCATCTTAGTTCACCTACCTCGAGAACCCCAAGAAATACATTCCCGGCACCAAGATGGCTTTCGGTGGTCTCAAGAAGGACAAGGACCGCAACGACCTCATCACGTAAGCTGATACCCGACCTCGACCCAGCATTTCCTGATCAACGCAATTGCTAATTGACATCGCTCTTTACAGCTACCTCAAGAAGGAGACCGCATAAACTAATACCGCGACAACAAGTCGGACGTGTAACGATAAAGCATTTGCATAGACGGATGGGCCAACGAGTGTATTTTATAGATTAGACCGTGGCAGCGCCATTGGCTGTGGTGCGAGCATATATCCATCTCCTCTTTATTAATGACGAAGTAACTTTTCCATAAAAGCGGGAAAGCGAGCAAATAGAGTCACCCAATCCTGGTTGATAGCGCGTGTTCGCTTGCTCGCTCATTTAGAGAAGGCATGGGGTTGGGTCGGTTTTTAGAGTTAAACCGCTCATGGTACATATAGATGGACCCCTTTTGTGTGTATCAATAACAGCTTTGAATTCTGTCCCCAATAACTGAGTAAAGTTCCTACGTGAGTTGTTCAATAATGGCAACGCACCAGATTGGTTACGTGTCCGTTGAAACAAACTGGCTTCCTGGGAAGTCGTGGCCGAACTCGGGCAAACGATTCACTTTGGCGTTCGAAATCTATATAATCCTATCTGCCCTACGCCTGTGGCGCATGTAAAATCCCTTTAGCGCGGCTCAGGCAATTATCGGCCGGAGAATGCTATCTAGTGCATACACTTTCAACCGGACCAACGGATTTCCCTTAACCCTCTTAGTAAGGTATTTCATTTCTGCGATGGAACCTTGCAAAATAGGTATACAGGTGCATTTATCATGACTCAGCCTTTCAGTCAGAACGTTCTGGGATGTGCGTAGCATACTTTATGTATGTATAGAGTATTGTCGTGGTGGATATGTAGGTGGCCCTTCAATTGAAACTAGCGCCTTTGAAAACAGCCCGAATGTGTATTACGGTATTAATCTACTCGATATGTCCTTTTTCGTGCGACAATTAGCAAGAGAAGCCTTATTATGTCCCCAGTGCTGGAATAGGCTTCTAGGAACTACTGTTTGATATTTTAACATGGGATGTAGTATATTCTCAACGAAGACTTGTTGACACAGATGATACTCCTTTTCAAGGGAGTCTTCGCAGGACATGGTGGCCAATAAGACACGAAGAAGAGCAGATAACTGGACATATAGGGGCCAAGGTAGAAGCTGCCCAAGGCAAAGGACGTAGATAACTGGCGATATCATTGACTGGCGAGGCAGATACAGGGTGAATGATGCAAGACAGAGTCACCCCTGGTTAATATATCGCTAACCGCCAATCATTCAAGCTGCAAGTTGAGCAAAGAGTCCTCGGGTATGAAATGTAATATAACCGCGATATACAAAGGTATGTCGCTCCGGAAATCAGGGGTAGAACCTTCTATGAGCGGACACAAAACCATGCGATAAAAGGGGACATCACAATTATACAATAGAATAATAGAGGATTATTACATCATGAAAATGGGTGTATATTCATTGGATTATGGGGACATAAGTGATACTTATTCCCATCCGATTTCTTTCAACTCTCTAAACTTCTTCGAGTGGCTATCTGACACGCTTGGTTTCGTCTCATTGAGAGCTATCTCCCAGTCCGCCAATAATATGCTAATCTCCGTCTCTTCTCCGCCTCCTTCGGAACTTGTTCTTGTTATAGCAGCCTCGGCCGCAGCGTTGTGTAGATTCTCAATATCAGCGCCGCTGAACCCGTCGCACCGCCTGTCCCGAGCCACGGTCTCCAGCACATCGAAATCTTTGTACGAGGGCATCACGCGACGAATGAGGGATTTCAGAATCTCCACACGTCCGTCTGCGTCGGGCAGGCCGATGAAGATATTGGTGCCGAGCCGACCAGGTCGCAGGATGGCGGGATCGATCATGTCTGGCCGGTTGGTGGCGCCTATGACATACACTCCTGAGCGGCTGTCCTTTCCGTCGAGCTCTGTTAGGAGCTGGTTTACCACTCTTGCACTCGAGTCGGTACCGCTCGAGTCCCGGCGCGGCACCAGGGCGTCTAACTCATCGAAGAATACGATACAGGGGGCGGAGGCACGAGCACGACTGAAGACTTGACGCACGGAGCGTTCTGATTCACCAACGTACTTGTTGAGTAGCTCTGGACCCTTAACGGAGATGAAATTCGCTTTGGACTCGTTGGCTACAGCCTTGGCTAGTAAAGTCTTGCCGCAGCCCGGGGGTCCCCAGAGAAGTACGCCTGAAGGACCGCCGAGACCGACAGACTTGAACATCTTGGGCTGATGGATGCGCTCCACGATAGCGAGCATCAAGCGCTTCCGTACATTGTCGAGAGCGCCAATATGAGCCCACGTGGTATCAGGGATCGTCGAGAAGCCTTCGCGCTTCGACGAAGGCTGTACACGTGTGAGAGCCTCGAGAAAATGATGCATGGTGAGTACAAAGCTTTCGTCAGGCATAGGCGGACGGGTTTCAGCGTTGATTGCATCATGTAACTTGATGATAGGGATGTCTTGTGTATCGGAGTCTACATCCATGGTAGAGGATGAAGATTCCTGCGCAATTTTAGACACTATTTCTTTGACCAGGTCGTTCGAAGCCACTGAGATCAGGCTCTCCAAATCTGCTCCAACAAAACCTGGCGTCCTCTTGGCCAAGACTTTGCAGTCAACGTCATCGGCAACTCGTGTCCTGCCTAGCATCTTGCGCAGTATAGATTCACGGGCTACCTCGTTGGGGATTCCAAGGGCAATTTCTTGGTCGAATCTGCCAGCTCTTCGTAGTGCCGGATCTATACTGTCTGGTCGATTTGTGGCGGCAAGCGTGACGACCATCTTGCCGTCCATTTTCTGCGGATCGCAGTCATCCATGCAGGTCAGCATTTGGGCGACTATCCGCTTCTCCATCTCTCGTTGTGCATTTTCTCGCTTGCCCATTATGGCATCTATTTCGTCGATGAACACCAAGCACGGGGCAAGGTTTCTGGCCTCATCGTAGAGTTCTCGGATTTTCTTCTCTGACTCTCCAGACATGCCAGCCACGAGAGACGGAGCAGACACGGAGATGAAAGCTATTCCTAATTCTGCAGCATATGCTTTCGCCAACATGGTCTTTCCGCAGCCGGGGGGGCCGTGTATCAGCACGCCGCGAGCGGGCTTTACAGAGCCTCGCTGATATGATTGGGGGTATCTCATTGGAAAAGTGATTGATGTGACAAGAACTTCTATAGCAGCTTCCATACCCCCAAGGTCTCTTAGAGTAATATCTGTCGGAGGAGTGCGGTCATCCTTCTCCTTACGCTCGGCTCTGCGTTTCTTAGTCCTGGGCTCTCCATTAGGTTGCCTCTTTGCCTCTAAGCTGGCTTGTGGTTCTGGAGTGGTCATCTCAGAGGATTGTGCTTTGGGGATATTCCAGGACTTTGTGATTTGTTTGTTCAACAAGTAGTAGTCCCTTTCCTTCGCTTGCAGTTAGTGAGACGTTCAATCGCTTATAAATTCTATATTTTGCGAGTACATTGCGAAAAGGGCAATTTGATGGCTATATATGATGCCATTTGTTATTTCAACTTCTCATACCTTCGGCTTGGGTGATTTTGATGCTGCTGCTTCCTCAATCTCAGCCTCTTCGTCGTCTTCTTGCCTTTCTTCTCGCCGAAGACGAAGAACCCTTTCTATCGAGTCCTCAAGTGGACGCTTTTTCTGGCGAGCCAGGCTTGAATTCGAATGTTTAATAGAGTCGTATACGCCTGAAACAGTGAATTTCGGAGGCTTTTTTTCATCGACGTGCTGATCCTCGAATTTGCGGATGATCTGGTAAACGTCTCGGTCCAGACCCTGCAACATCCGGGGAGGCATGGCAGAGGTGTTATAATTTTACAGAGGGATGAAAAAGAGTGATCCGCATTAGAACCGCGACAAAAGTTTTATACTCTTCTACTTTGCCTTGGCCTGCGACGAGATCGTTTTGTATATCTTTTTTTGCTCATATGCAATTGTCGTCTTATAAATCTTCATATCTATCTACTGTTGAGACGCAACTTTTTTGGCTCTGGAAGCAGTAGCCTAAGCCCAATTTGGGTTAGTACAGACCATGCACTCAATGTAGTGGATAAATGGATTCCACATTTGACAGTTGCAGTAGGGTTAAACGTATTTATATCAATAAATCAATTAGACCAAGTTGAATAGCAGCCAGCCGTATAAATATGGATAAACTCGAAATGCACTTATATGTGTTTTATACAAAGCTACGGGCCCTCTAGCATAGAAACTGTATTATACTGTAGAATTGTGTTGAGATGTACTTTACGGTACATGTACAAAAGAGGAATCAGCTGCGTCATCTGCTATCTTATCATAAAGTAAAGCTAGGCCTGTCAAGGTCAAGTCTGCCTACCTCCTTACGTAGATCCCGCATCCCCATGCAGCTGCAATGGAACAGCGACCGACGACATCCACAAGCCGATACAGAGCGACTCACGAGACCATCAACAACGAGGTGGTTCTACTTCCCCCACACACCTATAGAAATCTATCCAATACCGAGACTCGTATTTTCAAATTTTAACTAAAACTTATCCCAAGCCATTAATCTGAGCGTAGAAGGAGCATAAAGGAGGGGTTGCCACTAGACGATGCGCCTGGCCGAATCCTCGACGGATCCCAGGGCTAGGTGACAGACAGGAAGCGAAGACGCAAGGCAAATAAACCAACGTAGACAGATAGGATTCCAAAAGGACAAATAAACTCAAGATGGGGAATAGCAACAGCCGTGTGACGGCACAAGACAAGTAAGCCCATCGAGTTCATCTCGCGTACTCATCTCGAGCCCCTCCCCCTGAATAATCCACCACCAACCATACCATGCTAACCCGCCATCTCCGAACTCCAGAGCCATCCTCGACCTAAAGCTCCAGCGCGATAAGCTCCACCAATACCAGCGCCGCATCGTGCTGCTAACCGATAAAGAGACGGACGTGGCGCGGAAGATGCTCGCCGCAGGCGACAAGAAGCGAGCGCTCCTGGCGCTGCGGCGGAAGAAGTATCAAGAGCAGCTCCTCGTCAAGACGGACGCGCAGCTGGCGCAGCTAGAGCAACTGACGCGCAACGTCGAGTTCGCGCTGATACAGAAGGACGTCGTCTTCGGGCTACAACAGGGCACGCGCGTGCTCAAGGAGATCCACGCCGAGATGGGCGGCATCGAGCACGTCGAGAAGCTGATGGGTGAGACGGCCGAGGCCATCGCATACCAAAAGGTAAGAGGGCGCAATGCAAGTTTCGCTGTCCACCTATTCCCGCTGTATACATATATATATATATATACATAAGCTGTTAGGCGGAGGCAAGATGGCTAGGTCAAAGAGGCTAACCATTTGTGATGTTTCGTATCATATAGGAAGTCAGCGACATGCTTGGCGGCCGTATTACGAACCAAGACGAAGACGAAGTCGAGGACGAACTCGCCGCCCTCGAGCGTGAGGTTAACGGGCCCGGCCCCTTACCCGCCGTCCCCGTCACGAAGCCCATCGTACCCGAGACACAGGTGGACGAACAGGAGCCTCCTGATAGACAGCCGGAAAGGCAACCCGAAAGACAAGCGATGCTTGCATCATAACATAATATCACATCAGGACACAAAGTACACAACACTACTTAGATTTAGTCTGTTTTTGTAATCTTGAAGCATGATGGGAGTAACATATAAAGTGGAAAGGCGGCGCTTGCATGATAGTTGGTTTTGATTATTGTATAGATCTATGAAAGCGTTAATTCATTATTATTTCACATAATACCAACATAGGGATTCTGAAAAGCTGTATCATGTTTGGGTGATGCGCTACACATTGATACCCTATGTAGGATCGCCTTGGGGTAAGTCTAATCGACTTTCGTAGCTAGTATATACAGCACAAACAAGACCAATGCATCGAAAACAACAACCATGCCAATATTTCTCCCTGACAAACTGGCCCTTCGTGAAAATGCGATTCTTCTGATTGTTTCCTGAAACACCCTACAACACCAGTTCATGCATTGATGTGCCGTCCAATTGAACATGCGGTTATGCTAAACATTGGGTATCTTGAGAAAACAATCGATTCCAAACAATGCAATTGATCCCCGGGTCATGACCACCAGACCCCTTCTATGGTTTTTGCCTCGAGAACGCCTTGTGCAATGATTTAAATGCTCTGGTTGGAGACAGTCGTATATGGAAATACACTTCCCTTCTGGTGTACAGTCGTAGGTAGATGCAAGTTACTCAACATATATCATATCACGATGATCGGGTATACGCCGGTGTGGCGACGGACCTCGAATTTCGACGTAGCTGCTTGGAGCCGGATGAACTGGAAACGGTTGTTGAGCCGCTCTCTCATATCCTACAGCGGCCGGCCTAGTAGCATCAGGTCTGAGACCTTGATAAACAACATCACTCCTGGGTTGTTGCGGCAGCACACTTGGGTGCTGTTGTAGCCCTGTGAATCTGCATATATCGTCAGCAAATCCCGTCATCACCGGACATTATGGTCAGGCTTTATCGTGCAAGCGCTGTTTCTTACCTATCAATTCTTGGAGTCTCTTGTGACGATGCTTGAATCCTTACGGATGCAGTACCAGGCCAAGCTGATGCGTTTCGTTCTGGTTCGATAGGCCGAGCACCTTCCCTATCAAAAGGAACAGCGTATCGTAGAGGCTGTTCTGCACGAGGTTGATGTACAGGATGTAGCGACACTCCGGGAGATAGGGGCCGAGGCCCTTCGTAAGCGCGTAAGCCAGGCTGATTTTGAGAAGCAATGTGATGACGACTGCCTGAATTGCTTCCAATGCGGCTAGTAGAGTTATCGAGGTAGACCACTCTTGGGGAACCCTTGGTGCGAGGATCTCCTTGAACACCAGGACTATGAACAGCACTTCCTCTTGGAGAAGTTGTTCTATAGATATCATGGGCAGGCGAGCCCCGCACCTCAACAACACGGCGAGGCTCATAGCGACCGTCCCCATCGATAACAACGGGATTAGCCCTCGACCTAAGAGGCGCTTCATACTCCGGACCAACAGGCATCCTCATATTGTTCTGATATATACCACCCGGGGCTGTTGCGCCAATCAAGGGCAGTTCATCCCTGGTCACTGGGGTTGGGTGGCCTCTCAATCTACCATGGCCGTCCTCCGATTGAAATACCCTAACATCCTGCGCGAGTGGTCCTCGCGGAATATCCTTGTACAAAACACGCTCTGTGGCACCCGGGGCCGCAGGCCGTCGATCTGCAGGATACTCAAGCCGAGAATAGCGTGAAGCATCATGCTGGCTTCGAGGAGCTACACGCACATAAAAGGAATCCGAAGACTTTTGGTAATCCTCGGGGAAATAAGTTATAACGCGACGGCGCTTTGCAGCATCTTCGTGCTCATTAGCCATGACCCCTGGAGATCGAGGGCGAGGATGAGGCATAGCAGGCTCAACAATGGTACGAGAAATTACTCGACGTGGAACTTCTGTGGGTCGCTGAGCCTCGTTGGGTACCCTATGAGTTGCGTCCAGCGATGCGCGTACAACATCCGGGGATCTAGGTTCAATAGATGGTAGCAGCATATCCTTTAAACTCATCCTTATTGGTGACAAAGAAGGTGCTGGAGCCTGACTATAGTTTGCAGAGTAGGGCCCAACTTTGGGCCGCTGATCGTCAGGGACGCGAATGAATTGCTCGGTGCCACCATGGACACGAGCATCCGAAGCGATGTGAGGCATCATGACTGTTCTGTCTTGACTCAGGCCGCTAGACTGAGAAATAGGTATCCTCTGACTATCTGCATGTCCATTGGAGATCCTCGTAACATACGCTTCCTGCACGGTTGCCCCTGGAACTGTATGGTATGTGTTTACTGGGTGAGCTGAACCTTGACGTCTAACAACCTCCACGGGCGTGGCTACAAATCCAGGCGTGCTAGGGCTCTCCGGATGAACGTTCTGGCCAGAAGAGTTTGCGAGGGCTTCAGCAGCAGCAGCATATCGCTTGAATCGTTGCTGAGTCTTGCGGGCTGTTCTCCTATCGGCCTTCGCAAGCTTACGCACTCCAGATGGTGTACGTGGACTTGCAAGGACAGGGCTACTTGTCTGTCTGCTCACGCCAGAGGGGTCGTTAAGGGGACGGGAGAGTCGCGATACTGCCCTGCTTGGAATGACTGCTGTACGCATTGTCCGAGGAACTTGAATGCGCGTATTATCTGGACTACTCTTCTCATCCTCGCTATCGGTTTCAGTATCTGATATTTCAATTACTTCCCGGAGAATCTCGTCCAACTGATCACGGCCAGTCTCTTCATCTCCTCGCCACTTGACGATGATATCCAAGCATGGCTTTTCTACGGCTTTGCGGGCATTTGCCCAGTCCGATTCTTTCAATAGATCATCGTAGCGGGTATGAGTATGTCTGATGTGAGCAAGGGCCGCAAGTTGGACCCGACGGGCCAATGTTATATCCTTGGCCATACCAACTTTGATTTCACCATTGAACTTGCCGTCCTATATTCAAAAGATGGGTCAGTGTCTTGCATAACTCATATACAGCCGATACTATATGCATACTTTCTTAAAGGCGTGATCAATGATCTGTTGTCGGTCAGTGTGGGGTATCCTGGGGAAAAGATCTCTGAGTACTGCATCAGCCTCAAGGTCTATCTCCCGCTGTGAACTCGGTATGGGTTCAGGCTTTCCGGGCTCGTGTACGTAGGCGGCCTGTTCATGATGGCCTCTCTGGTTCAAAATCTTGCGTGCTTCTTCAACAATAGAATGTCGGAAGTGGTAACCTAATCGATTCATATGGTGATCGAGTTTTAGTGTGTCTTTTGAGATCTGACAAATGTACTTAGCTACAAGGTTGAGTTGAATGGTAGAAGATCAAACTTACAGAAACTATGAAGAACATGGCATCGTTATTGCGCGACTGTTCCTTGCATTCTTGTGACAACTCCGGGTGGCCAGTTGGAATGAATTCAAAGCCAGGGGGTGGCTCTCGATTGGTAGTAATCTATTACCGGTAAGCAATGTGTTCCGTGATTTGGACATGTTCCTCTATTATAAATAATTAGGTACCTCAAATTCGAGTTTCTTCTTTTTGTCTTCGTTCTCGACTGCTTCAAAGTAGGACTTATGCTTCATTTTGGGGGGTGCCTTTAATGGGTTCAAATTGCGCCAAACGCTATCGTCGAATTGTAAAGCTCTCTCCAGCTTGGCACGCCTGGCGGCGGCTGCAATACCGTGCGCCGGCGCCGGCGCCTTCTTTTTTTCTCTTGTCATTACGAGAGTAGTTCTAGTCTTACCATGCTAGAAATGGACTGATTGTAGGCAAAATACCTAGGCATAAAAAACCGAGCGAGAACAAAAAAAGAAAATGTCAGCTATACTGGACAGATCGCTACGGCATCATATGTAGATGAATGCGTGCTTTGGTCAATGGATGCTATGTCCTAGATGTCCCTGGCAGAGATCAAAATACCGCAGACACTCGCTGCCTTGCTGGCCGGGAATAGACGCAGGAAAACAAGATGTCACAGGAACACGTTTCCCAACGGATATCTGAGAGAATAATTCCCAAAAATGGCGTTCAGAGCCGTCAGCAGGGACGCTGGGCACAGGGCGCAGGGCTAGGAGGTCAGTCGTCGCGCACCGGCGGGGCGGAAAAGGTACAAGAAATCAGGACAGCCGGAATCCTCAGAGAAAAGATGTACTTTTCAGAGATGGAAGCTGGTATCTCTCAAGCCTTGGGCTGAGATTGAACAAGAATAAACAACAGGCAGGGCGCGCGCGCGTCGAGCCCGATGCTGTCTGTGTTTTGAAACCTCAAAGCTTGGGTGTTGATGGGTTAACAACTTGAAGTTGTGTTGGGCAGAGACAGATGGAGAAAATCCAAGCTGTCAGGCGCATCGGAATGGCCAAAAAGACATCCGCAGTGGCGTCACGTACGGTTGCCGATTTTAGCCTAGTGTCGCTACGTAATTATCTACATTAGTATGAATGTACTTACTTAGGTACCTCTCTGTGCCTTACTTAAGTATGTAGGGCCCGCATCAACGGAAATTCATACTTGTGGCTGATGCTCTCTCGCAAGCCACACTTTCCAATTGGACCCGGCTTGTCGGTTGATTCTTGCAACCTTTTGCGAGAAACGAGTCTCCGAGAAGAATCGACATCTAACCCGCCCGCAATTCCACCTGCTACCTGTCTCCTCACCTCTGCCATGTTGTCCCGACAGGCCCTCCGATCTCTGCGAGCCGTAGCTCCTCAGAGGACATTTGCCCAGTCCTCTGTGCGCTCCTACGCCGCTGCCGCTGCCACTCAAGATGTCAAGCCCCCCGTCGCCGTCTACGGTCTCGATGGCACCTATGCCACCGCTCTGGTACGATACATCCATCGACGTCAATTGTCGCGGCTCAATTATTACATGGGGTCTTCGGGATACTCTTTGTCAATTGGAGCATGGTTGTCAGCTTTGGTGGGGAGCGAACTCTGTTGGACTGACGCATGAGCTATTTAGTACACGGCCGCCGTTAAGACCTCGTCCCTAGACCCAACAGCAAGGGCCTTGAACGCCCTCAGCGACCTATACACCAAGGATGCTAAGCTTGCTACTGTCCTAGCCACACCGACGCTGAGCGAAGGCGACAAGAGCGCCATCGTCGCCGAGCTCCAGAAGAGCATCGGTGGTGCCGCCAACGACACTGTCAAGAACTTCCTCGCCGCCCTTGCCGAGAACAACCGTCTTGCTCTATTGAAAGATGTCTGTGATAAGTTCGGCGAGCTGATCAGCGCTTCCCGCGGCGAGGTCGAGATGGTTGTCACATCCACTCAGGTATGCATATTATCAAACAGTTACCCATTATACTACACGCGCATAGCAACTCTCATCAGGAGCTGAGCTAATCAATGCACAAAGCCTTTGGACAACCGGACTCTTAGCCGTCTCGAGACTGCCGTCACCAAATCCCAGTACGTCGGCCAAGGCAAGAAGTTGAAGGTCACAAATGAAGTCAACCCCGATATCCTTGGTGGCCTCGTCGTTGAGATCGGTGACCGCACAATCGACCTGTCCGTGTCATCCAAGATCGCCAAGATGAACAAGCTCCTCACCGACACTTTGTAATAATACCACCTATCCATCATTTCCTCTTAGGTTTCGAGTCAGGCGAGGCAAGGGGGTAGAAGCTGCGGAATACGTTGCGAACGGAAATTCATTCCCAAATTCGGCAACTCCTCCTTTGCGCGAGGAGGAAGAACCGTTGTGTGTATAGGAGCGTTTAAATAGAGGTTGCATTCGTCTCCAAATCTAGCAGCATCGTTTCCTTTGTGAAATACAATTACTGTACACTGAACCACCATCTTGCCATATATGTGTAGTGATTGACAGCCATTACGGTTACATGGACTTGACTCATGCGTTCATGTTTCCATACCTAGGATAAATGTTACAGGATAGAGACCTAATGGTTAGCTGACTATACAATATCTAGCCTTCATAGTATGTAAAGAGACAGAGAAAACTCTAGTTCCATGCCTGAGCAGCGATTTCACAGTTGTCATCTCAGTTATGCTGATATAAGCGTATAGGTAAGTACGCCAAACCCTTGAAGCGATCAATTAAAGCTTGAAAATGCGAATAGTTCTTCAGACTACATCCGTGAATAGAGCTCACCAACCTATCGTGTATTGCTATCTAATCTAGAAAGCTACTAATATTGCTTGCTTTTAAGAATACCTTCTAAAAAGTGCTAAACCAAAACACTTTCTATTGTTCTTGTCCATTATTTCAATATTTTGTTCTGCCATTTAGTATCCAATGCTGAGCTGTAGGAGATGTCTTCTCCCTAGAATCCGAGAGTATGGCAAGGGCCTCCTCTTCTATAGATGTGCCTCATACTCGTCTCTATCCACATCCCCAGCATTGTCATCATCAAGCACGCGTTGTAGCTGGCCAGAGATGTACTGGTGCAAATGAGCGTTCGCTTCTTCACGCTGCGCTTGACGCTCAGGATCATCAGTTATCACGCTACGGGCCTCATATTCTTCACCATTGACTGAAGTATCAAAGTCACTTCGAGCGCCGATGGAGCGAGCTGTAGATGACCGGCGAATGCGTGGTTTCTCCCCTTTTGAATTCATGAGATGGATGTGTCGATGCACTGTAAAACTCAAGTCAGTCGATTAATCTCGACTTAAATGTGAATGGGACCTAAGCGTGAGTCCTTCGAAAGAGAAAGCCCTCTTTGAAAAGATGACTTTTCTAACTTTGAGAATAGCCGAAATGAGAGCCGCCCTGCATAATTACTTACAAGTATCATCAAAGTAATGTCCCATTGCTGCAGATGGCGTGCGAGGTGTCTGAGGTAGACGGCAACTCATTCTAATTCTTTGTCAGTGATCTCTCTTGATGGTATTTCTCATATTAAACTTACCCTGTGTCATGAATCATTCGAGCAATCAGCCCAGTCCAGCCACACTGATGGGAGGCCCCAAGGCCACGGCCACTGTCGCCGTCGAAGAACTCATAGAACCAGACGTTGTCCTTCCAATGGGGATCGAAGTCGAGTAAGTCACTTCCACCGTTGATGCTGCGACGGCCATCGTCGCCACGAGCAAAAAGATGTTGCAAGCGGTGCTGGATCTCTTCTGATACATGCCCCAGATGCATATAGTCACCAGACCCAGTGGGACATTCTACCTTGAACCCAGGTCCGTAGAAAAGGTAGAAGCGTTGAAGTGCCTCCACAAGCAGGAAATTGACGCAAAGCCAAATTGGACCCCTCCAGTTGCTATTTCCTCCGAATAAACCACTGTCGGAGTCACCTGGTACATACCCCACCGTGAATTTCTGACCGTTGACATCCATCGAGTAGGGGTGGTCTTTATGATATCTAGATAGAGATCGGATACCATGCTCACTGAAGAACTCGTTTTCGTCAAGCATACGCTTCAGAATCTTCTCCAGTCTGTCTTTGCTGACCATAGCCAGCAAAATACGGTCTCCCTTGCCCCTCTTTCGAATACTTGCCATATTTCTCTCGGCCATGTCGCATCTATTCTCCATGAACCAGTTTACTCTCTTCTTGAAAGAAGGAAGCTTATTGATCAGCTCCGGCTCCAGAGTCATAGTGGCATACAAGGGGATTAGCCCAACGAGTGATCGAACAGGTAGTTGCTGAATCCATGGACCGCCCCAAGAGATTGCATCGTAGTAAAAGCCATCCTCCTCATTCCACAATGACTTCTCATCCTTGCCGGATTTGAAAGTCATGGCATCGCTGATCAAGATGAAATGCTCGAAGAACTTCGAGGCGATGTCCTCATATGTCCTTCTATGTTTGGCCAGCTCAAGGGCTATGTTCAGCATAGAGAGGCAGTAGAACGCCATCCACCCAGTACTGTCTGCTTGTTCAAGGACACCACCTGTAGGCAAAGGCTCGGAACGGTTGAAGAGCCCGATATTGTCCAACCCGAGAAAGCCACCCTCGAAAACGTTTTTTCCCTCCTGGTCCTTCCGATTAACCCACCACGTGAAGTTTAGAAGTAATTTCTGGAAGACTCTTTCGAGGAAATCGAGATCTTGCCTGCCATAGATTTTTCTCTCGATCTTGAACACACGGAATGTCGCCCATGCATGAACCGGAGGATTCACGTCGCCGAAGTTCCACTCGTATCTAAGACAGAGTCAGCAAATTTGTACTAACAGTATGGTAGACCAGGGTGTCGTACGCTGGGAGTTGACCATTTGGGTGACAATACCATTCTCTTGTGAAGAGATCAATCTGTTTCTTCGCAAAGTCCGGGTCAATCATTGCCAGAGGAATACAATGAAAAGCAGAATCCCACGCGGCGAAGAACGGATATTCCCATGAGTCAGGCATGGATAAGATATCGTCAATATACAGATGCTTCCAATGAGAATTTCGCACTTCTTTTCTCTCGGGGGGAGGAGGTGGCTGAGATGGATCACCAGTGGCCCACTGATCCCAGATGAACTGGTAGTATTGTTTACACCACATCATGCCTGAGAAAGCCTGGCGCTGAACAGCTCGAAGGTCCTCTGACATCGGCAAGGGGCTTATTCGATAATAGAAGTCATCGGCCTCGTCCCTCCTTTTTTCGACTATATCGTCGAATTCCTCTTCGTCGAGATAGGTATCTCCTTTCTTAGAGAACTTAAAACGAACGACTTCATTCAGGGGGTTAGCCAACCAGACACTGAGCAGTTTTGAGTTCTACTTACCGGCGCATTCTCCGGGAGCAACACCACCAGACTCATTGAAGGCAAACCAGGCAGCACACTTCGTTCCTGTGGTAGCGGGATTCACCGCTTCCTTCTCGTCGTTTACAATATATCTGTGAAATGCATCCTTAACATACGGTGTTGTGTTCTTTTGTCCATAGAGAAGCTCAACGTTCGTATCGTTGTCAGTAAAGAGAAGCTCTGGTTGCACATCTTCGCCGCTTGGTCCTACGCCAGGAGAAGGCGACAACAGCACATATCTCTCGCCCAATTTATGGTGTTTTGAGCGCACCAGATTTTCCGCGGCCACCGAGATAGACGGTTTTTTATCCTCAGGCTCACGACCCCAGGCCCAAGTGTTTCGAAACCAGACGTGAGGAATAATATGTAGAGGAGCAGGATCTGGGCCCCGGTTCCAAGCGGTCAAACGGAATAGCAGTTCTTGTGGGTCATTATCATCTTTCGCTGTCTCAATCACAATATCCCAGTACCTATCCTCTTCAAAAATTCCAGTGTCAACAATTTGGTACTCCTTTTCCGTTCGAGACCGTTGCGCATTTTCTTTGATGAGATCGTCGTAGGGAAAGGCCTTTTGGGGGTATTTGTAGAGATACTTCATGTAGGAATGCTACGGCAGGCGTAAGTCTGCTGCTATCATTGGTTTTGAGGGTCAAGGAAGGGGCTAAGTATTCATACTGTCTACGCAGCTTGACGTTAGCACCTTGCATGTATTTATTTTTGGAAAAGGCTTCGAGCTTACAGGAGTATTGTCCAAGTGAAAATGGGCTTCTTTGATACTCTCACCATGGTTTCCCTGAGGATTCGATAGACCGAACAGGCGCTCTTTGAGGAAGGGGCTGGCAAGGTTAGCAGTAGCCCCTACCAGACTGGAAGATATCATCAAACTGACTCTTCTTCATTCCAAAATGCAAAGGCGATGTTCTGGAGGCCGTGCGTATCGGACACTCCGGCAATGCCATCCTCGCCCCAGCGAAAGGCTCGGGACCTGGCCTGGTCGTGAGTGAAGTCTACAGGCGGTTAAAAGTCAGTTCATTCGAAGACAAAACAACATCTACTCACGGCTCCAAGCATCGCCATCTGCGCTATAATCCTCTCGCACTATCCATGATATGTTAACATGCCAATTGATGCTGTGAGTGCTAATGTGGTGTCTTGCCTGTTGCCCACTGGCGCTCGGCAACGTAGGGCCCCCATTGCTTCCAGTACTTGACGCGGTCGCGGTCCTCTCCAAGCCGCTTCTCCTCCTCAGTGATGTATTCGTAATTGTCGACCACAACCATTCTGAAACGGGAGCCTACAGCTTATGGCCCGATCACACAACAAGACACAAATATTCTTAATGGGTAGCCAGACGGCTGGGAGTCGAGGACAAGAGGAGGAAAAGCTCGCTCAAGGGTTGATAGTAGAAACTAAGTGGTGACGAGAACAAGGCAGCTCTTGAGAAGCAGTCTAGACTAGGTAGAACAAGCCTGTCTACGTACCTGGCCTAGTGCAAATCAGGCTCAGGCACACAACGCCTTTTCCGGGCGGGCGCTATCTACTTCAGGTAGTCCGGCGGTGACGATGCTGTGATATGCAATGCATTGCGTTGGCTACGTTATTGACGTTGCAACGTGAGAGTTCCCTCGTCCTATCACATGCACCTCGCTGCCACGACGACGCAGCTGCTCTGTCACCCTGGACCGGCTGAGACGGGGATGAGGGGAGCACTATCTCCATGCTTGCCTGCTGCCCCGCCATGACGTCATTACAATTAGATTTTGCTGGACAGCTCCCCTCTCTGTCCCCTCCTTATCGTGCATTGCGACACCGCTGTGTCTGCGCTTTTATTTAACTTAGCGACGCGGTGAGCCCCATAGTCAGCAAATTAGAAATTGCTGATCTGGTCTAGACCTCGAACTACAGAGGAGCTACTATTATCTATGATATACATACAGTAGTAGGTATCAGGGGGCAGAAGGGGGCTAGATGAATGCCGCCATAGGCCCTCCTCTGTCCGACCTACAACAGACCAGGATCCACGGGACTCCTTGTATCAGTCCACGCCATACTGTATGTAGATGATTTTGAAGCTGTGCGTGTACACGTAGACTGGACCTATATATTACGGGGCGTCTTCTCCCCAACCTATCTAGTAGCTATTAACTTCATAGAGGCTGAAGTGTGAACATTTACTGCCAAGTTCCAATATCAAAGAAGATTCTAATTCCACCTAGGTCGGAAGATAGTTGTAAACTAGGTAGCCCCAGAACTTCCCATCTCAAAGTATCGCTGATATTCTATGTCGCCTAGACACAAACACGCTTTCCCAATATCCTGACGCCATAAGTCCCAAAAACAAGTAGGTGTACTATCCCTGCAAAGAGACAAATTATTATGAGATCTTGTTAGCAAACCACGGGAATTTTTTCTTGGACGGGTCCACCGCAAGACCCGATGAGCTCTCTACTTGAGTGCTTCGTTGGTAGATGTCCTGTTGTCCCAAGTTAGTTTCACGGCTCGCCAATGCCAAGGGGGAACGGGCAGTTTCTATCTCTTACATCTTCATCTGTGGTTATCAAGCAATCTAAGATGAGCTCCCTAGCGTCATCATGCTTCGTCAAATTGGGGTAGGGAGTACTCTGGCTCTTCATTATCGGCAAAATAACCTCTCCAAGCACCTCGAACTTCTTCCAATTCAATCGGTCGCCCTGCGGTCCGATAAATGTGATGCTGCCCTCTTCCGCAGAGACAAGGTCCTTGCGGTGTAAAGGAATAAACGGAATACGTGGCAAGGGGGAATTCTCCCAAGCTAACCGATAGGCGAAATAACCTTTCTGAGTACCCATTAGCAGCACAAGCCGGGCGAACCGTTTCTGCACGTCCGGCGGCACCAGGGCTCGCGTTTGAGTGAGTCGGAGGACTGCGGTTCCGTTGATACCGGCAAGTACAGCAGCTAAACCGTTGTAGTTGTTCAGCTGTCTCAGCCTCAATGCTATATGCATAAACTTTTCGAGCATGACCGCTCGGTGTTTAGCCTTGTCCCGCATTAAGACCATGTTTGACACCCATGTTGCAACATGGTTGAAATGCGAGATCATGCGATTTACGTTCCTCATCGCTTTGCATTTTTCCTTTTGCTCGGCCGATAAGCTGACATGGCGCACAAGATCACGTATACGGATAGACGAGAACATCACCCAGTCAATCCTGGTCATTTCATCTGCAATATCGTCATTCACCATATCCAGGAAGATGTGATATCGAAATTTCGTCAGAGGGAGTGTATAAGTAGGCGTCATGGTGACAGCCTCGCGCTCATAATCCTCATATGAGTGGAATTGAAATGAATGAGTTTTCGTGGTAGCAGCACCTGCCGAACTCGAAACCAATGAGGCAGCAGAGGCGTGTCGGTCAGTCTGGTTACCGATACTCAGCAAACTCAGACTGTCCTGGACATCGCTACCTTGCCTCGCGTTCTCCGAAGAACTCTTATCCGCTTGACTGTCTTCGGCCTCAGATTTAACCCAGCCTGTGTCATCGTCCTCCGTTACGCTTTCCTCCAGGATCTTCCGCATTTGCAAGGCAGCAGCTGAGAATATTGGCTCAGCTGCCAAATGTGTGATGAACTCATCTAATCTTCTTCTGATCACAGATCGCGCAAAGTCGTTTGGATAAGTTTCAACCCATTTAGCAATGGCCTCAATAATTCGCAACTGAGTAGTTGTCTTGGTGAGGTAGTGAATTGATTTATCATCTTTAATAGCGTCTAGCCGTGCTAGTATGGCGGAAAACAACTCGCCAGGTGTGGCAAACTTGCGATACAGACACAAGAAGACGCCTGCAAAGTTATGGTCTACCCGGGATAGCTTTGGTGCCAGCAAACGATCAACAAGTTCATCGAACGTTAGCCCCGGTTTCTTGGCGGAACGATCAAAGAGATTTTCGTCAGTCCGCTGGAGCAGAGGTATATCATCAGAGTATCTCATAGACTCTCCATCGGAGTCTTCGATCTCCACAAAGATATGCTGAGCTCGATCTAAACGAACGCCAGGGCTTCGAAGCTGACTATGCACAGTTTGTACGGATTCATATTCATCGGATATTTGTCCACCCAGAAGATCCACACGGGGAACTCTCGAATGTCGGTAGTCGGTGTTCTCCTGAGCGTTGAGATAACCGCGCAGCAACGACATATCGGAGCTTGCCCGACTATGCTTACTATGTTGACTAATGGGACGAGATAACGACTCCGTTGGGGCATCGAGATGAGTCACTTCTGAAGTCGCCCGCCGTCTGAGACCTGTCGCTTCTGTGCTCTCGTTTTCTGTATGACGACTTAGTATCTAGACCAACAAAATTTGACAATATATGAGACTATGAAAATCGACTAACCATGAGTTCCTAAAATCATGGCCCTTAGTAGTGTAGATAATGCCATCCGTGCTGTCTCTGGCTTATCGGTCGATGTTTTGAAGCTTGCAAGGCAGGGTTTGCAAGCCGCAGCTACAGCATCAGCGTCGATTTGTCTAGAAGGCTCCGGATTGTCGCATTTAGTAGCCACAAGAACTGCTGGTAGCGACGAATTTACGACAGCATCTAAGGTTCTAGTTCAGCTTTATCCAACAGTAACCAGGACACATAGCGCAGGCTTCAAAACCACAGCGCGGGAATGACGCCAACGACTTACTGAGAGTCTCGGGTAGATAATTAATACTCTCCCTGTTCATCACATCATAGAGAAACAAGACTCCATGGACTTGAGGTAAAATGGTGCCATTCATTTGTTTGGGCCATTTTACCTGTCTATGCTGGCCGTCGAAGTATTCTGATTCGAAGTACTGGAGGTCCAGCTCAAATAAAGCAACGCTGTAGGGTACATTGTCAACAACTATACGTGCTGTCATTGTTTTTGGATCTGCGGGGGGTGCCTGCGGTTTGGATGGAGGAGGGAGAGACATGGCAGTTCGTATGAAGTGAGTTTTGCCCACACCATAGGCACCGATGACGGCAATGCTAAGGCACTCCATTATGTCGGCAAGCAAGCCTTTGGTACGATGAACTAGTGTTATTATCCAAGAAAGTTGTCGACCACCCCTGTCTTCAATATGATGCAGAAAATTATGACGAGCTACCTAAGTACCAAAAAGGCACTCATGACGGTTATGGAAGAATGCCGTGTGCACACAAGACTTTAATAAGGAGAGGCTGCTAGAATACGGGGGTCGGAGCAAAATAGGTCTCCGATGAGGATGCGTAGTGCGATTAAACTGGACCGTGGAAAAGCAGCAAGAGCCAATGCTGGCAAGAGTCGTCACGTAAAGCCTGTGCTACACTGCAATTCTAGACGCCACTTCGATAGGCAGCCTAGAAACCCATGAGGTAAGCTAACTATCGCGAATTTGAGAGTAAAGGTTGCGATCCATGAGGGTAGTCATACAAGCATGCGCACGAAAAGCGGCCCGGGGTAACAGATTATGGGTGGTATTGTCGAATACGAGGAGGAAAGGGACGGTATCAAATGCGCTCGTAAGGACGAGAATACTAGCTTGCGAGGGGCTGTTGGCATAGGACAGATAACGGGCGTCAGGAATCGGCAGCGATGCGCTTTGGCAAGCGAATAGATTGGGCGGAGGCAGATGCGATGTGACAACACAATGGCGACGGTTTGCGATACAATGTGATACAAATTTGGGCACACGTCCAACCTTATCACTATTTCAATCAGCATGGCCCGTTCAGGACAACAGAGTCAGGATAATAGGTGTTTACATGTTGCCAGTAGAGTTTCCGGACTTGTAATCCGTGGCCTCTCTTCTCACCTTCGTCCGAAATCTAGATACTTCGAGGCTCGCCACAGTCGGGCCGGTAAGAGGCAGGCAAGCTGAGCGGGACAAATACGCAGTTCTTGAACGCGAACTCAGCCGGCTGAAAAGCTGAGGGCAGTTACAATGGGATGAGACAGGTAGGCAACACAGCAACTGTGCTGGCGGTAGGCAGCTTGAGTCGTATTGCCTACCAGCTACTTGTATCTTGGGGGGAAGAGGCTCTCTCACGGGAGGCGACCACTCCGAAAGCAAATGAGGTACAACCTAGGTAGACTTGGTGACGATCGGGCGGGTGGATAGGTACATATGTAGGTACCTACCGACCTACTACCATGTAGATGCCTAGGTAGATATTGTAGTTGCAACTAACCTACATGTGTAGCTAGCTACCCAGGTAGAGATAGGATTGATAAGGGACAAAACGCAACAAGTGCTGCGTAGGTAGACAGATGGACAATTGATCTCCTGATGTAAGAGTAGGGAGGTTTACATAATATAGATATCCTCTGTATGTGTGAAATTGAAGCTACCTGACGCAGATAGGTAGTAGATGTTCAATTCGCTACCTACCTACCTTAGGTATGTAGTCCCTTAACGGACTACCTACTGTACCTAGCAAAGCAGCGTTTGGCGTACACCAAGTGGTGCTAGATGGCGTGGGGTAGGTACGTTGGGGTGGTTTACCCTCGCCTACTTACATAGGTACATGTAATATATGTACAGCGCTGTACTTGCAGCATGTACATGCACAGGGATGCAACAATCCACATTTTCTGGCGATCCTGCGTGCTGCTGCGCTGGGACAAGAGAAGTCGGGTGGGAGATACATCCAACAAGATCCAACAGGAAGGCAATGCGGGTGTAATCTTCACAGCCTCTCGTTCGGTACAGCTGCAGGTGCCCCGGCTTCTTCCTTGAAGCTCCATTAACCCATCAAACCCGTACCATCCCCGCCTACAAGGACGTAGTACTGCGTAGGTAGGCTACATGCGAAATAATGCATCAATTAAAGGCGTAGGCATCGTACAGATACTGGTGTATGTCCCGTAATGCTCCGTGTCACTACATTACTGTTAGAGGTACGCACTATTGCCTACTTCATGGAGGTTGATAACACAGCACCAATCATGTATGAGAACAGATCCTCGTCCGCAGCGCCCGCACGACGCCTCCTGCGACGTTCAATTAACCACATAAGCCATAGCTAAGAGTTCAGCCTGACACGTGGGATAAGCGGCCAATCAATAGCTGCTCCCCGACGTGAAATATGTAGGCCTATCCTTCCTAGGTATGTACTTACGAAGTGCAAACCCCGAGAAACTATTTCGGCGAGCAGGTACCGTAGGTATCATTGACGAAAATCGCGTCAACCTCGGACGTCACACAACATTCCGTTCGCCTCCTTCAATATAACCCTGGGCTCACGACCCTGCATGTGGCCATAATGCATACAGTACATGAGTTTGCCTCGGCATGAGATGCTAGTGCTGCCAGCTGATCTAACATCTAACCGTGGTTGTTCCTAGACTATCTAAGTGAATAAGTAGTGACAGAAGCAAGCACTAGTAGTATTGTGGTTGAATTGACCTACAAGCTTAATGTGAGCGCTCATGACTGTAATTTAGTTGATATGAGAACATTGAATCTTGTGTATACCTGTAGGTCGGCATATGTAATATGTAGGATAGATGGCAAACTGCTGCCGGTGCGTGGAACGTTTTAATAAGCAGGTAGCAAGGGCGGTACGGTTCGTACCACCAGACTGACTACTACATCGTACCTGCTAGGTGCAAAGCCGCGATTGAAATGGCAGCTTCTAGCCTCTCGTCTCCGAGCTTGGAGAAGGTTAGGACATTCGGGAGCTGGAACATCCCAGTGAAAGAAAAGACGAGGCAACACCACGAGGCTACCTCTAGTGGAGGCGGAATACACAAAGGAATAGTTGGAAAGTCACTTACACATGGTATGATCCTCCCAAACAAGCAAGTAGGCAGTAATCGGGCAGTGACGCAGCCTTCAACTCATACGCAAGAATAATCATAATTGACATTATGTCTACCTACACCATAGAAATTGAACCTCTAGCAACCGCAGCAACCGCAGAGTAGCCGCCCGAGCCAGGGTCGTTAAAATTGGGATCCCCGGCGGGAAACCTCTCGATGTCGGATTGCACCAGTAACCCCCACCGCCCGCAGTGGAGCCTGCCGCAACGAGACCGTCGTCGCATCGGCGGTCCGGCACGATGCGACCTTGGGCCAGTTCGGCAGCTTACCTCAAATAGTGACGCTCGATCGTGGTTGGAGTAGGTCGGAATCGGATTTTGCAACATTCCAAAATCTACAACGAGTGAACGTAGAGGAAGCTATGAGGTTGTCTGCACTAAGTCACAGTACTAAAGAAGATATGTGTTGGCATATATAGCAGTACTACTAGGTATTTGAGTACCCGGGCAGAGTATCTCTGGGCTTGGGAATAGCTTCATTCCTAAGATCTAATAATTGGCTATGGCGTTAAAGGGCCTCTTAACCTTCCAAGTTCGAGAAATGGAGAAAGGGACCTAGCCAGCCTTTATATACATGAATTACCCCGCTCGAGAGGGTGGTCCGTGCTGTCCACGTCATCCGTGTGACAATATCCTATCAGTCAAGTATTAGAATCTTGTACATTTTCACATAGACCCAGAGCTGTCACCGACATCATTTTCAAATGCTGGCTTTTGTAGGGCTGTCGCAAATGATTTGCACACGCCAAAGGCATAATGTGTTATACATGGCAGAGTGAATTACCAAGGGAGTGTGCTATTTCCTTTGGACAACACCTGTTTAGTACATGGTGAATAACTCGTCGTCAAGCTACTAACTACCTGCTAAAAACTACCTAGGTTTTTGTGTCACACACAGGTGGAGAATATAGGAACCGTTAGACCTCTCACATCTAACGGCGTCGTTTTTTGACAGGTGCGAGGATTTTTATTTGATAGCTACGTGTGTACAAGTTCGGATAATCTTTTCTACTATTCTGTTCATAGATATCGAACTCGGGATCTTGGCGGAAGTGAGAATGCCTACATACTGGCTACCTTACTAATTCGCTACGTTGGAGATGTGCTTCTTCACTAAGTTTTTCTAACTCTCATTCATATTCTAAGGTAATCCCCAAGATCCTCCGTAAGGTCTTCCGGATCGATCTCCTCGGGCGTATAACACGAGCGCGGCCGGATGCGAGAATTGAATAATGTCAATGCTTGACCATTCTGTTCATCCTGCTTCGTCTGTTCCATCTTTCCGAGTGTCTTCCCCACCCAGTTTCCCGTACGCTCTCAGAGCCATTTTTTCAAGAGTATTGCTATCTGAAATGGCGTGGTAAGCCAATGATTCAGAGCAGCGGGGCAAGAAGCTGGTGAACATATTGTCTATGCATTCATACCATGACCTCCATATGAAACCGTTGTTTACCAAGACCAATTATACTTACCAATAATGTAGGCAGCCTGCTCAGGAGCTACGACCATTCTTCCTAGCAAGGTCTTCTGAAAATACTTGATGCCAACAAGTGGACTAGCATGACCATCCGCGTGGCTCAAAGACCATAGCGGCCACTCCTGCTCCAGAGGTAGGTGGAATTGTGTCCAGGTTATTGATGGCCCGATATACTTCGCTGTTTGCTTAGTACGAGCCATGACGAAAGCACCAGGGGCACTGCTAGGTGGCGATGGCTTTTTCTTTGCTGATAAACACACAAAAATAATACACTTATAAGGCTTTCCAAGTTTCCCAGGAGGGCACCTAAGTAGGTTACCATATGTTTCTTACACGGGTAATTGTACTCAACATCTAATGACTGCCTGTTTATATTCGGCTGAGCATGCAAGAGTGGCAACACTTACGATGAGTCAAGGCACCTGAGTGTCTGACGTTGCCTACATCATGACATGATAAAATGGCTACAGAATCATTCTTATATTTGTCGTGTGTGCCCTGGCCGTTACGTGTATTAATTATGAAGTACCGACTATGGAGTTTGAAAAGTTTTGACTGACGGTGGTAATATAGAAAGGGCTACTAAACGGTACGCAAACCACTCATAGGTGCATTATCTTACCTAGGTAGCTGGACTACAGGCTCGAAAGATAGGTACATATCGAATCAGGGGACAATTCATATTTAGGAAACAAACACGTGTGTTGTAGACATAGGTACCACGCTGCACTGAGACGACCCATGACAGGTAACAAGAGAATGACTGTTCATGTCCTGGTAGTTGTCCTATGCTTATACAGACACCTGTGAACAAAGGTAGGAAATGCGATTCTCAGTAACTCTGTCACATCTCACCCAGGTGAAGCACGTCCAATAAAAGCACGGGAACCAAGTCGGCAGCCGAGACAGACGGCCCGCAAGAGACAGAGAGGATGTTTGCTTTTACTACCTACCTAGGTAGGCGGCTATCTTGGTAGTGACCCAGCAGCGTGGACCTGTTGCACAGAGCAATATCTCTACCCAAGCACATGCCAGCGTGCCTCACACACTTGTAGGTAGCACCCTCGGTGCTAATTCGCTTCCCTATTTACAGACTGACCTGGTGCAATGTGCAAACTGACCGATCTGACCGATTTGACCATAATTGACCCCGCTCGTTCCTGCAGTTGAAAGTTGAAGTGGTTCCGCACATCTGAATGCCTACTTGAGTACCTACCGAGAGACGCTGTTTGACATCCACGTTCTGCCCTGTCCTGTTCTATAAGGAGGAGGAACTATCTACAAACGCCTATCCGGGTAGTTGCTATTCTCAGTCTCCCCCTTCCATACGTCACTGACATCTTCGGTACCGAGCTGCTTGTTTCGAGGAAGCTACTGCCTTAGGGCTGCCTCCTGAACTATACATGTCCACCAGGAGTGCGTGACCACCTTCCGCCTCTGCACATCATTTGGAGCGTCCCAGACGGCAGCATCGATGTATACCACTCCTTCCTTGCCCCTACGTCAGCCGCCTGCTGCAATCGCCGACTGCCAAAGAACAAAGCCCAAGAAAAGCAAGATGAGGGTGGCTCAGAGCTTGGTGTCTAACACCGACTCCTCCAGGGAGACATCTACGCCCCCCACATCTCCTACTTCATCTGGCGATGAAAGCCAGGCTGCAGTCGAAGCGATGCCGCGTCACCTCCAACCGATCAAGACCATTCCCTTCAAGCGCCCAGAGGTCGATCTGAGTGCCATGCTCAACATTGAGCAGATGAAACAGCTGCAGGTCCTCATGGGCGCCATCATGGACGAGCTGCAGACGCAGGTCCGTGACACATTCGATAAGATGACTATCACTCCAGTTGAGTCTACTCAAGGCATTGCCGCTCCCAAGGTCGTGGTTCTCTCCGTGCCAAATCCAGGCAGCGACAAATATCGGAGTCAGTATGGAGACATAGGCATACCGGTCGAGAAACCAGACTTCGAGGATTATGAGCTTCTGCTACAGATAATGAAATCCCATCCTTTCAGCAAGGATGCCGCCAAACCTAGGCCGATTTTGACAATCCCTAAATCACAAGATGAGGCCACGGCTTTTTCCAAGAAGACTGAGATTGACTTAGCAATGGCGAGTTTGACCGAGCTGAAGCGAGATGCCCTGGGCCACTTCGGAAAATGGCGCGGACTCGTCTTCAAACGCCTGCAAGAGATTATTATCAAGAATGGTGGCACCGGTGGCAACGTTGTTCGCCAAGGACCGCAACAAGCACCAGGTAATACCAGACGGGTCGGTTGTAGCACGAGAGGAAATCCTACCAGGCCGACTAGTAAGTTCTTCCTCAACGGCTGCCATGGGCATACATCGAGCTTTGCTTTAATAAAGCCTGACCCTCTTTCGCCATGCCTAAAGTCTCTATAAAGTGAAGTAGCTGACAACCTTGTATAGTACCCTTACAGACAGGCGAAGCGTCTAATGCCCAGCATATCCAGCTCTACCCCCCCATGTATACAGCACTTTGTAACCTCCCAAAAGAGAAGCGGGCCTTGATTCTTCATACGATGTTGTTGATGCTTCTAGGGCTCGATCAATACCCAACATATTCGCGAATTACACTGGTAAAGCTTGCGACTGCATTGGAAGTGCCGACATTTGTGCTGCTGCAGGATGAGTATCGAGTCTCTCAGGCCCTAGCCCAAATTGTCAAGGGAATTTCTGCTGAAGAGGTTGCCCAAAGGCGCGCAGAAGAGGGTAAACCGGCCAAACGATGGCGGGCAAATGGTCATTATAACTCTGGTGCCCCCAGTTTCTCCGATGTACTCGCAGAGCCTCTTGTGGATGCTGGCATTGGAACGGTCTTTGGAGGTATTGGACTTAGTACATCGACCACGGCGACTCTGTTGGGCGGCATTGGCACAACGGACAGCACCGTTCCTGTCGGAACCTTGTTTGGGCTATACGGAGCCCGACAGGGCGGCAAGACGATGGACGCGTATGGGAAAGACATACAAGATTTCGGGCTGATACCAATGCACGGCTCTCTCCAGTCCGAGTTGCTCGACCCAAAAGATGTACCAGCAGAGAATCGTCGCATGCGTGTTACAATTGGTATTAGCGGCTGGACTACCGAAGAGAATGATTTCCGATACCCTTGGAGTGTATTCGGACAATTGAACGAGGTCTATGCTCTTCGCTGGGAGCTTGAGGCTCTGTCCAAATTTGGCGGTGCTTTGCAGACAGTCATGAATAGTACCACTTGGATTACTGCCAGGAAGGATGCTGCCCGGCAAGATGGTAAGAGAAATTTGAGTAATATTTCAGTATATATGCTGACAGATTCAGTCTTTACTAGTCTAAAGACTTCTCACTGGCCGGAAACTCTGCTCAAGGCCAGCAAAGTCATGGACAACCCTTGGACGATTGCGATGGTTCGGGCGGAGAAGACGGGTCTCGTCCTAGCTGAGATCCTAACCAATAAAGTACAGGGAGAAAGGGCCGTGTCTCTAGTCGGATACGGACTTGGCGCCCGGGTTATCTACGCGTGTCTGACTTCACTGTCAGAGAAGAGAGCTTTTGGTGTTATCGAAAACGTCGTTTTATTTGGAGCGCCTTGTCCCTCCGAGATCCGCGTTTGGACGGCAATGAGGAGTATTGTTACAGGTCGACTGATCAACGTGTATTCCAAGAACGACTATCTTCTCGGGTTCCTTTATAGAACTTGTGCTTGGCACTTTGGCATTGCAGGGCTACAAGCCATTGTGGGCGTCCCGCGAGTTGAGAATATTGACCTTAGCGACAGCATCAGCAACCATCTTCATTATCAATATCACATCGGCGATGTTCTACTCCGGCTGCGCTGGGAGGATGCTGATTTGGCCGAAATCAATAAGGAGCTGCCAAAGAGATCGTTTGTAATGCAGCAAGATCATGACTTTGCGCTACCACTTAGAGGACAGAATGGGAATACCATTAAGGCTCCGAGGACTGAGAGAGGACAAAAAGACAGGGTTGCAAATAAGAAACAGAATGGAAAGTGGGTGCCGAAGGAAAAATCAGCAGGTAAGCAATCAAACAGCAAAACAAAGCAGACGCCAAACCAGGGCAACCAACATGTGCAAGCGCACACACATGAGAACTCCAAGCCACGCCACAGACAAGGTCGCATGGAGAACCAGCGCCCCATGAGAGCTCATCGCCAGGAGACCCAGCAAGGCTAGTTGTATGGTCTTATTGGAGATGGATATTGAACGTAGTAACGAGCACGTTATGTATAGTATATGATGATTGAATGAGTGTATGAGTGATGCGGGAGTATTTGAAAGGCGGCGTTAGAGAATGGGGTGGCCGGCTGCATTTATCAAGAGACGTCGGCATGGCGAATGTATAATTAGTATGTCTCAGCTATTGCCCCTTGCTTTTCAATAAAAGTGTTATTATAGTGCTTGTATTGAGGACACTTCACATATGCATTGAATGCTCACATAAAGTGAAGTTGACTTCTCTTGCGCCAACTACTCGTCGTCCTCCTCGGCGTTACGGGTCTTGGCTTGTAAAGTAGCAAGTCGCCAATTATTCACCCGGCGGTTTCGTCAGGCTGAGAGCCCGTCCCGCCACTTCTGACCACGAAATATCGCCCTACGGCCGTCTCGCTGGCGCCGCCTAATACATCCCAGTTCTCTTCTTCGTTCAGCATTGATTGTTTTTCATTCCGAGGCCCAACATTTCCATACAACTCCTCTCCTCCACCGCCTTCTTTCATATGTCCCCGCGCTAACCGCCGTCGCGGCCGCCTTGCGTGACCAACTATATCCTCAGCCTCTAGCGCCTCCCGCAGCTCCGCCAGCCCGATCGTTTGCTCGCGCAACCCGGCCGCAGTCTCGTCGCGGATGGCGCGCAGAGGCGTCACGCCGCGCGTGTCGATGTCTTGAATCGCGCGCACGAAGTGGAGTTGCGAGCTCAGCGTCGAGAGCATTTGTGCCTCTTCGTCTGGCGTGCGCGGAAGAGGGAGCGCGGAGAGGCGGAGGAGATGGTGTAGGGTTTTGGGGGTTATAGAGGAGGAAGAGGAAGAGGAAGGGGGGGTGCTACTGCTCTGTGGGAGGAGAGACCGGACGGACCAAGTTGGGCGCGAGAGAAGCGAGGCTAGGTCAGCGGTTGGCAGGACTGGTGTGGGTGGTGTGCGTGAGGCTCGGGTTAAAGTTGATGGTACTGCTGAGTAGTGCGATTTTCCTCTCGCTTGTTTTTGCGCGGTGCGCAGGGTACGGCGCAGGGAAGCCCTGCAGTTAATGCATATTGTTGTGTTCATGGTGTGCTTTGGATTATGGCTGTATGTTGGCTAGGTAGGTATCTTGTTTGGTGGATAGAGGTGGATGAAGGACCTTTTTTTTATCTGGAGTGATAGAGGCGGATGGAGAAAGGCGCGATGTCGGCCCCAGAACCATGTTGAATTTAATTTTGTCTTTGGGAAGGGTTGATCATCAATAATATTTTAGATAGAGATACCAAATCAATTGAATCCTGTACTTGTCGCAGAAAGGCTTAAATTGCATAGCATCTAAGGAAGTAATACCTAGGTATAATGTAGCAAAGAAATCTATAGAGCTGGTGGCTTGATTAACTAACTTTCTTTTGCAGAAGCACTCGGCGCCAAGTTGGCATAGGGTTTATTGAGATGACCGAGCGACGACAATCGCTAGAGAACTTAGTCCTTCGCCTAGATTTCACTCGTAGAATGAGTTCACTGCTTCTAGGCTACCTATATAATCTCCTACATGGCTGGCGTTCGGCGATCTGGTTACCTATCTTTTGTGGATGGGATGGTCAGTGGAGAGATGGTACAGAGCTTACCTCTCCTGCCGCGTATCCAAAGTGAGACTAGGTAATGGAATCAATTAAGGTATGGAGCAATCTGCGTGGGTCCGAGTAGCACTCTTGTCAGCTTTATCTTTGGCAGACGAGCAGATTCAACAAGGCGGTATTGCATTTCAAAGTTTTGCTGCCTAGTTGGCAATCTAGAGGATCTGCTTTGCTCTAATTGCAACCTGTCCTGCTATGTTAGTGTCGAAGTTTGTAGCGTAGAGGTACCCAACGCGTTAGTCGTTCGCCAACTTTTGAAGAGTAGATGTACGTGAATGACGAAACGTAACAATTTTTGTTTGAAGGTTTGTCTTGAGGGATCTGTATATTGCGACGGCTGTGTTAGAAATATATTGTATACCTACAGGTAGCGAGGATAGATAGTTGGACACGGCCCCCGCGATGTCCATCATCACTTGAAGCCTGAGTGAGGTGCCTTGTGAAAAGGAGCCTGGTACGTAACAGGGCTGAGACGGGGGCGATGTCATCAACCCTGCTACCACCGAGCACCTACCTCCAGGTATGTAAGGCTAGTACATAGTACACACTCCCACCTATTTGGTCGCCCCTAGCGCCTGAGACACCCCGCCAAACCCACTTCAACCTGCCTAGGTAGGTGCATACCTTGGGCTGACCTACGTATGTGTATGCCTTGAGACAGTTCTTCTGTCTTGTCAATAACACAAGCCTCTCTTCGCCGTAACAATTGCGCATATACCCTATTCATTGAATTCACCCTTAATCTACTTTCTTCAGTGTCTCATCATGGCCGGCGATCCCCGCGCATTGCTTCAAAAGGTTGGATCTCTTTCAAGCTGTCGTTCCCGCTCTAATTGTGCTGATGATCTCCGGGTGTAGGCAGACAAGGCCCTCGCCTCTGCGAGCGGTGGATTCAGCTTCTTCGGTGGACGCGAAGACAAGTACATGAATGCCGCCGATCTTTATGTCGAAGCCGCCAATGCGTTCCGTATGCAGGGCCTCATGCGAGAGGCTGGTCTCGCGTTCGAGAAGGCCGCTACCATCCAGGCTCAGAATCTCAAGGAACCCGACGACGCCGCGAATACCATGGTAGAATGCTTCAAGGTACAAAGGGAATCTTCATCTCGTCCTCCAGGATTCTTCATCTAACGAGTCTCCAGGTCTATCGCAAAGAGAACCCCGAGGACGCTGTGAGGTGTATCGAAGTCGCCATCAACCAATACTGCAAGAAAGGAAACTTCAGGCGTGCCGCTCAACACAAAGAGAACGCAGGCGAGGTGATTGAGAATGAGCTGGGTGACAGGAAACGAGCACTCGAGTTCTACGAGCTTGCTGCTGGCTGGTACGAGTCAGACAATGCTGCAGCGTAAGTACCTTCAATAACAGTAAAGCTGTGTTCTCTACTGTCCCCGCGCGCTAACTACTGTGTCTAGGCTTGCAAATAAGCTGCTATTGAAGGTGGCAGATCTTGCTGCTTTAGAAGCAGATTATTACAAAGCAATTCAACACTATGAAAAGATCGCAGAGAATGCCGTCAATAACAATTTACTGCGTTATTCCGTCAAGGATTATTTCTTGAAGGCGGGTATTTGCCATCTGGCAACTGAGGATATGGTTGGAACGAACCGCGCGTTTGAAAAGTACAGAGAGATGGACCCGGCGTTTGCCAGTACACGAGAGCATCAGTTACTTGTAGACCTTGCTGGGTCTCTAGAGGCACAGGATTCGGGAGACTTTGAGGACAAGCTGTTCCAGTTTGACCAGATGTCTAAGCTGGACAAATGGAAGACGGAAATCTTGCTTCGAATAAAGAATAACATCAAGGAGGAAGACTTCGCATAAACGGACAACAAAGTCAATATGGAGTTTACGGTGGGATTTGGATCATAACAATTACCGGGGTAAAGAACCTATTATAAGCAAGCGTTACAGTCTAGTGGTTGACTGACTATCGTCCGTATCAATGGAAAAAACTGACCATACAATCTTCGCATACATTGGACTTTGGGTGCTATGTGCAGATCATTGACATCCAAACTTTCTGGTTAGGAAACATCGCAAGACGCTACGTTCTTCGCGCAGGAAAATGTATAAATATATCTTGATAACTCATTGGACCCCTAATGTCCATTTGTGATAGATGAATTCTAATGCCAAGGTGCATGACTGACAGCATGCTCATGGTGGGGGAGGAGAAATATGGGGTTGCCTTGCGATAAGCTACGATAACACTTAGAACCCGAAAAAAATCCAAAATCTCCCAGTTACGATACCTCAAGAATTCATCTTCGAGGCCTTGGACAAGTCTGCACATTGTGCTTGAGCTTTTCAATATGGCTACTCTAGAGGAGAAGCTGGACAAGATAAGGTCTCCGAACCTTCAAAGCCAACAGCAGGTGCGCAACTATTTCTCCCGCATGTCAATCAAATTGTACACTAACCTCCTTCTCTCGATGTAGACTGTAGTTGTTTTAAAGGCGGTTGAGGAAACGCTGAAGGAACAGAAGACGACGCCCACCCCGACAGCGTACTTCGCTGCGCTGCTGGCCTTGCTGAATCAGTCTATTGAGGGCAAAGGCAATAAAGAGCTCACCTCCCCTATTATATACTTGCTCGACATCGTCACTCCCTTCGCGCCCCAACCTATACTTCGAGCCAAATTTACCCAAATATTGACACTGCTCGCCCCCGTTCTCTTGTTAGCCGGCGCAGATGCCCCATTATTGAAACCTTCAATAGGGTGCCTCGAAACTCTTCTCCTTGCCCAAGATTCATCAGCATGGAAGTTACCCACTAGCGAGGTCAGCCCGCGCAGAGCTGTCGCAGGACTTCTTCATTTGGCACTGGATCCCCGGCCGAAAGTACGGAAACGAGCCCAAGATGCTTTGCGTAAAGTTCTCAAGAATCCGCCGCCCAGTCCCTCGCTCGACCACCCCGCGTCAGATCTATGCGCCGAGACGGCTATGAGCAGTTTGTCTGATCTAGCTGCCAAAGCTGCCTTGTCGAAGAAACAGAGGAAATCCTCCGCGGGAGACCACGATCCGGCCTTGATACATGCTCTTCAACTTGCAAAGACAATAGCCGTAGCTTGTGGAGGCTGGCCTAGCCGAAATCTTGAGTCTTTGTGCGAGCTTTTGCTTAGCATCGCCAAAGGTGGAAATGAGCACATGACAATGGCTGTTTTTGATATTTTTGAGATGATATTTGAGGGCATGGCTGATGAAGTCGCTTCGGCGAAACTTCCGCGTCTCCTCGAAATTATCTCCGAAATGAGACCCGCTGCTCACGATACCCAACTACTTCCGCCGTGGATAGCGATTTTATCCCGTGGATACGACGTGTCTGCTCAGATTGAACCCGAGGACACATTTCAGAAACTACCCGACTTGTTCGCAATGATCTCAGAGTTCATGGATTCATCTTCACACAACATTCGAGTCTCTGCTTCTGAGTGCTTGATCTCTTTTGTTGCAAATTGTATACCAGATCAGGTCATTATTGAACCTTCAATCTATGATGAGAAGACACTGGAAAAAATTGCGAAGCTTGCGGAGGGCCTTATTAGTGTAAAGTATCAGGCCGCATGGATGGAGACATTCAACGTCCTCGGCGCCATATTTGATACTTTGAGGTGGCGGGCTGAGCCTATCATGCGCAATGTTGTACGAACCATTGGAGATATTCGTGGTAATGATTCATTTGTGGGCAAGAAGCAAGCAGACGAGGTTATCGGTAAGGCTATCCGCGCAATGGGCCCGGAGGCGGTTCTGTCAGTCCTTCCCCTCAACCTCATCAAACCTGTTAAGGGACAGGCTGGCAGGGCGTGGATGCTACCCATTCTACGAGATTACACATGCAACACCAATCTTCAGCATTTTAGAACTGAGTTTATACCATTAAGCGAGGCCATGTTTCAACGCGTACTTGATCACGGTGAAGCTGCGAAAACAATGGAGGTCAAGATCTACGAGACTCTCGTAAATCAGACTTGGTCCATTCTTCCTGGTTATTGCGATCTTCCCCTAGACTTGACTACGTCTTTTGATCAAAGTTTTGCGGAGATGCTCGCCAACCTCCTATACAAGCAAGTCGATTTGAGACTTGACGTATGCCGAGCCCTCAGATCGTTGGTAGAATCAAACCAGGCTATTGTTTCTATTGTGGATGAGGATAGCTTGCTTCTACAAAGCAGGGTGTCCAAGGCTGACGCGCAGAAAAACTTGGCCTACCTGGGTGAGTTTGCTGGGAATCTCCTAGCTGTTCTATTCAACGTCTACAGTCAAACGCTCCCTCAATCTCGAGGGCCCATACTACAAACGATAAATGCATACCTCAGTATTACATCCGAAAACGAGTTAGTTGGGACTTTTGATCGGGTCAGCACAATGCTTGCCACAGCAATCAACGAGAGTAGCAATGGGGAGACTAAGAACAAACCACAGAATTCACAGGATAAGATGCCCTCAACAAGCCAGACACTTATGGATTTGGTCATTACCATGTCTGCGTATCTACCACGTCAAAGCTTCGGTGCTCTCTTCAACATTGCTTCCTTGATCATCGTAAAGGACGATGAGCCCCAACTGCAGAAGAAAGCATATAAGTTAATACCAAGACTTGCCGACTCAGACATTGGGAAAGTTGCACTTAGAGAAAAGCATGCCGAGCTCCAAAACCTCCTTCTCTCGAGTGCCGAGAAGGTTTCAGCCCCAGCTCGACGAGAACGACTAGCTGCTATGGCTGCCCTGATTCCCTTCATCCCTGATGAATCACTTCACTTCATCCCCTCCGTTCTATCTGAGGTGGTAATTTGCTGCAAAGAAAACAATGAAAAAGCTCGAACAATCGCATACGACCTTCTAGTGACTATGGGCCGGCGACTGGAAGAAGCCAAAGGGAAACAGATTGATAATAGCAAAGTACCTCATATGCCAGATGATTCACCATCTGTATCTGCAAGCATAGAAGAGTTCTTCACCATGGTTAGCGCTGGGCTTGCAGGAAGCACGCCACATATGATTTCGGCCTCAATCACTGCTTTAACCCGCATCCTATACGAATTTAGAGAAGTGGTCAATTCAGAAGTATTAAGCGATCTTGTACAGACTATGGATCTCTTCCTGACCTCAAACAACCGAGAGATCGTGAAGAGTGTCCTGGGATTCGTCAAGGTCTGTGTTATCAGTTTACCAACAGAGATGATGCTTCCCCGGCTGCAAACAATGGTACCGAATCTCTTGGTTTGGTCACATGAGCACAAGGGTCATTTCAAAGCCAAGGTCAAGCACATTGTGGAAAGAATGGTTCGTCGCTTTGGCTTCGAACCTGTCAACAAGTGCTGCCCCGAGGCAGACAAGAAATTGTTGACCAACATTCGCAAGACTAAGGAGCGCAGCAAGCGGAAGAAGGAGGCTGCTAAAGCACAAGGTAACGAGGACGATCAACAGAGCAGTAAACGACGCGGTCGCTTTGAAAGCGAATATGATGAGGCGTTATATAGTAGCGATTCCGACGCATCTGAGGACTCCGATGTCGAAATGGCTAGCACATCACGCAAAGCTAAGAAGGGGAACGACGCATACATCATGGAAGACGAAGACGAGCCGCTCGATCTGTTGGATCGCAATGCACTAGCTAGCATTTCATCCACCAAGCCGGGCAAGATACGCAAGGCCAGCAAGACGAAGATGAAGACAGACATGGACGGCAAGCTCATCGTAGGCGCAGATAGCGACGACGCAGATGATGATGCCATGGTCGTCGATACACCCGGTGACGAAGATACTAGCGGCGTAGGCGCCTATGTCGCGGCACTGAAGGGCAAGGACGCTGGACGCAGGGGTCGTGGTGGACGCCTCAAATTCTCCAACAAACGCGGCCAGACTGATGATGAAGACGAGGAGATGGATGTTGACGACAGAGAAGTTTCGACAATCAAATCGCATGTAAATAGAGGTAGGGGTGGCGGTCACTTCCGTGGAGGACGTGGCGGTGGTGGCATGCGTGGAGGCAGGAGTGGCAGAGGCGGCATTGCGTCTGGTAGACGCGGTCTCGGCGAGGACAAGAGGCGGGGCCCAGCGGGTGGCTTTGGCAGTGGGAAGGTCTTCAAACCAAAGTCGCCCGGTAGGAGGTAAAGGCTGGATGACTCTCGCTTCACCAATTTGATACCCACTCTCGCGTTTCCATGAACTGGTATTAAGGAGAAGCTATAGTGACAAGCTGCTTATCATGACCCTTTTTTTTATCGGCGTTGGAGGGAGTGTTCTGGGACGACAAAATAGATCAACGGAAAGTTTAACCAGTGAGGAGCTCAACTAATTGAAATTGAGCTGTGTTATTTCGACTTGCTTCTGATCACGTCTGAATACACACAAAATAGCGAGGTGATAGAAGTTTATATATGGCTGTATGACGGCTATAAAAATATGAATTCCTTCGGATAATACAAAAACAAACCAGTCGAACTCCTCTTTGCTCCGCTAGAACGCCCAGTTCATTCATGCCATCAATATCTGAGGCACCATTACACGAAAATACAAAGTGTTTACTACACGAATGGCTAGCCTCTAAAAGGATCTAGGATAGTGATGCTTGGTATGATGCCGCGCGACATGTTTATTAGCTTTGGGCTTCTTCCCTCGCCCCTTTCTTGAGTTGGCTTCAATAGAGCTTGGTGGATAAAGAATGTGTGTCACCTTGAGGACGTCCATCCTTTACCTGAACTTGGCAAAGATGACGGCGAAGATGAGTATTACGAGGACTGTAATGATGGCGACTGTGATCACCCGATTTGTAGCCATCCTGATGAAAAAGCGAGGACGAGTCAGTGGATCAATCGTATAACGTGATAAAGGGTGGGAAAGTCATTACCTACGCGCCATCCCCCTCAATGTCTTGACGCTGCGATCCACGTAGCCCTCGCTCTCGAAGAGCATCTCGCCAGTGTGCTGGATGCGCTCGCGCTGCGAGTGCAGGTCGGCAAGGGTGGCGGCACCGATGGCCTCAGTCTCGTTGGCGAGGGCTTGCGAAGATCGCAGACGCTGCGAGGACCGGTCCAGCCGGTCTGTGCCCGCAAGGAGTTGCTGTCGCTGCTCGAGCTGGCGGTCGCTCGCGCTAGCATCCGGGTCGTCCGTGTACCGCGATCCGAACAGCGCCGCGCGGTCGTCCGCCAGCGTCTGCAGCTTCCGCTTCGCCTTGTCGACGTCCGTCTCGAAGTTGCGCAGGCGCGTATTGACTTTGCCCCGGCTCGCGGAGGGGATGTTCTGCTTCTCTAGACGCATCTGGCCCAGCTGTACGGCGGAGCCCTGTTAGCAAGTGATTCGGGTTTTGATGAATTCTGGACTAGGGGAGAGATGTTGCGTTTGCGTACCAGTTCCTCGGCCTCTTCGAGCGCTCGTTCTGCCTGATTGACGGCTGCTTTTCGCGGCTCGCCGTTTAATTCCGGTATCTGGTCGAGCTTCTGCGTTAAGTCGGCCTGCACAAGCTTGAACTCGGCCTCGTAGCTGCTGAACAGCTCGGAGCCAGCATCGGTGTCCAGAGGATTCGCCATATTGTTGGATTGAATGTTGGATGAAGTCGCGGTTTCCCTTCTGAAACCTGAAGGTCGTTTCAGGGAAGGATGAGGTTCGTCGGCTTCGGTATTTTGATATTATATCACTAATTTTCTTATCTCATTCGATTCGCTGTTCGGGCGATTCGTCGGACTGGGGTCGAAGATGAAATGTTGCTGCTTGCTGGGAAGAGGCTGGATCAATGATTGAGGTTGCGTAACGCCAGGTCCAGGCACCGGCAACTCCAACTGCGATGTACATAGTACCTTAGGTAGGTAGATCTAGTCGAGTATATGTACCTAAGTACCGCGGACGGCACTCGCCTGCCAGCTCCAGCCACACCAGCCACTTGCTACTACGAGGGTGGCCTGTGCTTTTGGCCCCGTCAAATATAAGGCGCCGTGATAATTTTGCGCCTTTAGAATATGTTTCTCTTCTTCTCCATTATGAAAGTTGAAATACCCCCGAGTGCAGTTATTAGGCTCTGCGTTCTCACTCTTCACGAGCGCAGAGTTGTATTAGCCGGGTAGACGAAAATATGGAGCTTTAAAGAATTGAATATTAGACGGTGGTTTTCGGACCATCGCCTCTGAGTATTCGGTCCCGTTGAGCCTCGACATCTCTCAATTCAATAACTCGCTTGTTGTGGCTGGCCTTCTGCGGGATTCCTTCACTTCGAATTGAGTTTCCCACGATATTGTGAAGGTTTTGTGATGACCCTAGACAATGTTCGATTGTTCTACGCGCTTTATATCTCGTGACGCCTCCTAAAAACAACTGCTTTTCTATGCATTCTATTTCCCCATCTAGCGATGATTACAGTAGGCAACTACTACTAGGTGTAACATGCCGATATGGCTGGTCTGGGTTTCGGCACACCTACTTCAATTGTATCATTGTATATGGGCGATATTGACGTCCGAACCATACACATTGTAGGTATGAGTTATTAGGTGCACCAAGTCCTCCTCTTCGTATACAGGCTCGGGTACACAAGAGAGCAAAAAGAGGAAAGGCGCAATTATCGTCAGCATTGGGCGGACAGTGCCTAGGTACCGTCTTAGATTCTGAGTGATGTTCGGCGATTTGGAACCGATCTACAATCTGCACTGGGCTAGAACTGCTACGCCCCCATATCTCATCCTGTCACCGACCTGGTTCACATTGTCTCACTCCTTCGTTGCAATGCAAACATCTCTGTAAAAAGAGCAGGCAACGTCTCTTCTCGTCTTCTCCGTCTCTGTCCGTCCTAGCTTTACTATTCTAAATACAGAGTGGACCGAGCTATCCACCCGGATTGCGTACCGTACCATGAGAGGATACCGTCAGGACCATCACATGTAAGTACCTTTACGTACAGCAAGATGAACCGGCTGCGAACGCTTCCTTACCGCCTACCTATGCGCCGAGGATAGGTGGGCACAGGCTACAGTAGCTCTCGCAATATAACTCGCACTGCGCTGTTGATTGCACCAAAGCGCGCCACTTGTATCCAGAGACCCCCCATCTGTTGCATGAGTGTTGTTGGTTGCTGGTTGCTGGCTGGCAATATTGGCGTGGCAGCTAGTTCTAGGTTGGTTTATATACGCAAACGTCATCTCGCTCGCTGTCCTGTCTGCTAGCTCCCCACCAAGCAACCGCAACCCTTCAATTCAAGCTGCTGAGACACAGACATACCAACCTAACCAACCCCTTCTGATACCTTTGCTCACTCTGACTCTTACGCATGCATCTCTATATATAATTGTCGGGAGCCTCAGACTCATCGCTTCCGACATCTACCCCCTCCTTTGTTCATAGTATATTGGAATATCAATGACATTATCCGTTAATTTTGTGCCTAGGAAAAAGGTTGCCATTGTCGGCAGTGGCTCAGCGGGAATAGGTGCCCTGTGGGCTCTTAACCGGACACATCATGATGTCTACTTGTACGAGGCCTCCGACCGTCTCGGTGGACATACGAACACCGTCGAGTGGAAAAGGGGTAAATTCAGAACCTTGGTCGATACTGGTTTTATCGTTCTAAACACAGCAACATACCGTTAGTAAGCTACAGGTGCTTCCTTGGGATCTCGACTAACACCTTCAAAGCCAATTTCATCAATTTTCTGAAGAAAATCAATGTGCCGACCGTTGCAACGCAGATTACTTTTGGGTTCTCACGGGATAAGGGGAAATTCGAGTGGGCGAGCGACAGTTTGGATGCTATCTTCTGCCAAAGACTAAACTTATTTTCGCCAAGGATGTGGAGGCTGGTCTTCGATATCATCCGCTTTAACAAGTTTGCTTTGGACCTTTTGAGAGAACCAAGAAATGGTTTGGATGACTCTTGTTCACCCGAAAAAAAGCTGGAGACCATCGGCCACTACCTGAAAAGACACGGCTATTCCGACACCTTTCGAAATGATTATCTCATTCCCATTACGGCAGCTATGTGGACTACGAATCCAAACATTTGTGCTCTGGAATTCCCTGTCGTCACACTAGTCAGGGCCATGTAGGTTGTATGGTTATGCTTCCCAAGACTTCAGTGCTGACATTAGAAAATCAATTAGGTGGAATCACCGGCTCCTGAGTACAGTTTCGACAAGACCAGACTGGGTGATATTGGAAAACGGTGCTAAATCATACGTAGATGCGGTCATGAGAGGGTTTCCACCAAACCATCTCTTTTGCAAGACTGCGGTTAAACACTTGTCCAACAATGAGAATGGCCAAGTGCAACTACACCTGGAAAACGGCAAAACTGAGGTTTACGACCATGTGATTCTTGCCGTTCATGGGGATCAGGCCTTTCAGATCATTGCTCCTTCGGCCACTGAGGAGGAGAAGGCGATCATGTCAAACTTTCGGTCCTCGGAGAACACCTGTGTCCTCCATTCTGATATCTCCCTTATGCCTAAGCGTCGAAACGCATGGTCATCGGGAAACTATCTCACTTTGTCTTCCCCTTGGACGGGAAAAGACCTTGACCAAGTCTCCCTAACTTATAACATGAACATCATACAGCATATACCCCGCAAGGCGTTTGGCGACGTATTGCTTACTTTGAACCCCATCCACGAACCAAGAGCAGAGACAGTACAGGGGCGGTTCTCATACTCACATCCTATATACACGCCGGCCGCTGTTCGAGCACTTGAGCAGCTTCCAAAGATTCAAAACAAGCGTGGAGTCAGCTATGCTGGCGCATGGACTGGACATGGTTTTCATGAAGACGGCTTCAGCAGCGGACTACATGTTGCCATTTCGCATCTCGGCGCTCGTTTGCCTTTCGAGTTCATAGACCCCACATCGAGCCACGGAAGGCAACCTGAACTGAGTATAATAGATTGGTTATTGAGAGTTATCATTCTCCTCATACAGATATTCCTCATAGATCTCCCGGATAGAATGTTTAGTGCGACGAAGGCTCGTATTTCAGCCAGAGTCGTGAGCATTAGCAAGAGGTTCACGCATACGAAGTCGGCATAAGTGTATAATACCTCGCCTACCTTGGTCCTCGTGGATTACATTGGATTGGAAATAATAGTATCAACAATTACTAGGTTTAACTATATCAAAGTTAGGCTGTTATAACCTTTTCGCCTTGAAATGTGAAATGAACAACCATCTGTATCAGTTTCTGTAGTTGATCAACATCCTCGGGTTATAATACACCTGAAATATAGGTAGTGGAGGTTGTGCACCGTTACTGCTGTAGTGGGCCTGAAGGTAGCTTCATGACATCCCCCTGTAATTGATCCGCGCCTCCATGCTAGGTAGCGTAAATCCATGCCGCAGCTTTCCAGGTTGCGACAAACATCTGACTGGGTCCAACTCATTGGATCAGCCCACGAGCTCCCCAACATCCCAAACCTCACCGCGCAGCATGAATTCTCTCCCCCGAATCCCGTGGAGAGTCCTCCGGTCCAACGCCTCGTCCTGGGCATGCACGTCATGTCGTCGAGAAATTGCACAGGCGAGGCAATTGCCCGCACGAATGGCTCGTAGGCCAATCTCGAATACCACGACAGCACGACAACAAACTGCACAGGCTCCGTCGATGGACCGCTTGCGCGAGCATTACAGACATAAGAACCGGACGACCATGTATGCCAATTACCACCTCCGAGACACACATTAGAAAATAGAGTAAAAATGAGAGGGAGAGGCTCATCATGTGCTGTGTAATAGGTATTACACTCTCAGTATCATCCTAGGCACTGTCGCATTCTCGTATGGTTCCGTGCCTATGTACAAGATGGTTCGTCTCTCTAGTCTACTTCACCACACGGCTACTTCACCTGACGGAAGATGCTCACCAAATTGCCTGCCGACTGCACTGCTGCGATGGCTCCTAAACCCATGATCGTACAATTTCCCCTTCTAACATATGCCTCTGGGAATAATAGATATGCCAAACAACAGGCTGGGGTGGCCAACCGATCAGAGCTCCCGGACACGGAGGCTCATCGTCAGATGGGGACCAGGCCTCGCGCTTGATACCAGTCAAAGACGCGCGGCGCATCCGTGTGACATTCAATGCCTCAGTATCGGACGTGCTGCCGTGGAAATTCGTACCGCAACAACGCGAGGTGCGGGTGCTGCCCGGGGAGACAGCCCTCGCCTTCTACACGGCGACAAACCGCAGCGATAGCGATATTATTGGGGTGGCAACGTACAGCGTGACGCCCGCGCAGGTGGCGCCGTACTTTAGCAAGATCCAGTGCTTCTGTTTCGAGGAGCAGCGTCTCAATGCGGGCGAGACGGTTGACATGCCTGTCTTCTTCTATCTTGACCCGGATTTATTGGATGATCTGAACATGAGGGGAATTAACGAGGTCACGTTGAGCTATACATTCTTCAGTAAGTCATATCATATTTCAATTTTCAATTTTTTTCGTTTTATGCTTGATAGTCTGGATCTCATGTCTTTATATGGGGTTGACTAAGCTAATCTCCTTCTCTTCTTTTGCAGAGGCTAAGTACGATAATAACGGGAAATTCAAGAACTTCCCCACGACATCATCATAGACTCTAAAAAGCAAATTCATAATGTATATTATGCGTATCTTTTGACATGGTCACCAGATATCTCTCTATGTATAAACACAACACCATGATTTCACGAATTTAAGAATTCATGATGCCCTCTTCTCTGGCAGCATATGAACCCTAGATACCTTTCCTACATGCAACCTCGTGTCCCCTGGCTGCTCTCCCTTGAACAGCGCGCAATTGATGTATATCCCACCTGTTTTCTCGTTATTCTTCTGCCCGTCACTAAATAAGGCACTTGGCGACGGCGATTTGAGATCATATATGTACAATCTCTTCTCCATTCCGGCTGCCATTATCAGAATAGCCGTGAACTCACTTCAGCCACAGCGCCTGGCCCCAAGCCATACCACGTAGCTGCCAAGTCGCCGCCCTTGGACCCTGTATGCGCATGTGGGGCCGCGATAGGTCCCGACAGGGATACGAAGCTACGTCACCCTGTGCCACTGACTTCCTAGGAAGTCGGAGCCAATATGCCATCTGCCTAACTACCTAACTACCTAGGTTAAACCACTCCTCAAGTTTCGCATTTGCGAAAGGCCAACGCTGCTGATAACGTGTCTCTGACACAGCGCTCTAGAGCTGCGAATAAACATGGCCTCCTAAATCACACTCATTGCCAAAGTGATACCTTTTTCGCCTCGCCATAGACGCACACGTTATACGTACCCCACGTCCTCTCCAAACCTATGTTCCCTATACCACGTTTGACCTCTTTCGAAGCTCGCAAACGCAATATTAACTCATCGCGGACGCCCATGTACTCAGTCAAACGGACCTAATACCACCATACCTACTGCGGAACCCTTATCCTTGACAATTTCTTGCTGTTCATCCGTCTATCAGAAAAAACCTCGAGTCAACACGACAAGAACACCATGGACTTCAAAAGAGCCACAACTCGCCTCCGCCACACCTTCGCCTACCCCTCCGACACAACAACCACATCGCCTTCATCCTCGCACCACTTCTCCGACTCGGACTCCGACGGCGCCGGCCCCGCCCTCGACGAGCAAGAGCAAGAAGAGCTCATCCGGTCCCTCGCGGAACAAAACGCCGCGCGCAACGCGCAGTTCCGCATCTTCCTGCTCACCCTCCCAGCTATATCCACACTGCCCTATCTCATCGTGTTATACAGCTCTCTATCCCATCTCGTATCCCGGACAGGTAACGAAGGAGGGAAACGCACGTCGGTGGCAGATATATGGATCTCGCTCCTCGCGCTCTCGAGCCTCGCTTCCACGGCCTGGACCCTCTGGTCCCTGCCCCCCGGCGTCACAGGGATCCGCGTGCTCGACGCATGGGTCGGGTCTTCTTCTTCCACCACCACTCATACCGACTCCACGACTACATATCCATCCTCTTCTTCTTCGGGGTCCCAACAACACGGTCTTCTAGGCGGCGCCAACGCGCAGCGCCGCAGACGCGCTAGTGCCGCGAGTTCGCAGCTCTTCTTCTGGGCGCAGCTCCATCGCTCGCCGCTGCAGCAGTACCTGCCCTTCCTCAACATCGCGCTCTGCAGCCTTCTGGTCCTCGCCGGCCTGTTGTCGTCGCGCCGTTCCACGGCTGCTGTTACCCGCCACTGGGGTCATGTCGGGCTTGCTAACTTGCCCGCTCTCATATATGTCGTCGTTCTGATCGCTAAGATGCTCATGGGAAGCATCGATCCAGAGAAGGAGCTGAGTGCCCTGCGGTACGAGTACAAAGGGGCCTAATATGTGTAGATCGCTGAGAAGACAAGAATGAATGTTCCAATGATTTGTTAGCTAGCGATGTAGTCATAGTTGATTATAATAAACCATACGAGTTATGTCCTTCAGAATGCCTTCTACCTTGAGCCGATGAGTTGCCTAATTGTTGATCTATCGCCTTATCGCCAAGCACAAGGACAAAAGCCCAAACGCGAGCTCGTATCATGTACAGTCCACAGCTTTATCTTTTTTCCTTTTATGTCATCTTTTGTGTGCATGGTGGTTTCGTTATCTAGGACAAGTGCTCTTCACTATCCTCTCCATGTAAATGGCAACTGCTTAGTCCCTGAATCCTGGGTATCTCATGTTCCATCTATCCGCTAGACACATTCCATACTCCCTACTTACCTATCAGATTTTGTCCTTGCAAGTTATAACGAGATACTCGGCTTGGCAAGCAGAAGGATAGTTATCTCCAAACAACCCGTTTTACCGAGGAGTACTCCGTAGCTGTAATTAGTTCCAGGCAGACTAAGGTAGTTCGCCTATACATCGATGGATTCGTTAAATCGTAAGATGCCATTACTCTTGAGAACGCCATCTACACCTTTAGGAACTCGCGGGAATGGTTCTAGATGCGTCTGGTGTTGAGTGGATTGATCGACCACGAGGGCAAGCCCATGAGACTTGATGGCGTCTACCAGGGCCGGTACCATATCCTATGAAGCGTGTTCTGTCAGCGTTTTGCCTTAAATAAATAGTAAGAGGTGCGGAAAAAGAAAGCAACAGTGTGGTAACGCGAGCAAGGTCACTCACTAGTAGTCTACCACTACAAATGAGGCCCATAAGGTTGTTGTTCTGTGCTATCCTCACAACTTCCTTAACCGAAAATGTTCTCCTGCCACTGCTCTGGATCACGTTTGGTGCCAGCATCGTCTCTTCTCGTCCGAGATCATTGCAGAGGAACACCGGAAAGTTTGGTTGTTTCCAATTGAGCGTTGCGCATATAGTGGGGTTGTATGAGCTAAAGACAACAGATCGCACTGCGCTTGGGGTTGATAATGTTTTGGCTCGTTGTTCTCGTGCGTGGTCGAAAACGATCGTCAGAACGGCGTCTATAAAGCTGTTTGTATCCATTGCTGGATTAGTACCAAATCTCTTCTCATTATCCTCTGACGGATAAAGAATCTGGAGGTTAACGTTCATTGAAGAAGGAAGCACGGATAAAGCCTTTTCGACAGAAATCCCGGCCGTCGAGAGAATTTGGTGAACTTCAATTATGTTTTCTTGACCATAGGAAGATACCGACGAGAGAAGTGTTCGAGCAGGGCTCGTTGCTGTTACAGCGGTAAATTCATCGAAGGTGAGACGGGTTAATGGTATCTCGACTAAACCACAATGGATCTTCCACGTTGGCCAGACGACAGGCACGCCGTCCCTGGTGTGCTGGATATGAAGTTGGACGAACTCCCCAGATAAGCTTGATCCTGTGACAAAAACAGTGGGGTTGTGATCGAGTTGGCTTGTAGCTTTCCAGTATGTTTCGAAGTCCGTGATCTCCAACGGAGCTCCACGAAACGGTTTGATCACTTGGGTGTTGAAGGTAATCTGCCCTATAGCCCGAAGTCGTGGGTCAAACAGAGCCAGGCAGCATCGACCTGAGCTCATCCAAGATGATCTAAAGGCATCAGGAAGAGCAACCGATTTAGCGATGATTTTAGCTCCATAAGTTGGAAACACATCAAAATCGAGTGTGAAGGTGTCCAGATTGTCCACCTGGAAGGATACAAGGCGGGTATCTTCCTGGAAGGGTAGAATGATGTTCTTTGGTATGAGATCCGACAGCTTAGAGGAAATAGTAAGTCGGGCAGCAGGGTATTTACTATCGTGAAAAAAGTTGAGGGGCTGCTGTCCGTTATCCTCGAAGCTGATCTGCACAACTGTTTTAGTATCTAAGAAATTGTGGCCGTATCGACGCAGTGGGATAATAGGAGGAGGCAGTTCTAAGGCAGGGATTGCGTCGACATCTAGTGACATCGGAACAGGTCCGCCACTGCTACCAATAGGTGCTAGTAATGAAGCTTGCATTGCCAGAGGACTCTCAGCTTTTCCCTTCTGAAAGGGTGTGAGAAGCTGCATACATGTCAAGTGCCCCTCCCAGGCCGCATAGTACATTGCAGGCAGATCCTTCTCATCGAGGATATTCGGATTTACACCGGCACTCAGTAATTCCTGGAGACAAGGGACATTGCCTTCGCTTGCAGCGTGAACTAAGGGTGTCCATCCATAGAGCTTGTCGATCTGATCCAAATCGGCCCCATACTGCTTTAGAAGACGAAGCAGTCGCGGGGTTTGTCCAGACCGGGCCACAAGATGCTGGGGGTAAAGTCCCTCGGCATCAGCTAATATACGCGCGCCGTGTTGCAACAGCATCTCTACAATCTCTATTGAGCCATGTTCGCAAGCTAAGTTCAGAGGGATGTGATCTGTCTCTGAGACGGGGTCTAAACGGGACGAAGCACTCAATAGCAGCTGGACGCACTCCATGTGGCCGTGAATGATAGCGTGGATCAGCGGAGTGAAGTTATCGTGATCAATCGTGTCGATTGTCGAGGGATTTGCTACACCGCTGTTAGGTAATTTATACGATTTCGTATAGATAAATAAGATGCGTACCTTGGAGAAGGGCTTGGAGCATGCCTAAACGCCCGTGCATGCTTGCATAATGGAGAGGCACCCTGCCATATACATCTGTTCTGTTGACCTCAACACCTCCTGAGAGGCCAATTTCCAAGACAAATTGATTGCCATATATTGTCGCCTGGTGGACACAATTTCGTTCATTGATGTCGTCTTCAGATTGGACATCAACCAGACCGGTTGCCATCAAGATTTCGAGCGATGCTTGTGGAGCTTCATGAACAGCGGCAAGAAATGTACGTGTAACCCTTTCCCTCAAAGATATGTCCATTGCAGGTGCTGAGTTTGAAGCAGTCTGCATCCTCGACAACAAGTCCCGTAAAGAATCCAAATTCCCGGAGATAGCGGTATCCAATAATAGGCTGTCGGCATCGCTTTCGTCGGTTCCAACTAGGTGCTGGCTGCTCACTATATGCTGCTCCGTCCGCCCTTCGAAATTGACATGATCGCCATCTGCCCAAGCGCCTAGCTCTTGCAGGCTTGTTGTGGCTTGGTCGGAAAGTTCGCTGATAACAGTGGCGTTAAAGAAAGGTTGCACTTCTACAGCGCGAGAAAGGTACAATTCTTTCGTTTTGGATTTGGATGTCTTATCCCACTTCTTGAGAATCTTAGAGAAAGCTGTGCCATTGATTTCAACAAACTGCTGGAGCTTGTTCAGATCATTCGCAAATTGCTGGAAGCCTTCCTCAAGGGTAGTGAATTTCGCCGACCGTCTAGAGACTCCTTGTCTTGATTTTAGGACTTTCTTCTTATCTATCAGTGTCTTCAGTCGAATTTTAAGCTAGAATAGAGTCAGCATTACAGTATATAGTGTGGTGTAGCAATAACTAACCTCTGCCTCCTTTTGGAGGTAAAATACATTGACCTTCTCTAATTCACGCTCCTTAAAGACCATTAGCTATTGACTAATCATCAACTTTAGACAAAGTAGAAGTCTAGTCTTACTAGCTGAAAGAAGAATTTGGCTTTATTCGCTTGTAGGGCGACCTGTGTGTCTAGCGTCCCGAGAGGAGGATGAGGGTCATTTTGGGCGCTGAGAGTTGGAGTGGCGGAGAGTCGTTTGATAAGCTGGCAACACCGTTAGTATTATTAGGGTTGCAAGTGAATGACAACTCCATCAAAGTCTTCAATACACCAAGGAACAGAACTGGTACAAGAGAAGCTGGCTACACTATGCCATAGTGTATTTTCTTCGGGATAGGATTTTGTGTTTCTTTCTTCTTCTTTGTGTTGTAACGAAACACACCTTCTTGAGTGCTTTATAGTTGACGAAGCTAGCAGCATATTCAGGCACCTCTAGCTGACGCTTCTGGATCTGTTTGCCAAACTTCCTGGGGTAAGGTATTAGTTACTGTCATAGAAGTCCAGAGCATGATCGCTGAGTAGCGAGCCAGCCCCTCTTTTTCTTCTCCCTAAAAGGACGATTGACTTACATGGTGTCGGTCCAGGGGTACGACCTTTATTGCAGCTCTATGCTTTCTTAGGAGCCTTAAATTCCCCCCCAAACACCGAACAATGCCAGTTGGGTTATATGACAGATATTTGTAAAGCGCAACTGAGCCAGAGTGCAGGTAATGGGCGGCGCCAGATAAGATCGGGATAGTGAATCTAGAGAATCTCGCACTGATGTCCATCTACAGTGTCAGAGTATATAGTAATTTCGACGGCAACGTCGCTAATGTACTCGCTTAGGATATTGTGTCGGAGTTCGTCTGAAATGTAGTCGATTCAGTCTACAACTTAGCTGAAAAGAACAGCGTCGTTTTGGAGAATAAGCAGGCCCGGACGAAGCAGCTCAATAACAGAAGCCGGCAGGGAAGATGCCCAAGGAGGGGTTGCGAAGAGCCAGCTGGTTACGACGGTTCTGGCTATAGAGTGGTAGCTTGAGGTACGGAGGCATTAGAGAGTGATCGTGTAGATAGGTAGTATTTAAAACGATGAGTGCAAACAGGGATGCAGCATCCGACGAGGGTCATACCACACCCTGAGGATCACAGGATGCTATACAGTATTACCCAAAGCGGATCCGAGGCTACACAAGATAGCTAGCGGTACTCGCGGTGCTATGGGACTTGCGGTCGGTTAGTTGACTGGTTGGCTGGTTGGCTGGAATGACCGTGTGGCAGCGTAGTAGGGATGTAGTATGCAGATAAATGTTGACAAGCCACCTTAAGATTGGTCTCAGGGCGCAACCATGGAGGAACTGAACAGAATTTCAAGAGTCACGGTGACTCGTCTAGCCAGCTACTAGGCACAATATCTGGCACTCGGCGTGCAATTACCTAGAAGCAGCAGAGCTGTGTGAACGTTAGGGAATCTGGAGAGTCACAATGACTAAGAATCTCGGTGGTGTAAGTACACCTGATGCTGTAAGCGGTGGGGTGGTGGTGCTGCGGTTGGCAAAGACGAGAACTGCAAGGGGAAATGAGCCGGAATTAATATATTCGGCCGTAATGGCAGCAAAGGCCAACAATAAGCCAACAATAAAGATGTGATATGTTCTGTAGAGGGAGAGGGCAGTATATTTCTTTACAGCCAACGTGGCCATGGGTGTCTGGTCTTCCAGCTTGATTGGAGCTGTCCAAGCCAGGGCGTGTTCCGATTCTGGGGAATTGAAGGCAAGCAACGGGTGGGTGGTTCAGAACTGGGAATCAGACACTCACAGCTCAAGCGTGGGCGTAGTGATAGCCACGCGCATCAGAAATTCGGCAACATGTCACCTAACACAATCTGTAAGGTGTATCGGGATGGTTGAAAGCGCAGGTCAAAGGACACAATGTGAATATATTCGTGATCGATGGCCAGACCCGTCCGAAGTCCCTGTGCGAATGATGGATGGATGGCGGGGTCGATTATCGTGCTGGATCCATTCCACGATAGCTCCGCGCTACGACCTAATTCTTAGCCTACGGTCCCTCATTGCTTGTGCCCATTGGCGACTCATCCCCGGACATCCGTTCTGGTAACGAGGTGAGAAGTGCTGGCCTTCCCGGTACGCAACAGAATCTTGCAGCCCAGCTCCCGTCTCACCTTGGTTTCCACATCCAGGCAGGGAAACTTTGAACTGTTGGATGAGGCACAGTACTTCACTGTTTGCAGTTCACGTGTCCGAGAGTAACAGCAGTAGGTACTGCCTAAGTACAGTGCAGGTATAGGTAGTTAGTTGCGCTACCGGTGCACTAATGCCGGCGCGTTGGAGCACTCGATGCTAGCACGGGTCTGCACGGGCACCCAGCGCTACCTGTTTCGTACAAGCTTTGTTCCCGCCGTCGAAGAGCTGCTCCCAGCTTCGACTAATGAGAAGCTCGGACGCGACCCCGTGGCCTGAACATGTCCTGCATGAGGCTGGATGTCTGGCTTCGAGAGAGTATCCTTGGCTTGGCTCTTACGTCAGGCCGGTGCGCAGGAGGACTTCCCTGTCGATTTTGTCGTCTTGGCAAGGCATCTCTCCAGAAAGGGGAATTTTCCCACCAATTACTCCCGATATCTCCGGCATGATATGTACCTGTATAGGTACCCATGTACATAGTGAAGCTGTGTAAGTATCTTCTGATAGATAGGTACCCGAACCCATGAATCATCAGATCCAGAACAAACAGAGCTTGCTCTACATAGTAAATATCTCTGAAAACGCGGCCTAGCCAGACATCGTCCTCATTGTCGTGCGGGACAGGAGGTCTTATATCAGTTTAGGGCCAAGCACATAGGTCAATTACAGAACGTGGTGTAATCGCGATACAAATGTAACATGAATACTGTCCCGAACTCCCTGGACGAGACAACTATTCCTAGACAAGCTGAGACATATATACTAGTGCTTTAGGTACATTTAATATGATCTTCAATATGCACTTATTCATTAAATTATTTATATTTCAATACATCAATTCTCCACTATGAGGAGAATATTGCAACTTATATGTTGCTATCAACCTACACATATAACAAGGGCAGACATTTGGGCTTGGAACTTGATGCTATTCAGATTACAATGATCAACTAGGGCTGCATGAATCCATAACCAACCAATTCCTTCCTGGCTGTTGGTGGCTTGACTCGACTCTATATACAACTAGTCTGCCAGCCCAGACCGCCTAAGTCTCAAGGGCCTGTTTCAAGAAGCGAAGTTTGTATAACCTCATTTTCTAATATTGCCCAACATTGCCTGCATAGTCTAACGGCGTCGTTTTTGACTAAAGTGTGACATTGAATTGTGCTATTGACTTCCTTATACAGATACATTTCTTTTTACTATATCCTTCAAGATTGAGGGCACGGACTGGTCGCAGAAGATGCCATAATCTGGATGACTGAACTCATTTTAATCAAAGCCGGTTATTCCTATCCGTATCTGTTACAGCTACCTATATTGTACTAGTATTCTATTTCTCAGCAAACTACTGCATTCAACGACACATTTGGTGACATTTCTCATTTCATCAACACCTCCATCTTACAAGCTTAAAATCCTGTCGGCGTATAAAAGGCGTTATCACTTGAACACAAATGCCTAAGAATAATCTGTATAGGGCGGGATCACATGAATTATACTGTAATTATTGAAGTACAGGGTTTTAGTGTAGGTAGCTACAATTTGTCCTTAAAAATCCGCCCATCCCATTTTCCAAGCAGCCTGCAGACAAGTTGGTCAGTATAGCTACAGCATACCCACTATATTGCGACCTAAGAAAATATTTCTGTTGGGAATCATGGTCATTTCAAATCCCGATGAGATTCTACTTAGAATGTGTTGGATAAGAATTGTGGTGGTGAGCTGGCACGTAGGTATAGTGAGACTGTGAGAGAATTATGACGGTGCAAGCCATGACGCCCATAGCGAGATATTTATTAAGAATCTTGACAGCTCTGGATTGGCGCACACATCGCGTTGCCGCACCTATCACCTGGGGTCTCGAGGTATATGCGTCAATCCCGCATTCATGCAGCGTGATATGTCTAAGACACCGGGTTATAGGGCCTATTTTTGAGTCTGATCTCTTTTTAAGTAGTTCATTTTTCAAGCTTTCACTTTCTTGATAGGTGGGTTCATCTTAGAGACTTAACATGCAGGGATAACCAAACCACCTAGGTACATATGGTGACATTTATTATCAAGGTTGCTTTTCCCGTTCAAATAAAGTGTGGCTTTTGGCGTATATCGCCGAGACTCGGGCTTGGGGCTGGGAAGATGGTTGGATTTGTGTTACCCTACTAGTAAGTCATGACTTGAATATACAATTGTCCCAACAATGAGACAAACGCACGCCTTTACCAAAAGATGATCAGTAAGGGTGGGTACTGTCATCACGTCAGGGTAGTATTGAAAGGTGTGGCTGGGGCCGTAGTTCTCTTTCCATGCAAATTATCATACAGTACGAATGAGTCGAGTCAAAGTGCAAATATTCCTACGATCTACAACATATGTGCAAAGGCGTTTCGTCAGGTTTTTAACTCATAAGCCAATAACAACATAAGCCTCCCAGTTAAGCCGCCACTTTCCTAACTGGCGTCAAATATATCTCGAGGGGAACTCTGTCCCAAAGCGTGTAAGTTTTCTGTTTGTTGATCCAGTTCTCCGCATTGGGTGACATCTTGATATCGAAGTCGAAAATAATACGAGCCAGAATGATACGCATCTCAGTGTAAGCGAGACTATTCCAAGGAGCAAGGTTAGTTGATTTTGCTGTTGGCTGACCATGTGAGATGAAGGTAGTCATACTTGCGACCAATGCAATTTCTAGGTCCGACACTGAATGCTTGGAGAGCCTCGAGCCTGTTTCCAGCCTCCAGGGCCTCTTTACTGGTGCCGAGGAATCTCTCGGGCCTAAACTCCCACGGATCGGCCCAGTTCTCCTTACTATGGTTCATAGACCAATGCTGTATTTCTACGAATGTCTAGGTCACAGCGTCAGTGTAAAATACTCATTTCGGCCGACGTTCAATACTCACGCCCTCGCTCACAAAGTGGCCTGCGATTTCAGCGCCGCCGGCCGGAACGTTTCGTACTAGTCCCGAAGTTACTGGAGGGTATAGACGAAGTGCCTCATTGAGGATCGCAAGCATGTATTTCAGATTATTCACGGTGTTGATATTGATCTCGCTGGCGTCATTGAAGGCGGACCTAACCTCGTGCTTGAGCTTCTCTAGAATTTCGGGATGAGTTAACAGTAGATAAGTAGCGCCAGACAGTGTGGTGGCTGTTGTCTCGGAGCCGGCGATGACCAAGATGAGGGCGTTCGACGACAACTTTTGAAACGACAAATTCTGTTGAAGATCGATGAGTTTCACGCATTCATAGGCAGCACACTTCATAGGTAAGGAGAACTCACCCACTCATACCGTTTCTCCACCAGACCCTCGAATAGATCCTCACGGGGTTTCTCTGCGTTCAGTCGTGTCGTTACCATATCATCTGTGAGGGATATTACCTGTCGAATCCCAAACAGGCCCATTCTAAAAACCAAGTCCGGTAGAAAACCAAAACCAAGATAAGTCATGGCGACTACAGCGCCATTGCCCCTGATTGTCTTGAATATGAATTCGATCCAGGGATGATAGTCGGCGTTCTCGAGGCATCTGAAGGACTGCCCAAAAACAAGGTTGCCCACAATATCAAAAGTTGTCCAGTTATACCAGCCCTCGATATTCAGTGCCTTCTTGCCCTGGTCACATTCCTCGTGTAGACGTTTAATCAAAAGGTCCACATACTTAACAATCTCGCTGTTGCACCTATCGTTAGCAATACTAGTCAAGCTTGATGTGAATGCACCATGAGTGTTTAGTGCTCTAGATTGAAGCCCAACCCCAGAAGGGACATTTTGTGGTTTTGAAGCTGATCGGAAGTTGTAGGAAAATTGTCCATAGTTACTTACGACTCCTGTTCCCGCATCGCGGCGTCCGAGAAGCCGTGCGATAATGCACGACGGAATCGAGAGTGCTCTTCGCGATCAGCATTGATGATCGATGTAGGCACACTGCGAACCGCATGCACCCATTCAGGGGCCTTGCTCATCTCACTTGCTATGCAACGCTGCTGTCAGCCAATACAGTTTGTAAACACCGGGGGTTCGTGTAAGCTGACGAAAAAACTCATATGGGCCGAAGTCAACATGGCCTAAACAGACAACAAAGGGGGGGGGGGGAGAAACTTACTATGAGCACTGTTCCCAACCTTGTGACCATATATGTCTTTCCATGCCTTCGTATCTATGAACGACAGATGGTTTGGCCCGATTCGTACAACGGGGCCATATTGATCGTGCAGCTTTTGGGTGGCCATGGCCTGCACGCCCGTAGTATGCAAATAAGCCCATGGGAGCCTAGATGCTCTCTGGATGAGCGGTCCAGGGAACTCTCGTAACGGGTGAAAGTAGATGTTGTATATATAGGTGGCTATTTGCCATATCGATGCCTATACGACGACATCAATCATTGGACATTCAGTCCTCTCATGAACAACCCCGCTTGCGGGAACTTACCGATAGCACCAGGGTTAGCGCAATCAATCCAATGTTGGATCTCTCTGTCCACGCTGTGGTCACACTTTCGGCCATGGTTTGAGTTGCTGCCGTGGGCAAACAACTAAAGATAGATGGCTATGTTGTCAAGAACAATATCGTGTGGGCGCGGAGTGCAGCCATTGCTGGTTTTGAAGTAACAAGGGATTCTTCAGACCCCTGGGCAGACCTGGGCTCTCGGGATGCTATTTAAGTCCGCGGGTCCATAATTATCTTGTAAGACCCCGAATCTGATCTGAGATTCAGTGCCTACTACCAGTATGTACGACTCCGTACCACCATTTGTCACGCTCGTTATGAATACCTAGGTATAGCATACTACCTGGTACAAATTGCCTGCCGCCTACCGTGCCTGCATATATACGATATCTACCTAGGTACCTACCTTCCTACACAATCGCAGTGGTTGGTGCGTATCACAGAACGGGCCAGAACATAGAGTACTGTGCTGCTTGGTTCGGTTATCGGAGACTGGTGGGTTTGTATTCAGCTGAAAGCCACGGATAGGACTTGTTGCAAAGCTTGTCAGCAATGCCTTACTAACGACTCCTACTTCGAGGCATTCGGATCCTGACTGACAAGGGGATAATGATATACTCATGTTTGCAATATAGAATTGGCTACCTATATTTGTAGAATCGAGCACGTGAGAGGTTGAATGTGGTGACTGTCCAACCAAATATCCAAAACTGCTTGAAAATATTGAGCGCATTTCGAGGAGAGTACTATAATAAGCATTCGTATCTTTCTCGTTTCTAGGAAAATATGGCAGCATGTTGGGAATCGAGCGTACTATGACACTTACTGTACCTAGTGTTTACCGACCAATAACATCTGGCGCAATACATGGCTTATTTTAGTGTAACGTCTAGGTTGCGGCGTAGCAAGGTGTAGACTTACAGGGTTGGGAAAAATACTAATTAGTACTACTACGTACTTTATCCTTTAATAACTTTATGATTAATAATATACATAATTTTTTATTATAAAGCTTAAATTCGAAGGATTTCAATAGTTATTTTTTATATTTTTAAAGTTAATAGTTATTAAAGGATAAAGTAGTACTAATCCCAATACTAAACCCTGTACTAATTAGTATTTTTCCCAATCCTGGGTGTAGTTACGGTGAAACTTCTGCACGCACTGTTGTAGGGCAGATTATCTGAGCTTGAGCACTCATCTTGGGCAGCAAAGACATATCCGCCAGCTGGAATCAATTTTCATTCACCAAATATCTATACTACTCTTTCTTTCCGTCGGTGCCCTTGGCAGATGGACTGAGAAGGGTATCTTGCATGGCGTCAGCCGTTGCTGCTTTCACTCTCTCACTATCTTCCAGCTTTATCTCCCTGCTCCCACCCTTCGATTCTTTTTCATCCTCACTATCTCCTAAGCTGAAGGGATCATTCTCGACGATTGGACTAGGTTCAACCGTCGATAACGGCTGCCACTTGCTCTGCTTACTGGCAGGTGGGCTCGTAGTACCTTCCTTTGGAGGCAGCTTCGGGGAGGCGTCATATAAACCGATGTCTTCCACAGTGTCTCTAAAGGCAACCTTCCGACCATCTGGCTTAGTGGCATTTGGAAGTGGCTTGTTCAAATTTGGATTGCTAGAGCTTTGGCCTGATGGTGCTAGATTCTTGTTAGTTGTAGTTATCGGTGGTATGTTATCGTTATACATACTGCCATCTGGGTTCAGCCTCATTCCGGCAAAATCATCACTCAGAACTTGTGGATCAGCATCGTAGCGGTGATAGTCGGTACTTTGACGGCTACCCTCTCCGCTTCTTCTACCTGACCCACCATGAGGATGGTGTTTTGAGGGTTGTGTTTCATCTTCATCTGAATCATATTCTCCGTCGATCTTTTTCTTCAAATTGGTGAACCATGAGTTGACTTTAGTCTGAGTCTCTAGAAATCCTTTGCGAATGTTTTCCGTAATAACTGGTAGGTCGTCGTCGATAAAGTTATGTTCGCGATCATACATCTCGTTGGGCTTCAACCCTGTCGCTTGACGGCGTGGTTGGCCGCCAGGACCCCGATTCATAGTCCTTGCCTCATAGGCACCAACGTTGTCATAATGCTCGGCGAGTTGACGAGCGTAGAGTTCATCTGCTTCCATTTGAGTGAGAGCAGTCCGATTAGCTGGGCGCGGCGGTTTTGGTGGAGGAGCAGCCTCCCTTGGAGGTTCATTTTGAACAGCATCAGGGTCACTCATGCCTATTAACTATTAGCCTACGCCCAGACATGATGATGCCGATCATCAGCGTCGATAATTGGTTCCCTACCAAGGAGCGCATTAAAGGCAGGGTCAATCTGGCCACCGCTCGCAGCGAGGACAGCCTTGATAACAGTTACATCTATGCTTGGAAAAGCCTCCTTGAGGATCTGTTCATTTTTCTGCTGGGTCGTGAGAGGGCGTGGCGGCTGTGTAGGGGGGGCCTCGTCGGAAGGTATAGATGGCGCCGCTGTAGCTGAAGGTGTAGCTGTGGCAGAGTTGTTGAGCCCGCCAGTCTCGGGAACATCATCGTCATCCATATCGAAGGGACGCACAGTAGTTGGAGACTCGGGCGCGGTTTCTTGTGAGGTCGAGTGATCCTTGGGCTTTCCCTGAGAAGCAAGCAAGTCTGTCAGCATTTCTGGATCTCAGTGGCAGTGGTCGATGGCCGTATAGGGGTTGCAGTTGGTCAAGGGTGAATCTATGCCTAGGACGGCATAATTACCAGCCGCTAGTTTGGAACTCACCGCATCAGGAGAAGCGGACATCATGTTGGATGTTGGATAAATTGGCCAAATGAAAGTTTAAATTGGGATCGATTGCTGATATGCCGAATGGTGGAAGTTGGGTTGTGGTCGAAGATGGGGGGAGAGGTGGTGAATGTTCAAAGTCGCAGCTATGCAGGTTGGTACCTTGGTAGGCTGATGTATGGAATGACGGCCTAGCATATGAAGTTGCCTGCGGAGGAGGAGGAGGAGGAGGGGCAACTTCAGGCATCAGAGGCGTCTTCTTAGTAGATACCTAGGTAGGAGGTACCTAGCTAGAGCTGCTGTAAGTAAGCTGGTGACGCACCTCCTTGCCTGCGCCACACCTCCCCCACCCCATCTGACGTTGCTAGGTACACGACCGCCTAGGTACCTACGTGTATACAGACTACCTAGGTGTCTGTTGGTAGATACCGTAGTATATATACCGGTAGATAAAAGTATCTACAGTATTGGGTATTTCAGGTTGAGTACTATATACCGCATACACTCGAAAAACTCGAACAACGCTAATAACGCCACTGCGGGGATGCTCTCGCTAGGTTATCCATATTAGGCAAGCAACTTTATTAGTAAACGCCACCAAAAGTTGCTCCTATCAGATGTTAGTTAAGCTTTACACCCTTTTACAAGTCCTAGAAAAGCTGACAAGTGGTAGAATTATAGAATAACGTTAAAAACGCTGTTTCCGCTATTTTCGCTGTTTTCTCTGTTTTCTCTGTTTTTGCTGTATTATAGCCAATTCTTTAACAGCGTTGAGAAAATGCTATTTTTGCTGTATTATAGCCAGTTCTTTAACAGCGTTAAGAAAACGCTGTTTTTGCTATATTATAGCCAATTCTTTAACAACGTTAAAAAAATGCTAAAAATGCTATTTTCGATCGCTTTTATAATAATTAATCTTTAATTAACCCATTTAGCCTTTAATTTAATTAATATAACCCTATTAATCCCTTTACTTAAATAGTATAGCCCTAAGTAAAAAAGCTTAATATAGGTTAATTATCACCTATTAAAGCTAATAATATAGTTTTAAAGGTATTATTTATAATAAAGAAAGGTTAATATATTGCTATTTTTAAAAAACTATTAAATTTTATTAAAAATAAATAAAATTAGTAAGTAAATATAGTATTATTATAGCCTTATAAGTAATAGTAAGGTTAAAAAAGGCTTTTAAAAATTTACATTTAAAGAAATAGTCCATTACTTTAAGCTAAATAATAAATCATTTATTTTAAAGTAGTAGAAGTAATAAAAGTTAATTTTAAATAGGAAAAAACAGCATTTTTAACCTTATTAACCAGTATTAAAGTTAAAGTTATAAAAAACATTTTATATAATTAAAAAAGTAAAAAAGTTAATTAATATTTATTAGTTTAAATAGAAGGTTATTATAATTTTTAATAATTATTATTCTATTTACCTTATAATCTTTACCTTTTTAAATAAATAGTTTTTTAACTTCCTTTAATGCTATTAAATTAACTATTAATAAATAATTTATACTTTAATTTAAATATTTATAAAAATAGTTAAATATATAAATAACTTTTTACAATTTATTAAAAGGGTTTTATAAAATAATTAAACTTAAAAAAGTATAATATTAATAAATAATTCTATTAAAGGGCTTTTTTTTAATAAATTTCCCTATTATTAAATTATTAACCTAAATAAGATTTTAATATTATTTAAATTTTTAATAAATTATATATATAATTATAAAAATAATATATTTATTAATAGAAATTTAAATAAAAATAATTAAAGAAAATAATAAATAATATTAATATTAATAATTATTATAAATGGGGAATATATTAAAAAGTTAAAACTAATTATTATCTTTTATAATAAAAGCTTTAAAATAAATAAAGAAAAGCTATTATATTATAAAAGTATTAATATATTATTTAATAAAAAGGTATATAATAATAATAATTTATTTAAAAATTAAATTAATAATAATTTAATTACCTATATTAAAGGGAAGTTTAATTTATTAATTATTAATATAGCTACCTTTTATAAGGTTAATATTATTGCTATAATAATTCCGTTAAATCTTACAGCTTACCTATAACCTTTAAATATTAATTTTAATAACCCCTTTAAAATTTAGCTTTAAAAAAATAAATCTATATATAAATAAGTTAAAAAAAAAAGTTACTTAAAAAGTAAACAATTAATTAAAAATAAATAATAACTATTTATATTATTATAAATATATAAAAATAAACCTTTACCTTATTTAATTATAAAATAATAATAGGACTTTTTATAAATATTAATATTTTAATCCATTTAAATAGTTATAATAATTTTAAAATTAATATTAAAGGTATTAATTTTAATTAATTAATTTTTAATAATTATTATTAATATTTAAATTAAAAGGTTAAAATAAAGCTTAAAAAGATTAATAAAATAGTTAACAATTTAAATTATAAATATATAAATATTAAAGAAAAAAAGATAGCTTAATTAAAAAATAACTATAAGTAATTTAAAGTAGTAAAATTAAAGGAAAAATATTATTCTTAAAGCTTACTTAATAATAAAATAAAGGTAAAGCTAATTAAATAGTTAAAAGATATAAATTATATATAAAATGTATTAAAATAGCATTTTTAAAAATAAACTTTACTTTTACCTTATTATATAAATATAAAAAAAATTAAAGCTAATTTTATAAAAATAAATATAAAAATACTATTTTTAATAATTATATAATATAAAATAGTAATAAAAGCTATTTAATATTTATATAATGCTTATTTTATAATAAATATATTAAAAAATATATTAAATTATATATTTTTATATAATAATTATTTATACTTTAATATTATAATATAAAAAAAATTAAAGTTAATTTTATAAAGATAAATATAAAAGTATTATTTTTAATAACTATATAATATAAAATAATAATAAAAGTTATTTAATATTTATATAATGTTTATTTTATAATAAATATATTAAAAATATATTAAATTATATTTTTTTATATAATAGCTATTTATATCTTAATATTATAATATAAAGGTTATTAATATTAAACTTTTAAAAAGATTAATTATTATATAGATTTTTACCCTTTAGATTTTTTTTAACTTATTTAAATATATATATTATACTTTATATAGGAATTATTATTAAAATAAAGGTATTATTACTTTTACTTTAATTATTTAATTTAAATATAAGAAATATATATTAATTAGCTTACTTTATTTTAAAATGTTAAAAATAACCCTTTTTATAATTATTATAAACCTTTACCTCCTATTCTTTTATTTCTTTATTAACCTTAATTTTAATCTTTTATTTTAACTATATATTTAACCTCCCTATAAAGTTTATTATTAAAGTAACTTTAAAACTATTTATACTATTATTAATTATAGTATTTAAAAGGTTTTATAATTTATAAAAAGACCGGTAAAGTAAACCTTAAGCTATAAAGTATAACTTACCCCCTTAAAATTAAAAATCAATTAAAGTAAGCATTATTAATATAATTTTAAACCTTAATTATATAATCTACTATTAATTAAAATTAAACCTTATATTAATAATACTTTTATAATTATTATAGCAATTTATTATTATATATTAAAAATAGTTAATATAATATTAATTATAATATAATTAATAAAGGTTATAATAGGGCTAACGGAATTTAAAGATATAGGTTTTATCGAATATAAAGATTAACCTTAAAGGGTTAAAGGATAAATTAATTAAAATTACCTAATTAGCCCTAATAATAAGGTAAAATTAAAAATAACTTATAAGTTATCTTTATTAATATTTTAAAGGTAAGCATTTTTAATAGTAAATTTAAAGCGTTTAAATGGTAATAAATATAGATAAAAGTGGGTATTATAGGTATTATAGTAGTAGGAGCAAAGTTAATGTAAAAGAAACTAAGTTAAATTGGAATTCTACTTATACTAAGTTAAAAAAAGCAATTATTGCACCTAAAAGGGGGTTAAGATAACTTTGGTTCGGTTAGATTCAGATTGACCCAATATGGCAATTGCTCCACTTGCATACATAGTGGCGTTATTAGCGTTGTTCGAGTTTTTCGAGTGTATGCGGTAGATGTAGACAAATACCAGTGCTTAACAGGCAGATGCCAATGTCTCAGTATCATACAATACTGTACCGGTAAGGAATAGGTACAATGAGGAGTACCTTACCACCTACTAACTACATAGTACATAGGTACCTGGTATTGAGGTAGATGGCTTTCAGTATACCTACACGCCCAGGGTGTGTGTATGACCGAATTTGACAACCCAATTCCAATACCGCCTGCTTCTTGACTACGTGCATGATTTTGCTTCACGTAAGGTGTCTCAAGTCACGCCCATCATGACAAAAACGAGAAATCGTCCTTGTATATAGTAGGACTGCGAAATCATAGTACAAAACCAGGCCAGCCCTGGCGTTCTGGCCATGGGTGACTTCGACCTTAGCTCGGGCTTCATTCCGGCCCTGCATAAACCCGCCGCGCTTCTTCCCATCACTAAACATCACGACAGCTTGCTCTATCTCATAGAGAAATACCCTGTCACGATTGTTGTCGGTCAAACTGGCTCGGGAAAGACCACTCAAATCCCCCAGTTTCTCGAACATGCAGGCTGGTGTGCTGACGGAAAGGTGGTCGGGGTTACTCAGGTAGTTAACTACATTCCTTGTCCATTCAGCCTAGAGCCATGTGTTTTCTAATAGTATGTATAGCCACGACGAGTAGCTGCTACCACCGTTGCCGTTCGGGTGGCCGAAGAATACGGTTGTGAGCTAGGCAAGGAAGTTGGGTATTCTATTCGATTTGAAGATGTCACTTCTGCTGCTACGCGCATCAAGTTCTTAACCGATGGGCTCCTAATTCGTGAAGCCCTAGTGGATCCCTTGCTCTCCCGCTACTCTGTCATCATGGTTGATGAAGCCCATGAAAGATCTATAAGCACCGACATTCTCCTTGGATTATTGAAGAAAATCCGACGACGTAGACCAGAACTCCGCATAATCATCAGCAGTGCCACGCTCCAGGCTGAAGAGTTTTTGAAGTTCTTCTCTGAAACCTCCGAGAGCCAGGAATCTGAAGATATAAATGATAACCTTACTGGTGCTATAATAAGTCTGAAGGGCAGGACGTACCCAGTTGATGTGCTATATCTTGAATCTCCAGCGGAGGATTATGTTGAAAAGGCGGTTTCTACTGTTTTCGAAATTCATAACTCCGAGCCGGATGGCGACATTCTCGTTTTCCTCACTGGCCGCGAAGAGATCGATTCCGCTCTTCAGACTATTGCCGAACGCTCAGCCGAGCTTCCAGGGACGCAAGCACTACTCCCTCTACCTCTTTATGCGGGCTTGACGACAGAGCAGCAGATGTATGTGTTCGATGCACCACCTGAAAGCACGCGCAAAGTCATACTCAGTACCAATATTGCCGAAGCATCTGTGACGATTGATGGCATTGTCTATGTTATTGACTCAGGCTTTGTGAAACTTAGAGCCTTTGATCCTAAGACCGGCATAGAATCTTTATCAGTCACTCCAGTATCCAAAGCGTCGGCAGCACAGCGGGCTGGCAGAGCTGGCCGCACCAAGCCCGGGAAGTGCTTCCGGCTCTTCACTGAGGATGCGTATAAACATCTCCCCGATACTAATCCGCCTGAGGTCCAGAGATCAAACCTTGCACCTTTTATTCTTCAGCTCAAAGCGCTTGGGATTGACAATGTGGTCCGATTCGAATTCCTCACGCCGCCACCTGCGGAGCTTATGATCAAAGCAATGGAGTTGCTATATGCTTTGGGTGCCCTTGACGAGTATTCGAAACTTACACGACCGCTAGGCATGCGGATGGCGGAGCTTGCCGTTGAGCCAATGATGGCGAAGACACTCCTGAGCGCGTCTTCTTTTGACTGTATAAGTGAAATCCTCACTATAGCGGCCATGACGAGCCTAGGTGGTACTGTATGGGGTCAGCAAGATGGAGGCAAGAGGCAAATGGAGTCTGCCAGGCGTAAATTTGCTGCTGAAGAAGGCGACCACCTGACGCTCCTCAATGTTTACCAAGCATTCGTGACCAAGGGAAAGAAGGAATCCCGGTTCTGCCACGACAATTATCTTAACTTTAAAGCGCTGAGTCGAGCTGTGAGTATAAGAGGGCAATTGAAACGCTACTTGGAGCGATTTGGTATCAGCGTAGACGAGAGCCTCAAAGTGTCTCGCGAGGGAAGGCCAGACCAGATTCGCAGATGTCTAACAGCAGGTTACTTTGCTCATGCAGCGAAAATGCAACCCGATGGGAGCTACCGAAACATTGATGGTGGCACTATACTATATGCCCATCCTAGCTCCTTGATGTTCAATCGAAAAGCTGAGTGGGTCATCTTCCACGAGGTCATGGAGACTGGTAACAAAACGTTCATTCGCGACATCACTAAAATCGAGAAATCTTGGTTACTCGACTACTCAGCCGGGTTTTATCAGACCAAACCACGATGAAGGCGAGTTGATCGCCATCCCTCCTGTAGGTGGTCATTAGATACCTAACTAGGTAATACTAGTCTGAATGTTGAGAATCTCGGTGGTAATGCCACGCTACATGGGAAGATAGGTAGCATGCAAGCTAACCTACCACAGTGAGTTGGCCAATGCCTGTTCGAATCGGTCGAAAAGGGGAATTCCTTACCGCAACTATTTTCATACCAATGCTTCCATGATCCAGAATCCAGGCGCTGCACACGGGCAATACCTCTTGAGACCTCAGTAACGCAGCACTACCTATAACCACAATGCAAAACAAACCACCAGTAACTAAACCTGTACGCTAGCAGTTACTGAAGCTTACCTGTGCAGATGGCTTGGCAAACCCCGCTCTTCAAAATCAGTCTACCGGTATCTGAATTATCTCGGTAGTTCGAGATGATGCTTGGTTAGGACACGACGACGCATGTCACCGTGTACATACATGAGAACACCTGATTCGATACTACACTACTTATCCAAGGTGTTGCGGAAAACAGCCATATGCTTCAATGAAAAGGTTTCGCGTGGTGTAGTGCTACAACTGCGTCGACTTTAAGCTTACCTGCCTCCCTCTCATTGACCACAAGCATTGATTGGCTTTCTTACCCAGCTGAATCGTAGATAGTAGGCTTGACATTTCTTGCCTGGAACTCACTGCTTTTTGAAGGCTCAGAACTTTCGTTATGAGCACACTAGGTATACTCAGTACTTCTGAAATCTGCCCCAAATACATAAAAAGGGAGAAAATGGTGCTCCTGCACTATGGACTCGGAGGATCTTTAATTACTTAGTTGCACAGATGTTCCTTTTTTATGTACAGTATGTAAGCCACCTAGCTGGAGTGCAGAAAAGGGGCTTCCTTCGGGCTTCGTCTAATGGCGTTCAAGAGTACACTAGCGCTGCAAACAAGAAACAAGCCCCAGTTGGCATCTCCGAACAAGCATCTACCCTATCGATGACCCATGTCAGGATACAGTATGATTGAGGGCAGTTCCTGCATTAGCTCCCTTGCAACGGCGCAAATCTTCAAGATGGTGGTGCTGATTCGGCCAGACTTACAGTGCCAAAAGAAAACAACATACGCCCTCAGCCGCGCCACTTCTTCCTATTGACCACAGTTTCGTACTGTATGAATGGTTGAATTCAGAATGGCCAAGGCGGAAGCCAGGGTTCGTAGACAGTGCTCTTAATCCTGTGTGGTCCTAAATCCTACTCATTCGCCCACCGACCTTCAAGCCTCCACACCCCCTTCTCTCATTTCCCCCTACATTAGGCTTTCATTCGCTGGCTGAGTTGATGGGCCTCACCCCGGCACAAGCGGAACAAGGGATTGGGTCTCAGGTACCATGTACCTGCAGTAGCATCGTCTGTTACACTCTTCTTGGTCTCGTTCGCTGCTCCTTTCTTTTCCTTCATCCTCTTCTTCTAGCACCTCACCGTTCGGAAGTCTAGGTAGTAATCCTTCGACAATAGGCCGTCAAGCCCAACTGCCTGCCAGCGGGCGTGCCATTCTTTCAATCTAACTTTCAAGTCATTCTTTTCAAGACTCACCCAAGTCTATCATTCAATCGGCGGCGTCTTGGCTATTGTCTTTAAAATCTAATCAATTCGGATATTGTGTGCATTTCGTATTGGCTACTGCTAGGTCGAACGATTTTAACGATCACTGCCAATTGAACCCAAACCTGGCTCTGAGTTTAGACTCGAAATCTGAAGAGGGTATATTGTGTAGCTTAGCGCCTTCGAACGATTTCATGCTCCTCACCAGAACACTTTGATAATCAAGCAAGGGTACGCCGCTCGAGTGCCATGAGAACAATGATACATCGACACCTTCATGGCCATGGCCATAGCCGTGGTCACCACCTGCGTTCACGGGAACCGGTACTTGAGTTGGATGAGCGAGACCAAGGGCAAAGTATAGAACTGGACACGCACGATATACTGCATTCGGACCACCATGTGCCACAAATTACAACCCGAGCGAACAATCTAGACGAGAAACCGTCGACCGACAGCAGCACAACTACAATCGTCATTAGTGTTGTGTGAGTATCTGTAAGGCTGTGTGTACTTCGGTGTAGCTAATAACCTTTAGTATCCCCCTGGTCGTTGCTCTCGCGGTGTTGGCATATTTTGCTCGAAAAGGTGTGTTGAGAAGGAGACGTGAAGAAGCGGCGAGCAAATTCAAATCAATGGACTTTGGTCTGCAAGAAACGTTGCCTTCGAAGGGCGGCAAAAGAAAAAGCGCCTTTTTTGGCAAAGAGAAGGAGGGTGGTCACAAAACCCAGCTTTCGATGGACATGAATCTATCAAGTCCTTACCTTCTCCCGCCCAACCTTCATGCCTCTAGAGAATCGTTCAATTCTCTTGCCAAGACTCTCCACCAGGCCGATGACCCCTATCGACCTGTTACAGATTATGCTGGCAGTGATGTTGGCTCGTTGCGTTCTTTTAAACGAGGACCCGCAACCAGGACGTCGTCTATCTACACGTCAAAAACGCGTCCAAGTGGTGACATCCCTCGTCAGCAGAGAGAGATCCCGACTTCTCCGTTGCAGTCACCACTTCCTGTTGCCCAGCCCCTTTCACATTCACCTGCCCAGCAGGAAGAGATGCTATCTACCCCAGCAAAGAACGAGTTCCGATTTGTTGACGATGGACCTGGAGTCACTCAGGTTCCTGAGATTCAAGAACCTGCGGCTGTCGCTACTTTAGCAACTCGCAAGCCAGCCACACAAAGTCCTCGTTCTTTATCTCCGGAGGTCAAGGAAGCACCTGTACCTATGGTTGCTGAGATTGTTGATGAGAGGGACTCTCTACCGCGAGGCGCACCCAACAGCCAGATGCATACTACAGGCCTAGGTATCATGGATCGTCATATGTCTCAAGCCTCGTCAACTTCGCAGAGTTCTGACGCCAAGGGTATGCCAATGGCTATTCGGCCACCCCGCAAGGAGTCGATGCCAGTGATCAATGCCCCAAAGATGAACCAAGAGTACCAAGGTTATGACGATCATATGCAGTTTGAGGATAATCAATTCAGCTCGCATCGTGATGAGGATGAGCTTCATATGTCAGTTCACCATGAGCAGAATGTCCACCCGCACTCTGCTGGCTTGGGTGTTCCTGATCAAGACAATCGGAGACTATCTGTTGGCCTTAGACCTCTACCTCCAGATGACTTCCTTGAATCAGAAGATCCTGAATTCCGAGCCAATCGCATTCGCTCGTTCTATAAGGAGTATTTCGACGATAGTAAGGCCGACCAGAATCGCCCTCCAATGCCTCAACCAAAGCAGGGAGGATACTACGAGGACTATGATGCGGGTTACATGGGTGAGGCTGCATACTTTGATCCTGACACGAATGCCTTTGTCATGCCATATGCTCAACCCGTTACCCGCCGTGCTATGACACCCCCTCCGAATAATAGACGCCCAATGCCTGGACCCGGGCCACGTGGCCCACCGGGTCCCCATGGTCCTCATAGAGGCCCTCCTATGTCTGGCGGCCCTCAAGTCCGACCTAGAGCTGGATCAACAATGTCGGGCCGTGCATGGGGACCTAGAAGCCCTCGACCGGGTTCGTCAGCATCGAATCCTCGCTTCGGCGGACAGCCCAAAAAACCTATGCCTCCCCCGGCTGCCCTTAACTCATTGCCAACCCCATCTAAGCTGAAAGATGATTCATTTGCCCTAATGGGAGCGGTCGACTTCGCACCTCCTCCCTCATTCAAGGATCAGGCAACCGGCCGATCTCAAAGCCCTCTCGGCGAGCGTGTGCCATATCGGGTGAACACTCCTGTCCACTCACCATTGGTTAGCGCCTTCGACGACACGCCGGCGCTACCCAGCCCGTAAGTAATGTGTGTGATTAGATACAGGTGATCGACGCTAATATTATATAGGCATTTGTTACGCAAATCCGGTACCTTTACTGGTCTTGATTTTGCGCCACCGCGTCGATTCAAGGACCCTGAGACCATGAGTGAGACGGGCAGTGTTCGTAGCATGCATAGCGGTATCTCCGGCATGGGCTTGAATGCGCTCCGTGCTGGGGCTGGACGAGTCAGCCGCCTGCCTGGCGATACGGTCTTCACGCAAGCCGCTATGAACGACACGCTGAAGCCGAATTGGGGCATGCGTGATTAGTTCAATTCTCTCTTTCGCTTCATGACATACGACCATACCATTATCTCGGCGCATTAGGGATAGCCATGTCCTCCTTTCGGTACATATATCAATCACATCATCATGGCATGGGAGTTATTAATAATAGATGGAACCGGCGATTATTTGGGGGCTATATTGTTGGAACCCGACCACTTTAAGCTCCAGCGAACATTCAATTATACTGTATTTGTTAATGCCCTTTTCTCACTTACCCCGGCCGCCTTTCGAACCATTGGGTCAGGAGTTATTCATCTCTGCCTAGACAACCATTCATGGACCGGTTTACCAATGCTCATTGTAGTACCCTCTCTATTGGTATGGAGTACTTTTTCTCGGATGAGTATATATACATGGAACAGAATATAGGGCCCAAGCAAATCTACTACCGCCATTATGTCACTTATTCGATGAGTTGACATCTTCTGATTTCTCACAGCTGTGCCGCCCTTCACGCTCGTGTAGCGGGACTTAGGCAACGGCAAAAAGCTCATTTACGAAACAACCAAATAAAATTCATGTTACAACATATAGTTGGTTTTTGTGATATACTGTATTAGTACGCGTGCGTGTATTTTGACTAAAGGATAGATAATCGAGATAGACTGAATCACAAACCCTCGGCTAAATCTTTCAATAGATCGGAACAAGAGCGAATGACGTACCTAGCCCTAACTCTTGTCTCATGGATATATATGTCTTACCTCTATAGACGTAAGACATCTTAGATGGTCTCAGATGATGTCGCCTCCTATTGGCAGTAGTTGCCAATGGGAGATGCTGAGTACACGCACTTCATCTGCTTCAACTGCACTATCTCAGTTCGGGGTTTTCGGCCTACGGTGCAACTCGATACCTTCTTAGTTCCAACTGCGTTAGCCAGCATACACGGTGGCTATTCAGCGTATTCCCCATAAGGCCGCTGAAGGATTATAATACAACCTCTCTATGGTCTAAACTAGAATCAACTGCTCTTGTCCGTGGATTTGGAGCAAATTAACCCGGGTCCCTCAGGCTGACAAGTGCACGCTGGATTTGAATTACTAAGTGAGTAGTAGGTAGGCAGTTGCTGCATGACGATTGGGAACTACATACTTAGTATATTGAGCACATGGATCGCACAGACCGTTATAGCCCAGGTTGAACCCTGAAAGAGCGATAGGCGCTACACTACTTAGAGCGGTTATTCTTTGCTGATATATCTGTAGGCGGGGAATAAACCGCGCATCTGCATAAGATTACATCCTCGGAAATTCCGGGAAGTTGGGTGAAGAAAGTGAATCGAGGGATACAATGATTCTTTAGCCGAGAGCACAAGCACTTATAACATGATATAGACTGATTGAAAAAAGTGTTTACTCTTAAGTAGTAGCTATTATTCCCCTTTTATTCCCTTGCAGTCTCCACTGAAAAATCAGTAGTTGAAGGTAGGTAATTCGACATGGCATGTACAAAAGACCCGAGAGATATTACTTACATGCAGATCTCACTCAAGACTACCTAGGGCTGACGATGGGTAATCGGGACGCTGACGTTCATCTCACACTGCACTTACTAGGTATGTACCTCAATTGAACTGTTGATTCTGAACTCGGAGTTCTATCCATATTGCACTATACTTACAGATAAGTATGCTTGGATAAATTCGAGATTCTGCAGTTTCAATAACGACTTTTCCTATTCCCTACCTTGAGCAAGCAGCGCTTACTTAGCATTGCCGGATATCATCCGCCTGGAGCATGCCTTGCCCCCCACCCTCGCTTTTTGGTCGACTAGACTAATTCCTAGTTTAGAAGGCGCGAAAAAAGAGTGACCCCATTCTCGTGTTCAGGCATCACGTTTGTCTCTGGGCCGTAGATCTCCGCGATGGACTGGGAAACATCCAAGGCTGTTCCTAGTATTTGGAGGGTGGTGTCGTCATTTGTCAAAAACCAGGTCGAAAATTCCGCCGAGAAGCCATCTTGGCCCAAGATCTGTTTTACAGCTGTCAAGTCAGGATCTTCAAGTAAGCAGGCGAGGGCAGGTAACAGTGTTACTTGGGTAATTTTGTTTTCTCGGTCTACTTATCATTGGACTTGCAGAAAAGAGTATAAGTCTTTGTTTCATTGCTATATTTGACTGTTTAGTCTGTCCCGGTAGATCCTTCTGGGAGTCGGCGTCGGGGCCGGTCTCTCGCTAGAAGGACGCTTGTTGATGGCGAATCACGGCGCATCCAGCGACGAAGTACATGTAGAAGTTTGGAGCAGAGAAGCGAAAAGGGCCGTCTTGGGCAGGTTGCTCGCAGGAACCCAGCTGCAGGCTAGCAGTCTCTACTCTCGATACAGTATTGGACTTGGGCCAATTGCAGGAATTCTTGTGGCGGGCTGGCATCTAAATACTTACAGCAGTAGCAGTGTACAGGCAAGTCTAGCCGTTACAAGGCCTCTGGGATGCCCAGCTTCCGAGTCCTTCCAGCACAACATTCACCGAGGTTTTGACCTAAACAAGGAACTCTGAGGCTATCTCGGCCCCCAATAGTCTGGTTCGAGTTGTCGTTGCCGAACCAGACTACGTAATATACTACGTCGGCTACTGCAATTGGATGCTACCTAGGTATGTGAAACAGCGGGCGTGACCAGCACGGCATAAAACTCCAGGTCAGTAATATACAAGTACCTACATAATCTACCTACCTCACACTCCTCTAACCTTAAGTCGTGCTGCACGTAAACCACTGCACCGTGGGTAGAAGATAGAGGACATTCAGAGTACACAGGCAGGCAGGCAGATAGACAGACAGCAGTATGGTGTTGATATGTAGTGTATCATGAACCATCATGGTGAAGCCTTCTAGGTAGGTTATGTACTGTTTGTGCCGGGGATACCTATATAAAGAAAGGTATGAAACGAGACATCAAGATCTACGAATAAACAGGTTTCTGGACCTACTCGGGTGGTTAGGTGCACAACTCGGCACACTCAGCCACCTGCATCCCAGCATCCTAGCATCCCATCTGGCATCGGACCTGATATGACTTGGAGTCTCTGACTTGGAATGTCGACACGAAGATTGGTGGGATTGACTCCATGGCAGTGCTCTCTTTCTTGCCCCCCCTACTCTCGCCTATGTAGGTACCTAGGTAGGTGCCTAGTGGACAACAGCACTGTCGAGAACTGTTCAAGGTAGCAGAGCAGGGGATAGCACTAACTAACATGGTTACCTACCTACCTAAGGCTACAGTGGAGATGAGGAGTCTTGGAATCGTCGCAAATTTCCTCTGGCGTCCGCTACCAAAAGAGCACTCCCACTCCACTACCTGACTTTCTGTTGGCCTCCCTCCCTCCCTCCTTTGCTTCTCTTCGAGTTCCATATCTCCAGCTACAGAACTGGTGCGATGCAATACAATACCTACCTATGTATCTTGAATTGCTGTGTTTTTAAATGACCTAGCGATATCAACTAGATCCCACCTCACTGCTGGACTGATGACCAGCTCGGCTTCATCATCGTAGCATCACCAGGCCCCCTTTCTTCCATATTCTCGGACCGTCTGTCATCAAGACGCTTGCGGCCTTATCCTACGTTGCAGCGTGCGTCTTGCTTGTTTTGCCATCCATCATATGCACGCATGCATGCATCTATATGTACATACACACTAAAGTAAGCGTTCGTCCGTCTCGCCGCCTGTCGTAAACATGGATCCAGCGAGACCATGAAAACACGAGAGACTCGAGAAGACTGAGAGCTGACTCCGCCACGGTACAGCCGCCCATTGCATTAGTCCAAGTGTCGCTCGCCCGCTCGCCCAATCGCTCACCCAATCGCTCACACACCCACCTCCTCCTAGTGTGTCTGTTGTAACTGTTGTACGGCATCCCCCGTGGCTAGGTAGCCTCCGCTGTATTTTTTATTTATTTTATTTTATTTTTATTTTTTCCCCCTTCTCCCAATCTCTCGCCTTGTCTCGCCCATCAATCAAGCCATCGCCTCCTGGCAGCGTCTCATCTTGAATCATTCACACCATCTCGTGCATTCATCCAATTGTTACATCCACTCGTTCCCATTGCTATTCGATCCGTCCTATCCGTAGCGTGCGCTCTCCACACCAGGTATGTGACAAGACAATTGATCAATTCCACAATTCCATCCACACCGTCCCAACGCCATGCCTCGGTGCATCTGCATCCAATCGCCCCATCCCACAGTCTCAGTCTCAGTCCCCGCTTATGGTCGAGTCCATGGCCCGCAGTGCTAAGCTGGCGCATCACATTTGACTTGCTTTGGGGCTTGTCGTTTGGACTCAGATTTGTTCTTCCACCGTGCACCACTGTTTCCTGGCATTGCTTACTTCATTTTGCTTCAACACTCAATATTATTGCTGCTAACATAATGTCGCAAGATAGTCGACATTCCAGGTTAAAGGCGCGAATAAAGCGTCAGGCAACCATGTCTAACCCTGCCCCAACCTCTACACCCGTCGATTCGTCGACTACAGACGATCAAGCAACTTCAACTGCTGACACCACTTCCTCCTCGTCTACACCGCCGCCAGCAACAGAAACTACCGAAACCACCTCTTCATCATCCGAACCACCGCCGCCAACTAGTACGTCGTCGTCGTCTTCGAGTGAGACTCCTACATCTACACCTGAGCAGTCTACAACGTCCACGACTTCAACACCAGAGCCAACTAGCACCTCCTCTACTCCAACCCCGACACCCTCTGAAACCTCAACTAGTAGTGAACCTTCATCATCAACTGAGGAGCCAACTTCGAGTGACTCTTCAACCCCAACATCTTCAACTACGGATGCAGTTCCTACCTCGACATCAGAATCATCCGACAATGCCTCCACAGCAACAACTACTATCACTTCATTTGCTACTAAAAGCACCAGTGCCGGTGCCGGTGCCAGTGCTTCTCCAACCGGGACTGGCGCGCTCAACTCAGGAAGTGATGGCCCCTCGAGCAGCTTAAACCAGTCGAGCAAGATTGCTGTGGCCGTTGTCGTCCCCATCGTCGGTGTAGCCTTGATTGTTCTAGCAGGCTTGTTTTTCTGGAGAAGACGTAGTAAACAGCGTAGGGATGCTGAGGAAGAGCGGAGGAAAGAAGTAGAGGACTATGCTTACAACCCAAACAATGACCCTACCCTGCCGAATGTTGGCGGAGGTGCTTATGAGATGAAGGAAGATGCGTCTTCTGGCTATCGTGGCTGGGGAACAACCACGCTTGCGGGCTCTACAGGACGTAAGGGATCAACTACCATGTCTGGCGCAGGTGCGGCTTTTTCTGATAATGTTTCTCCAGAACGACCTTTTTCTGACGCGACATCAGGTGAACCTTTAATGAGCGACGGATCGCATAGTCCCGAAGGCGAGATCCTGGGTGCCATGGGCCCTCCTTCAGCCGAGAACCGTGGCGCCAATGTCCATCGAGGCCCTTCGAACGCTTCATCTTCGTATAGCGCGGCGGGCAGATCTGACGGCTCAGGCGAGAATGGCCCGTACGGAGGTCCCGGATATTATGACCAATACGGTACCAGCAATCCGTATAGCGATCCATACTCTGACAACCCGAACGGCCCGGTGCAACCCGTCATCCGTGACAACCCAGCTCGGCGAAATACTCGCATAGAGAATTCGTCTCACTACCCCCAACAAAGTGCAGGCATCTCTCAAAACTTCTAATTCTGCACGCCGGCTAAAATGCGTGAGGAAAGAGAAATAACGCAGAAAACGAAAAGGAAGCCAAAATGCATATATTTCATGTGTCATATATTGATACCCAACTTTCTACTTAATACTTTGACATATTCATGCCACTACTCTACGGAACAGCATCAAGCGCTTTGAAGCTTATTTTCTTAACGCCAATGCAATCCTCTACGGCCATCACTTACAGTATGCTCTTGACGATCTTTTTGGTTACAATATCAGCACTGAAGCCATAATTTTGGAATGAACGGGAACCAATTTGAAAGAAACTACTTGTCTTAGCTTTTCAAAACATACGAATTCTACACAAGCGTAGCATTACAATAGACGGGGCTACTTTTAATCAAAACCTGGCCTTGGATGGGATGAATATGTTTATTTACTGCTTCCTCTCGGGTCATACATAGTATTTGGACTTGTTCCAACCACATAGCATTGTTTTTCTTTTTCTCCTTTTTTTTTTTTTTTGGTCTGGGAGGCTGTGGAGCTCGAGCAAGAGGAGGAGGCCTGGGGATCTCTGTCAAACATAGCCAATATATGAAGATAAGGGTTTTGTCATTTTGTTGCCTGTTTGGGTAATGTACTGTACATATGAATAACAAACTCTTACAATGTGCTTTCTGTGCCTCATGCATGCGGTTGCAGGGGTATGATGAGTAGCTATTCTGCTGCCAACCATATTTTATATAAAATGCCTTGTCAATTTGAAGTGAAGACTTGTATCCCGAGCCTGGAAATTCTTATTCCGGTGGCTTTGTGAGAGCATTTACCTAGATAATCGAAGCCTGCTATCTCATCCAACTGAGGAGTGAGGATGAAGAACTAGGTGATGGGGAGCTTTCGTTGGTTTTTATTACGACCATGCTATATAGCTGTTTGCCTAGGTGACCTGTCTAGTCTGAGTTCGTGTTGATGAGCGGTGCCGATGATGAAGGAGCGTAAGAGACGACCGGTTTCTTCCGATTTTTGAATACAGAAATCAAGGATGATCCTTGGAAAGACAAGCCGTGACGGTATTTGGGGATCATTTGAGGATGAGATGGACTCTCGGTAGTAGAAGTCTTGAATGGGTATTGTGAACAGAACAGCGGGAATGCTCTTGTTACAATCCTACTCCTGAAGGGTTTGCATATCGTGCTATGCAGACACGTGGATTTAATACAATACATAGATAGAGACACACTGGAAGCATGGACGAGTTCGTGAACAAGTATATTTATTTCTCTTATGTCTCTCAATGACCTGTATCATTCATTTCTTCATCATGCAAACAGGGGGTATATACAGGGTTTGCGCATACTAGCTATGTACATGTGTATGCGTATGCGTATGCGTGGGTGGGTATCTAAGTGTGTATGTATGTTTGTACAGCCACTCCTATACAATCGGATCAGGCCTTGATCCAATATAGAGCATGTTGTGTCTGTGATATATATATGGCGATTTCAAGACAGCGCTGCTGTCTCCCTGGAGATCGCACGGTGTATACTGAATCGTGATATGGTGATTGTGTGGATGGAGCTCGGCAAGACAGTTGTTTTGTTCGTGAAGATATGACGCGCTGTTGAGTGGTTAGAAAACTTAGATATGTGATACGAATCAGCTCTGCATTAGTCCTGACTTGCGAGCCGAGTGCAAGTTCAAATGCACGTCCTCTTTGATTTGTATTCCGAAGCCCGAAGCAAAACTGCTCATCTGTGGCTGGTATGTCTTAAGCGTCTCTCGGAAGACTCCATATTTTCGCCTGAGTAGAATCGCCATGTAATAGGACGATATGGCAATCAGACAGGAAAAGAAACAATAGAATGAAGTACTCGTAGGGAGTACTCATAGCTTGGCCTTGATAGTGACCTTCTTTTCACTGCTAGTGAAGCTCGTCGACCCATTGCCATATCCCTCGCTATATATGACGCGTGGCCACCAGAACTTGCACTCGGTCTTCTCACGCGCTGTCAAGGCAATGCTTTTCACTGGCGTTCCGGGATTTTGCGTTCCCGCCGACCTCATCTGCTCATCGTTGCCGCTGCCGAAAATTGCGAGGAGGCCAGTGGTGTCATCATCGTCATCATCGCTATTGCTAGAGTTGAACGGACTTCTATACTGAGGCCACGTGAAGTTCGCCTTCGCACCCGAATATGACTGACTCGGATCACCAGTCGCAGCAAACCGCGTCCATGCCCCTGTCATAGCATCTGCGACCGCTACCATACCCGGGAAGCTGCCGATCCTACTCATGTCATGCGCTACCGTGGCTGCTTCTTCTCCGTGGTCTGCTGCCCCGAATGACGAGGTTCGTGGCGCGTAGTGGTAGACGTATACAGGGGCGGCACTCTGTGCCGTTGAGGCGAGGGTCGCGGTTTGGAGGACTGGGCAGATGTAGGCATAGTGAGCGTACGCATCATCCAGCCGCCAGAACTCGGTGCCAAACTTGGTAGACTCTTGGGCGTTGGCGTACAACTGCTTGCCCCTAGAGGTGCTAAGGCTTGGGTACAGCTCATCAAGTGTCTGGAGATCCTCATCCTGCAGCCCTGGAATAATAGATGACATGAGGCTACGCACGGCAGTCGGCTGATTTGCGCCCTCTGGTACGAACGTGGCGCCTTCGTTTGTGTTGAAGCCTGTTATTATCGGAATTCGCAACACATTGCCTTTGTTCCAGGAGTTGATCGGCAAATCGGGGATCACACCCCCTGGACCATCGATGACGGGTTGGAAGGGCCAACGCAAGCTTTTGGACCATTTCCCCCACATATTTTGAGATGCAGACACTAAAGTCGAGTACGGCAATTCGCGCAATTTGTCGAAGAGTTCGTCGTCTGATACCCCGTCGATATCACATTGCATCAGGAATTCCTGGAACTGCTGCTCATGTAAGGGATGGTTCGGAACAAATGTTGCTCGCGCTGTTGAGCCGCCGGATTCGATTATGGCTTTCTGAAACGGAGGCGGTCCAGAGATGAGTTTATTAGCTGGCGAGTAAGATATTAAGTGATGTCCGATCTGAAAGAGAGGAACTATGTTAGTTGCGCACACTTGATGGATATGCTATACTTCGGACATTCCGAGTGACCGGGAAATGGTATGCCTTACCGAGTGAGAACCTGCACTCAATCCCATAAGTGTTACATTGTCAGGGTCGCCACCAACGGCAGGGAGGATAGACCTCATCCACTCGAAGAAGAATTGTTGGTCCTTTAGGCCAAGGTTTAACAAACCCTTCTTAGCTGTCAAAGCACTAGGCAAGAATCCAAGAGGACCAACGCGATAATTGAAGCTCATGGCAATGATAGGCGAATCGGCGAAAGCCGCAAAGCTCGCCATGTTCCTTTCTTTGCCGCTCCCCATGTTGAAACCTCCGCCGTGGACATACACCACAACAGGCAATTTCTTGCTGTCCACCCCGAGCCGTTTCTCCTCGGTCGCGATCTCGTCTGCATTATCACCAAAATGTGGGCGATAGATATTTGCATTAAGACAGTTCTCGCCGTGTCCACCGATGCCGGTCTTGCCCGGTGCACATATCTGTCCGAACTTTAAGGCGTGGTAAATGACATCTGGCTGTGCTTGGGTCTTGAGAGCCTGCGGTGGTCGGAAACGGTTCTTGCCTTCTGTCGTCTGAGCATATGGAATACCTATGTAGGCTTGAATGGCGCGTGGCGAAGAGGAGCTGGGGCCGATGACCTGGCCGAGGTAGTTACCCTGGGGTAGGTTGATGGTGGATGTTTTCTGCGGCATTGCGTCAGATTTTGTATCACAATGAGACTTGGAACAGTCTCTCTTCGGTAGCAATAGAATCGAGGTGAAGGGTGGAAAGGATAATAATGTATGGAGAAGGGGTTGGATATGTTTAGTGAGGGTGGTAGTGGAAGTTTAGAATCGTCGGCAATTTCATTACAACCCTCGGCAGTTCGTCCCGTTGGGCATGGTGCGTCTCCCGGTCATTGGCCAACAAGGATGCATGGAGCCATGAAATGAATAATTCAATGCAGAAGAAGAGCAAAAGTGATGCGACGTACCTTGAACAGAGTATCAAGCCCACCGACGGAATGGCGGCTTAAAAGCGTCGAAAGTAGGATGATGGTGACTATTCCGAAGACCAGGACAGCGGAAAGGGCCCAGCGGACCTTCCGCTGCTTGAACCTGGACACGGGAGCCTGCGGCGATTGCAGCCTCTGGTACGACGGCTCGAAGTCCAGCATGGCGAGCGATTTATTGGCCTCCGGGTCAATATCGTCGATACTGCTGCCGCTCCCGCTGCTATTGCTTTTGCCGTCGTCGTCTTTGGCAGCCGTTTGACGTCCGCGACGGGGGAAATGAACCCGTGGCGGCCATGATGGCAGCTTGAGTGACAGTACATCCCTCATTCCGACCGTCCGTCTCAGCTGAGCCGAGACTTCTTGGCGTTGGCTGACGTCTTGGCAGGGCACCGCTTCTTGTCCTTCTCCAGGTCTGTCCAGGCGACTGCTGCTCGCAGGCTGCGGGAAGGGCAGGAAGCTTGGCGTGCGACCTAAGCTCTTCAAAGAGATCTCTTGGCTTTGGTGAAATGCTATAATAGGCTGCGAGTGTATTTCTTGGTTAGGAAATGATGTGCAGGAATGCCGTGCATCTATCAGAGAATCGCGGCCGCGGAACTACGAAGAATTGAACCCAAGCGGGTTTCCTCCTTCTTTTTCTTTCGTGCTGCTTGTGGAAATGGGTATCTATATGCAAGAAAATGTCAACTGCCAGTGCTGTGTGTGTAGGTCATTCGACGTGAGAAAGAGGTGTGCCAGCTGCGAAAGAATAGCTCAAGAAAAGACAGAACTGTAATTGGGGCAACAGCGTGGTCATATACGTATAGTAATCCCTCGCCATCTCCCTGCCGGCCTTATCGACGGGGTTTGGACCCAGGGCTAGACTGAGGGCGAGGTGACGATGCGACCATGGGAGAAGGGGAGCCGCCCGTGATAAGGTAGGTAGCACGTACTGACCGGGGGAGCATTAGGTAGCAACAAAATTCATTCACGTCCCTTGCTGCGGTGCTCGACCTTGAAACTAACGCAGAGCCAACGATGCAGGACCTCAGCACTATTCACGTAACATGTTTGTATCCTGCGAGCGCACACAAAATCCGAATATAGACCGACTAAAAAAGACCGACCAAAAACACCGAGCAACGGACAATACCAGCTACCAACGACGGGAGAGTCGAGGCTCGATGATCCCAGGTTAATAAATGCGGCGTGACACATGTAGCCGTCGGCCCATTCGATGACAAGCGCACATATCCCACTTTCATCATCCAAGTAGGTACGCGAAGATCAGAGCTGCTAGGTACATATTTAGTTGCCTAGTCAGTCGAGGTGATTCCCACTCCCTGTCACCCAAATCTGCTCAAAGAACCCAGACCCATCGCTCCGCTCCCTATGATGCATAGTTGTTGTTTTTTTCACCTACCTTTCCTGCACCTAGGTGCTAGGCTAATCTAGTGTAGATAGCGGCCGATGCTCCCAGCTTTAGATTTGGGATTATCCCTCGAGACTAACTACACGTACATACTGACTGGCGCTCGACTGGTATGATGCTGGGAAGCGTATCGGATGCCGCCCACCCGGCAGTATGGGGTTCGGGATGGACTTGTGTCTCTTGCCCATTTGCACTGCTGATGTATGTGACTGTTTCTACATACCTACATCCTCCAGGGCTAACTATGACAGTAGGTACATGCACACAGGCCCACCTGTGTGCTGTCCCTTAATACCATAAGCGGTGCAAAAGTGCGAGCTGACCGCTGCATAGATAGCGCGTCGCCTCGGCAGGTGGTGAGACGGATGGTAGTGAAGTGGTGATCCTGTTCTGTCTGCACCTAAAAAGCTTGTTTCTCATTCTCCTTCTCCTTCTTCTTCCACTAGGAATCAAGAAGAATCAACAAGCTGTACTAGGATACATGCATGTAGGTAGATATACGTACCTAAGCAGATGCCTTAAGTAACCCAACCCACATGCCCTATCCCACAAACCGATAGCAACCAGACATAGTCGCGTTTTAGATCGTGGAATATATCACAGCTATGACAACATACGCAGCGCGAACGCCCGAACTACCCTCACCTAGCCCATCACCCACCAAGACATTGGTGTCAATCAGACAGCACCTACTTAGGTAGTTATCAGTGTACGTAGGTGGCTGGCTCTCCCGTGAACCACGCAGAAGATTTGGAAGAAGCGCCTAAAATGACGCCATGTTCCAGTGGCTGAGTTACTGCGAACCAGACTTCTGTTTTTGTTCTGTTTTTTTTCTGGTCCTTTTCTTTTCCTCTGATGCGTCCCTAGCTCGGTTAGGTGGTAGGTCTAGAACTCGGGCGTTCCCTGATACCTACACGGTAGTACCCATTCTGTACCCATGTAGTAATCAGGCAGACAATGTCTAAGTAGAAATCAGTCTAGGTAGGTAGTACGGTAGACATATTTCCGCGAAGGGATTTTGATACCTATCGCATGATGGAACTGTCAATGAATGTTTGACAGCCAGCACACCGGGGACTATCCAATGGGTACCAATGGCTGTGCCTCCCCCTGTCTCCCACGTGCAATTTAACAAAAAAAGAACGCTTGCTTACTTATACGCTGCACGTTACGAGCCGATGACTAAAGCTTTACATTTGTCTAAAAGCGCATTCCGAGATACATATATTCTTTTCCACTTCGTTACTCCAGGTAGGCAAGGAATTTGTACACGTAGTCGCATCATAAGCAACATTTGTAGGTAAGACTAGGTATCACAAAGGTCGAGGAGGAGGCCTCCTCTTCTCGCTCTGGGTTAAAACATATAGTTGCGAACGCCATGTGATTATCACCAATGGCACCACCTTTCCGCTATATAGACCTACTATGTAGATTGGGTGCCTGGCGGTGGTGGACCTGGTGGTACTACTTAGAAGCAGGCTGGCTATGACAGGACATTATGTACAGACAAGCTTCGGTAGCACAACATGTTGAAGAACACGGTCTCGGGGTCTCTTGGCCGTAGCGATTGGCTGCTACCCGAGGAGCATGACTACACTATAATGTTTCCCGGCGGTAATATTGTAGTTGTGCCGGATGGCTAGGTGCAGCTTAGCTGGGTATGTACAACGTCTACTCCGTAGAAATCTAGAAGTTTACTTAAGCATACCCGAGACACTAGACTCGCCGACAGACCCCGTTCTGCCCGTGTTCAAGACATTGCCCGCCGCTAGCGGAAACAGTACAATCATGGGACCAGTAAGAAGCAGGGCTAAATCACAAATCCAATGGCGTTTATAGGATTTACAACGTGCAACTTCATAGATACGAAAGCTCCGCCACGAAGATGGAGACGCGAGCAGTATATGTAAGGTACCTAGGTAAGTACGACAAGCATGAACGCAGCCATCTACACGTTGATGATAGTATCCACTGTAAGCTGCTTCGACTGCGCAGATTTCTTCAATACGAAGAACCGAAGTGGATAGCCCACCCACCAAAACAACAAGGGGCAGACAAGCAGACACTTACTTGCAACCGATACACCTGATAGCGCGAAAGCGTTGATAATATTAGATAGATAGCCCTGCTTCCAGCGTATCTGTGGTCTTCAGCGATTCATCGTCGAGATGAGTGTCAGTCACAGACAACCTCAACAACCTACCCAACCATCACCATAGCTTATTGGTGTTCAGTCCCGGCCTACAATAATATTAATGTTGACGTAGTTGGTGACCGTGTCTCCAGCTTAGGTATTTCTGGTTGCAGCTCTTATATGTAAGTCGAAGCGCAAACATAACGTCAACGACATCTACACGCCCACCCACTAAACAAATTGAACATACACCAATCCATAATTAAACTACTCGACTTGGATACCTAAATAGTCTTTTTTCTTTCTTATCCCTTTTTGGTTATCATGATCTGGACAGTGATACTCCATGATCTCAGTTGTCCATTATCTGCACGAAGATCGATATCTTTGAAAATGCGATCGGCAATCAGCTACGGCACTCTCCGTCCCACTTACTGATCATCCACGATAGACACATACGTACGTGTAAAACTGTACACTGACGAGCAGGATCAACATGATAATGAGTGTAGAAAAGCTTGTATTTCGTCACATATGTATGTGTGTGTGTGCTAGTAGGTAGATCGATCTTCGCTCGCTAATCTTGGTAGACTATGTACATGATGTCACGGATCTACAATCTATCTCTAGCGGAGGTGTCTATTCATCAAATCTACCTGGATTTGCAGATTAACACCATGCTCTGCTTCAGATCTTCATTTTTTTTTTTTTGGCGTCGGGTTTGGTGGGTATAGGCTTAAGTTGTCGAATATTCTAGATGAGACATAACTCAACAAACTCTTCAGAGGTTTGCGTATCAGTTCTCCAAGTATAGCATCCTTGCACAATCCTTATTGACCATGACTGGAAAAGACATTTCACAGACGGCAAGATGACAGTATACTGCCTCGAGTTTATATAAATATCTTTCTCTAATGATCATAGAAGAGACCGCACGCCATGTCTAAAGCTACTTATACAACCGGTAACTAACCTATTAATGGGCCACGATCTATCTCTCTTTTGTTATGAAAACTCAATTCCTCAACGCCGGAATTTGTTGGGTATAGAACGATGCCTACCTTATCCACACCATAAAATGCAACCCGCCTTGCCCTAGTACACATATAGAAACCATACACGAATTAATACAATCTCACCAAAGAAATACACAATTGGCTACTCGCAAGCCGACTGCTATTTCATGCCATCACATCGCGCGAAGAGCTGGCGGTCATTCGCTTCCTCGCTTGTTTTGCGGCCCACTCACGGCTTTTCCGCCTGGATCTTTCCGCGGCTTCTTCGCGCGCAAATTTGGCAAGTGTTTCACGTTCACATTTCTCTCGCATTCGAATACCAGTCCAAGAATTGTCTCGCTGATATATCTCGTGACCGCGGAGTTTTTGCATCTGCATATCCTCTGTCGATAATAAGCTGCGTTTCTCGCTCGTACTACCCGTAGATGTCGAAGTTGCCCGACTATCCTGGATGGATCGTCCCTCGGCTCGTAGTTCCCGACCACGAGACTGCGGCTGGTTAATGGTACTGGAAAGGGCTGTTCGCGAATGATGATCTAGGGCTGTAAGTGGGCGCTTATTGGGCATGCGTACGTGGTCTGAGTTTTCTGGCAAAGCTGCCTTATTTTGTCGAACCCGGCTGGTTACAGTCTCACGGGGCACCGCGGCTGGCACTGCCCGTGAAGGTACAGGCCTTGCTTTGAACTCGCGTCTCCTCTTTTCTTCATCCTCTCGGGTTTTCAAATGAGCCTGGTGCTCTTCACGCTTACGACGTGATATGGCTTCACCAGGTAGCTCGAATACGGGCCGTGTTGGTAATTTGGCTGACTTGGCTCGGCGGAGGCTCGAGGCGGTTGGCTGGGTTGCACGCTGTGAAACTAGACGGGCTTCTCTCCTTTCTTTCAACTGTTGAGCCGCCGCCTCACCTGCTAGCTCAGAGGTCGTATTCGTATACCGTTTAGTTGAATTGGCGGCTAGGCTCTGCCCAGATGAGTTGGTACTCCCCCTCACTGCCGAAAAGTTTGGCGAGTGACGGCCAGGAGTTTTCTCCTCAACTTTCAATCTATGGGAGTCCAAGTTCATAGAAATCGCCTTGCGCAGAGCACCCCTGCGTGGTTCAGTAGCTGGTCTCACCCGGAGTGATGCAGAACTTGGTCTAGGATAAGTATGTTGCGCCTGAGGCGTCGCAAACCTAACGGATGGGACTGGCACTGTCAACTCAGTCTTGATGGCAGATTTTCTATTGGTAATAGGCTGTTCCGTGGGGATAAATTGATTAAAGCGGGCAACTTCATCAAATGCTTCGAGTTGGTCTTCTAGAATGTCCAATGCTTCGAAGGAATCCTCGATTCTCGTTACAGGCTCCCCTGGTGATAATGAAACGATCGACTCCGCGCGACTGTTATCTCCCCTAGTACACGATGTAGAGTTGGGAGTAATCTTATCGGTCTCAGGGACTGAACCATGTTCTGACGCTTTTATTGGCGTACTATGAGCCGGACGGACTTCTGGGAGAGCCATATTTGAGTCGTCGATTGGGCTACGAAAGATGTCCAGCACGTCGTTGGTCTCCACCACAGGCGTGACCAGCAGTAGGTATCTGTTAGTTGATAGAGTCTTGTTTTCCCCGAGGGTAGACTCTGGTAAGAGATTGCAGCCAAAGTACGCCTTATGGACTTGCGAGTCATTCACTACAGAGCGCTTATCACGCTGTGACTCGTAATCACTTGGAAGGTTAACAGCTAAAACCCACTCAAACAAGCCGTCACGATGCTTTGCTAATTGCTGTTCAAGACGTGGAATACTGCGAGCGGCTATTGACAGAGGATGACTCGAGTAACGATCAACTACACGCATGGATCTGGGTCAGCGGACACAGCGACAGGCAAAATCTAACAGTTGGGAGGTCGTATACCTGGAAGCTGAAGAATCCGGTGTGTATCATCTGGAGCTGTAGAAGCGGCAGGCACAGTCTGAATTTGTGACCCGGGCTTAGCAACAGCGTTGAGCACCTCAAACGTGCTAGGCGTGATAGATGGCCGTATTAGACGCCCCCCTGTGCGTTTGTCCTTGTTACTATTTTTTCGAGTGATGCCCCATTGTGAGTTGTATGAGACTGGGTTGAGCTCGTGAGTACCAAGTTGGCGGTTCTGAGATTGGGATATAGAAAGATGGCAGAGGGGATCAAGCTGGGAAGCAGGAGCCGGTTCTCGTTCTTGATGGCCTCGAAGGGGTTGGCTGTCTGGCGCAGGCGAGTCGCAGAGGATCTCGAAGCCCTGGCGACGAAATGAGGGTTTGTGAGACATGATATTAAACCCCAAATAGTTCCTTGAATGATCTGTCTACACTAGTCCCGTGAGAGTTAGCAATCTTGGGGAGCCCTGGTTGTCTGCCCTTTGGGTCGTAGCAAGGGGGACAACAGGGGGACCCTAACCTAAGCGCCCGTTGGTTGGGCCTTGTTGACTCTTCCAATGTCGTCAATGGTCAGAGAGGCCAATGGCTAAGATGATCAATTGATGCTGGAAACAATCGATTAAACTGTCAATGGACCGAAAAGCAGAGATTGATGCACGGACTGATGATGGTTGTAGAGGGGGCCATTGATCACAAGAGAGAAGGATGATTCCGCCTGTCTGCTCAACACCAAGCCGTGTGTCGTGTAAATAGACGGAAGGGTCTCGCCTGCTCCTCTTGAGCTTACATTTTGCTTGTTTGTCTACGCACCTTCCCGCCTCTTAGTGTGCAGTAGTGTACCTAGTACGGAAGGCATATCTAGCGCAGTTTCCCCAGCTCAAGCCCGCCCTGTAATGTGAGACATGTGCCTACCTAGGTACCTACTCACTTGATGTCCATGATTTAAGTAGAGCGAGTGGCAGCGAGACGACTACTAGGACATAAGCATACCTACTTAGGTACTACTTATGTAGGTACATGTAGAAATATACGCGTCAACGCGATCTCGTATTTAGAACACGGTCCATTTCCAACCCCGCATTTTACTGTATTATCTATATAACCCCGAAAATTGCATAACGCTGCAACACCTAGGCGCTGGACTTGGGCAACTTTGCTATCTGGTATGGCTTCATGCTTCAATATAGGTGTGACAACACCCCTTGGCTGGGTTCGAGGTCATTGTAGGTATCTATCTAGACCAGGCTATGTTTATGTCTTCAGTCTGGTATCAAAGACTCCCAGAGTATCTTCACCTGAAGGTGAGTGTCCTGGGCTCGATTTTCTGGAAGGGAAAATCGGCCGGTGCCTACCTAGGTACCTAGCTCTTGGAAATAGATAGTTAATTGATTGTCCCTTCACCTCGGGAATATAACGACCGTCCCTACCCGCCCTCTGTTGATGGACTTGGGCAGTTACATCTGTACCGCCTGAACCAATATCAAAGGGCGATACCTACATAGGTCTGTTGGTGGTAATTAGTTCACCTTCCTGCACTTTTGGACTACAGATGAGCATGTCTTCTCGCTCTGCGGGGAACTGGGTTTAACCTTTCAATAATCCGCTGCTGCCACACTAGGACAGGATAGAGGCCGCGTGTAGTTGCTTAATTCAAGGTGCAGGGGTAGGAGTGCTCTGCTCATCCTCCATTGCGAGTTCAGCCTGTGCTTGCAGAGCAGGTGCGTGTTCCGTCGGTATGCGGACCAGAGTTTGGGGCAGTGGCAGCTCGGTTTCTTCGATACTAGGTTCATCACTTTGTGCTGCTTGTGCGCCAGGGATTTTAGCTAAGAAAAGTCAATATCAGGGACAACAGAAGTTGGCATGCATATAGAGTCTATGGGTTCCCATACCCGACGCCATATTAATGGCTTGTAAAACATTATGCCAGTTGCCGATCACAGTTGCAATCGCTAGAAACACGAGTCTATTAGATTCTGATTCGGCCGGTCACATATACACTCGACTGTAGGCTCACGTACCTTCTGTCCCGTCAGACAATGTTGCCAGCTTTTGCTGTAGAGCTTCCATCTGGTTTGCGACGGCGGCACTAAGATCTCGAAGTTCCTTGAGATTCTCCAACTCGGCCTTTTTCTCATCTACACGCGCTAGGAGTGTCGCTGACTGGCCCGTAGACTGTGCGTTGGAATTACCACTAGCAGACCCCTGGCGCATATGGCCGGGCAGCGTCCTCGTCGAAAAGGCCATGGTGAGTGAACCCCCTCAGATACAGGCCTAGTCCACAAAGATACCTTGGCTCTCAACAACCCTCAATGTGATGTAGACTCGCTTTACAGGAGTGAGCTATAAGATAGCTATGAGGATGAGAGAATACCAAAGAACCAATGGCCTTGTCTAGAAACATTGATATAATTCTGCAATGCAAGTCGAACGCAGCTGTTGGTCGTGCTGAAGATCAGCAAGTGTCGTTTGAATGGGTGACGGCTCTTGAGAGCCGAGAGAGGCACATGGGTACTTACGAGTCAGAGGCTGAAGCGGATATGGCGCTAGTTCGTTTTAGGGGGTTTGTGCTTGTGTTGCCCTGACAACATCCCTTATTGTATTTCACTGGGTGGAGACGCACCACTTTTGACTTGGCAAGCCGGTCGGCAAAGCTTGACCAGATCTATCTATCATCGTCACTGTCCAAACAAATCACTGCCTTCCCATGCGCATCAGATGATAGATGCCTCACATTTGAGCTTCAATTCAGTATACTTACAGCGCAACAGCTCAATTGCCGCAAACCTATCTCATTAGATTCCAGGACCTTGCCATAGGTGCCTACTGAATGAATCTATTTACGCCATGGCAAGACTCAATGAGCCCACCGTGTCAACAGACACTCTAGAAACATGTAAGTAACGATCCTTTGTTTGATATACGTTGATCTCGTGAGGTGCTGATTGGTATCGTGGCTATAGTACGTCGAAAGTTCCTCCGTCAAAATAGAGACATCGCCCGCATCAATTCAACACAATCCCTCAAAATTCGAAATCTCGAGAACGAGTGTGCGCGACTCCTCTCCGAGAACCTCCAACTCCGAAGTGAAACCTTGCGACTGAAAACAGAGCTCCAAGGTAGTCATGCCCATAGAGTAGCCGAGCATGCGCTCCAAATCAAGGAGAAGATGGAAGCCCAGCTTGTGGAATGGGGTGCTATGCTCGCTGGACTTGGCCATGAGCCCCTACCACGGAACAGGTCTCCAAGGGCGCTGAAAAAGCCCAGGATTCAAAGAGATAGCATTGGCCGATCTCGTGTATCAGACTGGAGGAGACGAGAGACCATGGGGTCAATGGAAGATTTGGAAGCAGCAGCACTTCAGGAAGGCCGACTACCACCACTTTGGGAAAATAAAACGTACCCCCGCGAGACACTAAGGTGAGATTATACAAGCGCGCATTGCTACTCGGCGCTGACATGATAATAGTGGCGACGAGATTCTGGCTTTATGTTCTGAAGCGGAGGAAAGCACAGATTCGCTCGAACTTGGCTCTCCGCCAGTATCACGATTTGTCGACGAAGACCCTGCCAAACTTGATCTGTCCACGCTTTCGAAGCTACTGAAGCCTGCTATGAGCGAATCGGATACTAGTAGCCCGGAAGATACAAGTCATAAGCCAGCATCCTTTCCTGTTCCACTGCCAGTATCTACAACAGCCCAGAATACCCTTGAAGAGAAGGACAAGATTGAAATTGCCACGACAACTACAAGCAGTAGTACTACTCCAGGACCTGATTTGAATAATCAGGTTTTGAAGGCCAATCTAAAAAGGAAGAGTAGAGAAGACGACGAAAAAGAAAATGCCCCGTTGAATAAACCACCAGTACTTCCCGGTACAGCAGCCAAAAATCAGCTTAGCAAAACTACGATTGGAAAACCAAAACTTTCAGACCGACCGATCAAAGAACTCCCTACTAGCAAAAAGGATATTCGGGATAAACCTTCGCATGCACAGAGAAAGCCACTGAGCGCCAAGAGCTCGAATGAGGCTCTCAGTTCTCCGAAGAAGTCAGCACACGCTCAGGTTGAAGGCAAAAAGGCGAAATCGAAAGCGGCGGAGAAAGGAGACGAGCCAGCTAAAAGTCACGTAAGGCTTTCGAAAGAACCAGCGCCAATTGAAATACCACCACCTAGTCTACCGGAAGCTGCCCTCCCTGTTGACATTGAGCCCGAAAGTCTCTCAGCCGAACCGACCGTGACCGCCCCGGATTCACCTGAGCTGTGTGCTATAAGGGAAGAGATGAATGACACACCGCCCCCCGTTGATATCTCGTCGAGGGGAGAGACCACGCGAGCTAACCGGCGTGCTCGAGCGGCTGTCAGCTACGCCGAGCCAAATCTTCGAGATAAGATGCGAAGGCCTAATACGAAACAACTCTTTGATGCAGTGACTAGTGAAAACAAGAATGCTCGTCGGACTAGCCAATGCCAAAGAGATGAGCCACCTTCCGCTACCTCTTCGGTAGCCAAGTCCGGGGCCCGATCAGGATCCTCTCGCAAAGACTTCGCATCACAAAAGATTTCTCATGATGGTTGCGGGGACATTGATATGATGGCAAGCCCCCTAGCTCAAAAAACCACTCGTACATCTACTCTTGAAGAGCTCCCAAGTACTGTCTCAACTCACAGGAAGAAGAAAGATTCAGCAACAACAAATCAAACCAACAGGGATGATGAAGCACCGGGCAGTCCAATATCAAAGGCTGCGAACCGCCGCCTCAAGGAAATTGCGGCCCGGGAAGTTGAGGTTGCCAAAATGTTTGACGAAACTGATGTCTATGAGTTCACTGAGTCGTCACCAAATGATATCACGAAAGAATCAGCGCCGGAAGATAAGAGTAGAAAGGCAAAAGGTGGCCGCCAATCACGATCGCGAAGATTATCATCCATCGCCAGCGATGATTTGCGGTTCGACGGCATTAACGTAAGCGAGATGGCAACCGCCAAGAACACGAACTTTCGCAAACGAGCCTCCATGGCCGCCATCAGATCCGCCAAGAGCGACCTCGAGTACCTCAGGGATGAAAGTCCTTCCGTCGAGGGAGATAGCGTGTCCACGGCGGACAGCGAGGGGACGATAACCCGTGAGAAACCAACGAACAATCGCAGGCGGACCGCCATGATGTGATATGATAATGGACATGCGCACACGCACGCCTTGCTTTCTTAGCTTAACCGTCTTATTATTGCTTCTCATTTTACCGCTGAGTTAACTGGTGTCTGGAAGCGGGATGGGAAAACTGCCTCATTGAATAACGAACGCTAGATTTACTTGTTTTTCCCACACGGCGTTAGATAGTGAGCGAGCTGGATATGCTCCTTCAGTTTGTCTAATGCTGTGGCCTCATTCATAGCGTTGGAGTACCGCGCGCTGTTTTAGTCTATAGGATATTATGATACCAAGCCAGTTCCGAGATTATAATGCAGTTTGTTTATTATGTGACGTTTTGCTCCGTTGTCTGTGGTTGTATCCCTTGATTGTTAGAAGGTGTTAGTCACCATGTTTCAATACTAACATTTTTGAGATAAGAGTTCCCTCTTCACAACCCGTCTGCCATTTGGAGGTGTATCGCACTGCGCTTGATGATAGCAATTGTCACTATCCCAGTGTACAATATGAGTATAAGCTATCTGAAACTAAAATTGGCCTGGAATGACTTCTTGTAATCCCGAGCTCTCTTCTATCTCAACAAACATATCACAAGCTCATGTTTATCGCACGGAAAATGTCATTGGTTTTAACTTGATTACATCATGTCTTACGTTGTCTTTGATGGACAATCTAATCTCACAGCTAAAGATACTATTATTTGCGCAAAAACAGGGCGAATTTGGAAATGATCGCGGTTCATAGATTAGCTATTCGTTATCTTGGGATATCTCATGTCTCTCGTTAGACCAGCAATCTTTCACACTCATGAGGAGCCTCCTGTTGGCTCTACAGGTTTTGTGTAAGTCACTTTCTCGACCGCCACGTTCTCTACGCCATTAGCATCTTTCCTCAACTGATATACGTAGAGCGTGAGTGATATTCCTTGTACCTGCGAGGATTGATCAGCATACATAATCATTATTAACAGCTTATGAGTGGAATAGAACTTGATGGCTAGCCATCTAGGCTGGGATGAACCCCATTCCCAATTTAGGAAGGAGAAGGAGAAGGAGAAGGACACTCACATCCATTAAGCAAAAGCTCGGTACCATTTCCTCACCCTCCTTCGTCCAGCCTGTTGTGTAGGCCCCGGTTGCACTGCCGGGGTTGACGAAGAACTTGTCCATGTACTCGAAGGCGTCAAAGCGGTGGGTACCGCCCCAACATAGCACATCGACATCGAGTTTGTTCGCCTCGGCTAGCAACAGGTCGGGTTCGGTGGACACAAGCGTAAAGCCTTCGACGAAGCCGATGCGCAGCGATCCGTGGGTAACAACCTGCGAGAGCGGCAGTGACGTGGCCTCTACATCGAAACGCCCCTTCACGATCTTAAGGTCCGGCGCAATCGATCGTAGGTACTCGTATGTATGCTTGTCTGTCAGGTTCCCTAGACATAGTGTCTGTCCAATCTTGCCAGGTGACAAGAGTTTCTTGAACTAGTGACACGGGGACGCCTTGTTAGCGGCGCACAATGCTTCTTGCGATGGTTGCGTAAGTGTAGGTACGTACCTTTTGCGGTATATCAAGTGCTCGGTCTGGTATATGTAGGTCCCCAATGACGAGGATTAGGAAGGCCATTGTGTGGGTGGCGCGTCTATGGCGCTGTCTTGCGGGCTTCCGAGGGCCGTCAGGAGAGGGAAGAGTGAGCGAGGTTGAGCAGGTGTTGATTCTTAGTTGCGTCGCAAGTGCTGGGAACTGGGTGATAATCGAACGTAAAGTTGGTATGCCGAAGAATTGTCGTGGAAATTTCACCAACTAGGTCCTGTGCTGTACCAATGTTTTTGTAAAGCTCCCTGACGGCGCGTGGATCACATCACGGATGCCTGCGCCTACCAGAAGCTCTAGGGATTGACGTTGTTACGCAGCCACAAGAGAGGGAGAGCTCGAGCCCCTCAATTCGAGCTAAGCATTGAACCAGGAGACCCCTGTCAATTGGTAGGTAACTGTACCTACTGGTAGGTAGTGCTGTGCATTGGTACCTACTCTTATAGTACCTAACCTAGAGCTAGGTACCTACCTCAGAGCACTTAGTTCATGTAAAGTGCGCTGTCCACGCCAAGGTACATGCCTACCTACAGTATATCTACCTAGTAGGTACCGAGATACGGGGATCTGGAAGCTTCAAGTCCATCCAACTAATTATCCAGCGGAGCATAAGTAAAGATACCAGGTGAGGAGAGTAACATGGACGAAAGAATAGATAAATTAAATCCATGAGAAGATGAGAAGGCGACTGGGCAGTAGCTGTTCGATATTCAACCGTGACGGAACCTTAAGGCGTCAGCATATGGTATGTCACTGCAGCTGCATGCCTGACACTCCAGATGTCAAAGATTCAAATTGTGAAAGCAGCAATAGAAGAGTTTCTATATATATATATATATATAAATAGAAGCAGTTCCTATATGATTTATAGAACTAATACACTGACGGTAAATATGTCTTTCGATATCAGCTCTCTCACCTTTCGACTTTTTCCTATTCAGCGAGTAGACAGGGGTTGTTAGCTTTACATAGTAGACAAGCTTGACTGGATACTGGATACTCTACTATGTAAGCACAGGACGCTAAATTAAATGTTTTGCTTTTAAACCCATGCCGATGGCGGAAGAGCAATTGTTAAGTAATCAAATGAAGCGCGAGGTTCGGGGAATAAGATGCCCATGTGTCGTCGAAAAAGGAATTTTCTCGGCATGCAATTGCTACTGCTTTTAAGAGAACAGTCTTCATTGAGACTCAATCTTTCAGCTGATGACAACAACGGCATATATGCAGCCGAAAATAAGTGTGGGAAAATTGATGAATCAAGAATAAAAAAAGATCGCGAGGAATAAACCTGATCTTTGTCGGTATAGGATTCCTTAGTCGCTCGCGATCTAGTCTACCCGTCTCGGAAAGGCATCCGACCCTCCTTGGCGGTTAAGTATTCAGCTGGATTCCCTCTTTAGGTACGGTATGCTTCCTGCCCCTCCAAATGTCTTTGCCCAGGAGCCCCTCTTGAACTCTCTCCATAGCGCATGTGCAGTATGGCTTATTCAAGGTTTGCCAGAGCTGTGCTCGGCAGCACGCCCCGCCTCGGCATCGGTGGGAGCCCGAAGATGGTGTCTAACAACAACCCCGCGTTGCGGCTATCCATTATATCACAGCACCTCACCGGCCAACCTCAACCCTCTTTCAGCACTTCCAGCCCTTCTTCTTGCCACAGTCAAAGCCGCAGCATCTCATCGTCACCGCCGCGCTCGAACATGTCGTCCCAGCCAAGTCATCCCACCTTGTTGATTCCGGGCCCCATCGAATTCGATGATGCCGTGCTACAGTCCATGAGCCACTACAGGTCTGTCCTCCTTCCCCCTGTTTTACTGAGACATGAGATAACAGAGATATTCTGACCTACATCCAGTGAGTCGCATGTAGGACCCGGTTTCGTCGCGACATTTGGAGAGACACTTTCAATGCTTCGCAAGCTCTTCCAGACCACGTCACCATCATCGCAACCATTCGTCATTTCCGGGTCCGGCACTCTGGGTTGGGATTTGGTAGGAGCCAATTTAATTGAGTCTGGCGAGAATGCGCTTGTTCTCAGTACCGGCTACTTTGGGGATAACTTCGGCGATTGCCTCAAAGTCTACGGTGCCAATGTCGATATATTAAAGGCCCCAGTCGGAAGTCGGCCGCAACTCCCTGAGATCGAGCAGGCGCTGAAAAGCAAGAAGTATAAGCTACTTACCGTCACTCACGTCGATACGTCTACCGGCGTATTGAGTGAATTGAAGAACCTCTCAGAAACGGTTAAGCGCGTTTCCCCCGACACATTGCTCATCGTGGATGGTGTGTGCAGTGTTGCTAGTGAAGACATTGACTTCGATGCCTGGAAGCTGGACGGTGTCATTACAGCGAGCCAGAAGGCTATCGGATGTCCCGCTGGTCTGTCGATATCTATGTTCAGTGGCAAGGCCATGGAGGCTCTGGAGGCGAGAATGAGCCCACCGGCTTCTTATTTCGCTTCTATGAAGAACTGGCGGCCTAGTAGGGCAACTCATTACTACTACCCGTATTTAGCCGATAGCTAACACGAGTCTAGTTATGCAAAATTACGAGGCGAAGAAGCCGTCGTACTTTGCTACACCATCCCCCCAACTCGTCCACGCCTTGCACACGGCCCTGTCCCAAATCCTCACAAAACCCCTATCTGAGCGATTTGCGAAGCACACCGAAGTCTCTGACAAGATCAAGAAGGCTGTCACGGACCTTGGACTAAAGCAAGTTGCCAGCAATTCCGATGACCAAGCCCATGGCATGACCGCCATCTACCTGCCTGAAAGCGTTAAGGCGACAGATTTACTCCCCAAGCTCGCAAACAGCGGCGTTATCTTTGCTGGTGGCATTCACAAGGAGATCGCAGCCAAGTATGTTCGGTTCGGACACATGGGTGTCAGTGTTGTAAGTTGAAATCATCAAGCTCATAAGACATAAGCACATTGAGTCGGGACACTAACTTGCAACAGACCGACCCTGCGCGGGGGGATATTGACAAGGCAATCAATGCCCTCAAAGATGGCCTCACGGCGTGTGGATATCAAACTTCATAAGTGACGTCATTTAAATCGAGCGAAGCAGCAACACCGCATAATTATGCATCTTGTAACCACATATTTCCAAAATTACAACACTAGAGCACATAGTCATAAGACTAGGTATTTACGGGGTTACGGGTAATTCAAGGAAAGGATGTAGAGTAATAGACAGTGCGGGTATTTTCAGAGTGTCAATATAATGTGATGGGTTTGAATTTTTTTAAAACCTTGGAGAAATACTCGACTAAGCCATAGTATTAAACTCAGCAGTGGCCAGTTCGTAACCATCTCCAGTAAACATCAAATCATCTATTGGCTTTATGGTCAGATTAATGTGGTTATAGAGACCGTAGCGTACCTAGTATCTTTTCAGTGATTAAATTGGGTGCATCAAGCCATCAACGAACATTTTTGACTTTCTCTAATGGTCAACCTAGTGGACTAGTGATGATTAGGCGAGACATGTATGCGCTTACCTACTCGGAGCTGTTATTATCAAGGGCCGTTTGCTGGTGTCGTACTCGTTTGTTAGCACTGACGAACCTTTGTGAGATCGGAGGCTCATTTGATAACGCTACATGTAAGAAAGCCAGGGAGAATGAGTGTGTCACCTGTCTGAAACGGCTTGTGCCTTTTCAAATGAAGGGATCTAATAATCTCAATGGCATACCACTGATGTCAAAGTAATATGGAATGACTGCGGACGTATTAAGGAGGAAAAAACAACATTTCAATTTGAAGTTAGGTTAAGATATGTTACCCTGACCTCCAATTACTGGTCCTGTACAGCATGGACATGGAATTCTACTGTATTTGAAAGGTTAGCAGATTATTCCACCACAATCTAAATTTCCTTCCCCGTGAAGAATGTCGTAGCAGCTATAATTTCTGTGCAAATGTCTCCTACTGAATTAAACGTTTCCTTCACATGGTAAAAATGCTGGGCGAATTGACTGACCACAACTACTACCATAACAGCTCATGGATGACATAATCATGGTTAAATTAAGGATGTCAACACTCAGCTATCTACCTACATAGTACAGCTCGGAGCTTAATATTCCACAATTGTGGAACTCGGCAGTATGAGGTAGGTATACTACATAGAACCGAGTATATACATACATATGTAGGTAAGCAATCAGGCAAGTCAGCCAGAAATCAGACAGACACACAAAGGCCGGCAGAACGGTACCAAATGAGCTGAAGCCGGAACCAGCCCTGTGCTGCACGAACCTTTACTTATATACATACCTAAACTGATACCCATGATATCTACATACATGTATGTGCCTATCAATGGAGGTATACCTGCATAGTACCTAGGTAGGTAACTAGAGCAAGTACCTACTCTGTAAGGCACCTAACCTACCTGGGTCTAAGCAGCTTGGGCAGTCGCCGGGTTCCCCTCCCCCACCTGCGCACACCTACAAAGTACCTACTACCGATACAACCAGCCGCCTCTCGCTTTTACCAACGCTGCCACCGAGCCGTCTCTCATCCACCTAATCTCGCCAGCCTTTGATCTCTGCCCACCCGATCATTCATATTTTGCCTTTCTCAGACCTGGAGTTTGTCTCTTGGCGATATCTGTGTTGTCGAGCCCTTGCGACCACCGTTAACATCCGAGCAGCCGCGTAGTTCCCTGACCATTTCTGCCTCCATCTGCCCCGTTATTGCAAGCCTCCCGCGATCGTGAGGCGTCATAGCCTTCTTTATACCAACCCCCCCAAAGTTCCTCTTTGACCATGGCGCCCAGTATCGAGGAACTGGACCTCATGGTCCAGTCTTTCTATGACGCTCGAGGCGAGCAGGTACGTCGGCGTACCGTTTTATCCAGCTTTTTTCCTCTTGTCTGCCAAGTAGGATCCCAGCTTCTGTCGCGCCAGAGCTACTAACGCCGTTCTCTTCCCCGCCTTAGCAAAAAGCTGCCCAAACCGCCTTGAACCAGGTTAGTGATGCGCCCGCAAGCTTACCCTCCCCTCAGTGCGACTGTTGACACTTGTGCATATAGTTCAAGGAGGATCCCGACGCCTGGCTTCTCGTCGACAAAATCCTCAGCGACTCGAAACATCCCCAGACTAAATGTGCGTCTTAAGCTATATACATAGTACCTCGGCTCTGTATTAATGCTGACACTATGCAGATCTGGGTCTACAGATATTGGACAATGTTATCATGACAAGATGGAAGGTCCTACCCCGCGAGCAATGTCTAGGTACTTTTGTCTCCTTGAGTTTGAGGGGATATTACCATGACTGACCGTCGTGCAGGTATCCGCAACTTCGTTGTGAACTTCATCATCCAGGCCTCTAACACCGAGGAGTCCCTCAAGACACACCGGACGCTTCTCAACAAACTCAACCTTGTTCTCGTATCCATCCTCAAACAAGAATGGCCTCACAACTGGCCAACCTTTATCAACGAAATTATTGCTGCCTGTCGGACCAACCTGTCCATCTGCGAGAACAACATGATAATTCTCCGCCTCCTTTCCGAAGAAGTATTTGACTACTCTGCCGACCAGATGACATCGGCCAAGACGAGAAACCTCAAAACAACAATGTGCAACGAGTTCTCGCAAATCTTCCAGCTCTGTCAGGAGATTCTTACATCTGCCAACCAGCCGAGCTTAGTTAAGGCCACGCTAGAGACGCTTTTGCGCTTTTGTAACTGGATTCCTCTCGGGTATATCTTCGAGACACCCTTGATAGAAACCTTACGAACCCGTTTCCTTGAGGTCCCGGAATTCCGCAATGTCACACTCCAAGTGTTCACGGAGATCGGTGGCCTAGTAACCAATGGTCCAGGACAACCAAATACCTACAGCGAGCAGCTAGTCAAGATGTTTGTCGATGTCCTCACAACTATCGCCGGAATCATCCCTCTAGATCTCGACCTTAAGTCTACCTACCCACAGAGTAACACCAGGGACCAAGAGTTTTTGCAGGATCTGGCCCTTTTTTTGTGTAACTTTTTCGGGCAGCACGTTGACGTAAGTTTCCTAGATTCCCCTCGTGAAATGGTCTACTAATATCAGTTTCCAGCTTGTTGAAAAGCTCCCTAACCGTGACTTCCTTACGCATGGTCACTTCTACCTTATTCGAATATCCCAAATTGAGGACCGCGAAATTTTCAAGATCTGCTTAGACTACTGGTTGAAACTCGTGCAAGAGCTGTATGAGGAGATGCAAACTGCCCCTATGCAGGATCTTAATTCAATGTCTATAGCAGTCTCGGCTGGATCAGGCAGTGGTGCTATCAACCCTGCAATACTCGAAAACTTACCACTTCGAATGCACAAGTATAAGGAAGTGCTATCCAACCTTCGTGTGGTCATGATCGAGAAGATGGTCCGTCCTGAAGAGGTCCTCATTGTTGAAAACGATGAGGGTGAGATTGTCCGCGAATTTGTCAAGGAGAGTGACACAGTACAGCTATACAAGACCATCCGAGAGTGTCTTGTCTACTTGACACATCTCGACGTCATAGACACAGAAAATATCATGACAGAGAAACTTCAAAAGCAGGTAGACGGGACCGAATGGTCTTGGCACAATTGCAATGTCCTATGTTGGGCAATTGGATCGATTTCACTAGCTATGAATGAAGAGACGGAGAAACGTTTCCTAGTCACAGTTATAAAAGACCTCCTGGGACTTACAGAGATGAAGCGTGGAAAGGATAACAAAGCCGTTGTTGCTAGCAATATCATGTATATCGTGGGCCAATACCCGCGTTTCTTGAAGGCTCACTGGAAGTTCCTTAAGACGGTCGTGAATAAGCTCTTCGAGTTTATGCACGAATCTCACGAAGGTACGTTATGAATATGTACGTTTGACATCAATTCTAACAGAATGACAGGTGTTCAGGACATGGCCTGTGATACTTTTATCAAGATCGCACGCCAGTGCCGAAGGCATTTCGTGGCTTTGCAGCCCAGCGAGAATGAGCCATTTATCGAAGAGATCGTTCGGAGCCTCCAACGTATTACCTGCGATCTTACTCCGCAACAAGTCCATACATTTTATGAGGCTTGCGGATATATGGTAGCTGCCCAGGGCAACAAACACCAGCAAGAACGGCTATTGGCTGAATTGATGAATGCGCCTAACGCTGCGTGGGATGAAATTATCAGGGCCGCCACATCAAATCCCCAAATTCTAGAAGATGCCGACACCATCAAGATCATCGGCAATATCATGAAGACAAATGTCTCGGCCTGTTGCTCGATTGGCCCTTACTTCGGACCCCAGATTGGCAGAATATACTTAGACATGTTGCAAATGTACCGTGCAACGAGCCAACTTATTTCCGAAGCTATTGCTCGTGATGGTAAGGTATATCGGTGACTACATGGATGACAACCCGGCTAATTGTGTTAGGCGAGTTGGCGCCGCGAATGCCCAAGGTTCGAGGATTGCGAACTATCAAGAAAGAAATCCTCAAATTGATTGAAAGCTATGTGGATAAAGCCGAAGATCTGCAGGCAGTGCGCCAACAGATGGTTCCCCAGCTCCTCGACTCTGTCCTCGTTGACTACAACCGTAACGTTCCTGGTGCTCGGGATGCCGAGGTGCTAAAGGCCATGTCAACAATTATCACACGACTAACAGTAAGCTGATCAACCAATAACCCGCCCCATTCGCTATAAATGGGACAGAAAACACTAACCACTTAATAGGGTCTCATGGAGGATCAAGTCCCCGTTATCATGCAGAATGTCTTCGAGTGCACACTGGAGATGATTAACAAGGATTTCTCCGAGTTTCCCGAGCACAGGGTAGAGTTCTTCAACCTGCTCAGAGCTATAAATCTTCACTGTTTCCCTGCCCTTCTCAAGCTCGACAATCGCCAGTTCAAATTCGTCATTGACGCTTGTATGTGGGCAAGCAAGCATGACAACCGGGACGTTGAGGGCGCAGGGCTCAACATGTGCTTGGAACTTGTCAGCAACATTGCTGAGAAAACAGATTTGCAAACTGCTAACGCCTTCTTCCAACAATTCTTTGTTACTATCCTGCAAGACGTGTTCTTTGTTCTGACAGACCCTGATCACAAAGCTGGTTTCAAAACCCAGTCATTATTACTAATGAGGATGTTCTACTTTGTACTCCCTGCTGATGGGACAACACCAAAGATACAAGGTCCTGTATATGTTGATCAAGCACCTGCTGGGACCAGTAACAGAGATTTCCTCGCAGACTTCGTTGGAAGGCTCCTGCGCAATGCTTTCCCTAACCTTCAGGCGTAGGTCTCCTAACCGCTGGTACGTACCCAATATCAAGCTAATATGTGGCACAGGGTTCAAATCACTGCGTTCATAGAATGTTTATTCACACTAAACAGTTCGTATGAGAAGTTCCGTCTTCAAGTCCGCGACTTCCTTATCTCTCTCAGAGAATTCGCCGGAGACAACGCCGACCTTTTCGTTGTTGAAAAAGAACAGGAGGCTAGAGACAAGTTGACAGCTGATCATGAGCGACGTGCCAAAGTTGGTGGTCTCCTAAAGCCATCAGAGATTGAAGATGATGAGCTATGATTGGATTAACGAATTGAGGAATGAGTTTGCGCGGCATCGGAGCCCAAGTTAGCACTCCTCAGATCCCAGTCAAGCCATAAGATGGGCAGCTGGAATATCTCCGAGTTATGATACACTCTGGGTAATGGAGGACAGTCTAAGCAGTCGCTCCTTTTCTTGATTGCCTCGCCACGTCGCCGCGGAACTTGGCTGTTCAAAACTGTATGTGATACCAAAAAATGATAGAAGTATATGTCTGTGAGGTAGCACTACCGCAGACTGCTTGGACGATTCGTTTGAGAGAAACCTGGCGGCCTTACTCCTTTCTCGTTTGTCTGAGAGTATGGAGGCGGCAGAGAGGTGTGGCTGTTGGAACTCCACGAACAATAAATACGATGCAGTTGTTCGTACACCCGAGCCATATGCATCATGGAGAGGCAGTAGCTGGTCCTGAAGGGTCCACTATAGGGCATGAAGATATACTCGTCCGATAAGGTTTCGGAATGAGAGAAGTAGCTATTAAAGACAATTGACTAGGCAAAAGACCGTCAAGGCGGATATGCCAAATACTAGTCAGTAAATTTCACCCTTTTCCCATCAAAAGATCCATCAAGTATGAGGATCATGTGTGAGTGAAAGTGCTAGGTTATATAGAAATTCAATGTTAGACTACCAGTTCTCCATATTTCGAGACGTGCCATCCACTATCAAGTTTCAATCTTGATCCCTCAAACAAGCGAAACACTAAAGGAGTGACAGTAGCAAACCTTTTTGATAAACTCCTGAGACTTCTTGACAATGCAAAGAATATGTATGTTGCTATATTGCTTATAAACTATCTCCACTAAGTACAATATCGTGATTTCTGAATAGCTGTGTGCACTTGGCCTCACTCCATCAGGTAGCCGTGGACAACAGAAGTGCCAGTAACTAGCTACTCAAAGTTGCTGAGTGGTTGGCATTATGGCGAGGATTCAGTCAAGGGGGGATGAGCGGCATTGGTAGTATGATTGACGTTGGCATCGAGCAGCATGTCTTCTTCATTCCGCGGGGATATGGCAAGCTTAATATTTAGGTATGTGGCACGTTTACAAAATTGAGTTCGTGAGTCACGAGTTACTGTTAGTGCAGCGGAACTTTCATGTCGATATAGAATGAAGACAAGCACTCGTATTGAGAAATCGCGGAGATGTTTGTTTGATAATTTAATTTCTTTACCCCTAAAGCATCATTTGATTGAAGGTATCTTGCTATATCATGATTCTCTTCCGATCAAAAGGGGTTGGATGGGCCAGGTGACTCAGAGATGGTGGCCAACTTTGCTCCTCTTGCTAATAGAATGGAGGGCCCTTTGAGGGCATTATGATTTCGAACACGTATAGTAAGCTTTAAGGGACGGCTTCGTGCGTCTTTGATGGCGCTCATTAATTGCAAGGATTTTTACTCGGTTACAGCACATAAACTCATAGATGAATACTTATAGATCTCTAAATTGATTATAGGGGCTATCAAGTAGTGGGAGGTATATGATGATGGAATCGATCAGATCACCATCTACTAAGTCTCCTTCGACGCTTTTTATTCCTTGAACTCACGGCAATATATGCTGGGACCCCAAGTCACAGTCGGCAATGCACTCCCATTCATCCAGGCTTTGCATGATTCCATCTGAATCCAAGCATGGTAGGGGGTTTATTTTCTACTCATATTGACACGCCTTTAAGGTCTAGAAGAATTGGTCTTTCAATGTGCCGTTCAGGGTAACTTCACGCCCCTTTCTGTGTACGCCCATCCCACGACGCAACCGTGGGGTCTCTCCCAAGCCTCACAATCCCGAATGTCTGTGCGCGTAGGCGAGCACCCGTCGCAAGGCGATCTCAGCACTTGGCGGAGGTGATCTGGACTGGTCTATGGCCTGTTATCGACTGATTTCGCGCGAGGAGGAAAACTCTGAAAGCAAACAAATAGTCGCACACATGCTCAGCCAGTCATTCTGGTTCATTGGTTGAGCCTAGGAGTATGGTTTGTCCATCTGAATGGGCGGATCAACACGGGGGCGCACGACAGGAAGACTGGCGTTTATGAGGGTTTATCCTCGGCCCCTTTTCCCTCTTTTCATGTAGAGGTGAAGCGTGGGACGAAAAAACTGTGTACATCACGCGGGCAAAAGCAAGTAGACACGAGGCAAACATTCGTTTCTAGAGAGGCGGTGGTCGTGCATGCAATAACGGGCGAGCGGCAATCAAATTCAACGACAGCCCGAGTGCTTTCGTTACAGAGCAGAGCATAACCTAGGTATTTTACACCCTTCTTCCGTCGTATACGCCAGGCACTCCACTACTAATTCTCCTTACGACTGCCAACGTGCACGGTGGACGGAAAGGGTGATGATGAACGGTTGTCAACAGGGGTAAAGGGGGACGAGAACGGGTTGCTGTCATCATCACCGCGTAAGTGGCTTCCCGAGCTTATTTGGTGAGGTAAGTGTAACGAGTTTGTTGGGAGCACTACATGGAACCGGAGGGTAGGGCGAAGGTGAGAGGGAGGGCAACAGATCGTGATTTCGGACGGTTGCTGTTCTGGTTTCTCGATCTGCTGCATACTCGTGCTACGGTGAACGTATGTACATAATGTGATTTGCATGTGTGTATGTGTTATTATGTAGGTATCCTTTACGTATACCACCCGGATGAGTGAATCGAGAGGGGAGGGGGTCTGGTTAGAAGAGATCTTGGAATACAGACATCTGTATCTCCTGGTTGGTTCTATTAGTGCCACTGGATAATACGTTTTGTTTCTCTCCTCCGTCTTTGTCATCAAACCACGCAAACATGGCTGAGGTCGACGTAGCCTGGGTATTTGTGACTACACGCTGCATGCAAATATGATGCACACGCACAGATGGTACATTGAATTGGAATTGTAATTTGAATGCGGACAGTCTACTCCCGAGCGGCTCAGTGCAGATACAACCTAGAAATTCAAATGATAATTTCGCATGACCGGGCTTACTGATCTCATTAAAAGCGAGGCTATATCTCCCATGCTTCCTCGGAAAGTGAAGTTTGCCTACCTAGCCCCCTCCCTACCCATCCAACAATAACATTTACTGAGCAGCCTGCATGATTTGGGCGTGTAGATTAGGCAGGTCTCTCCTATCACCATGTCGTTTCACATTGCGTGCATATTATGAGAGACATGTGAGTTTGTGGGTGTGCGGGAGGTACTTTGAGCACCTTCAATACCTCCTTGTCTTACTACCAACGCCAACGCCTACCCAGTACCTACGCACGAGCCAGCCGAGGCTTAGATGAACAAGAGGAGATGCCACCGGCAACTAAATTACTTACTTTTCCTAGGCTTGCGTGTATTATATTGCCTGCCACGAGAGAGCGTCGGATATACATGCATGTTTGCTGTCGGTATTCTCACCTCACTCTGCAATGTACATTATATGTGAAGCGAAGCGAACACAAGGGGGTTTCGCCGTCTATGGATTGTTTCGAGGAATCGGGCTACTTCTGCTCCGAACAAAAGACCACACACTTACCTCGGGCCGCTTACTGAGATACGCACATAGAGATACCGTTGTTTGTGTTTCCTGGTGAGCTTTGCACCCAGCTCCACGGGTTGGGCTGGGGCCGGACTGGGTTGTGACTGTGACGGGACACATAACCACTAGTTCTCACGGGATCTGCTCACCACTTTCGGCGCCACCATGGTATTGGTATTGTCACTTGGTGTAGAGTCGGTTACAAAATGTGGATATGGCGCACAGCCCTTTCCGCTCACCTTGACAGGGCGGGTATGCCGCTCAGCTAGCCATAACAGTAGGGAAATCTCACGCCATTCATCTCACATTACTTATCCCGAAGCATGAATACCCACGGCTCTGGGTCGAGAAGGATTCCGGGGTCTGCTGCGGCTGGTAAATTTCTTGTTTCTTGTTCCTGACGTGAGAGTGTAGGTGTGGGCGCGCATTGTATCGTTATGTTACCTGCAGCACAGCACGAAGGATTGCCGCTCATATCCTTCAACTCATGACGCTATATTCAGGAAAGGTCGGAATATGCGGTATGCTATGAAAAGATAGCTTCGTAATCTCGTTGAGCACGTTGAATTTAGCGCCGACAATCCTCTTTCGATAGCCGGCGGATCCCACTCCTATGATAACACTATGGTGGCACCTATTGTGTCCCCAAGGCTCCCTTCCTGTGGGTTTCAACAGCCTGGTGTGTATTGGTCGGAGAGCGATGTTGTTGCTATCTGGGCTGAAGTGCAAACCGGAGTAAGGGCGCCAAAAGCGGCAGGCCTAGGCCGAGACGTTAGGTAGTTTCGGCCATCAGACAATCAAGCCCAGACGAAAAGTTTATGTGTGTTGGTCAGCACGCCGAAGGTGCACCAAGCCACGGAGCTGCGGTTGTAAGCTAACAATATTCAGGCTAGGGGGTGTGCGTGTGAGAATGCGGTGGTGGGTGTGCGAAAGAGAGAATGGACCTTTTGTAACGGCAGGCAAACCAGACCAACCCAGATCCAGGTAGAACGAAACAGAACAGAGCATGATCTGGGTGTATAGAAAGCAGCTATCACCGAATTGGTAGAGCAGTAGTCTAGCGAAGTTCCAAGTCCAGATACCTAACTCAGGTGGTGTCGTTTGTGAGTCTACGTATTGAAATTCTCAATTCTCGTGAAGCTGTTCCCCTTCCCTCTTCTTCAAAATACAAAAGTCGGTTTTTTGGTAACGGAGAGCCGGGCATACAGGGTGGCGCCAGAGCGTTACCACGTTGTCGGCGCGCGTGGCGGCCAATGGGCAATTGACGATGGTTTGACGAGGGGTCCGACGATGGATGAGAGACGAATCCTACGGGATCTCTCACGATGTGGACAGACTAAAGTATCCACGTACTAGCTCTAACTACTTACGTGCACCAGTTCGGCGGCTTGCCGATTCTTGGCCTGCCGCCCCAAAACCGATCGCCGTCCTAACTCAGTCTGGCTATTGACAATCGCGCAAGGCTACCTATACCACACTATTTCCAAAACGGCGTGGACAGTAATCTCGACGGGGCGTGCTGCAAGGACAAGAACTCAGCTCTTGGTCGCAAGTTGTGAGTGGATAAGAGCAGCATGTCTGTCTGCAGGTAAGCGGCGTAGGAATAATGTGTGATTTCAATGCCGCAGACTGGAAAAACAACAAACAAATAGACTCAATTCAAGTGTTCGTCCTACACTAGTATCAAGTCTAGCCCCCTTCCTTCAGGGGAGAGCAAAGTCTGTGAATAGTCTCAGGCTCTCAACTCGGTTACTGTCGGTGAGCGAAGTTGAGGATTGGTCAATTGATTGATAATCGGTGCTCTTGAGACCGGTCCACCACATAATTCTCATAGTATGCACCTACCTACTTAGTAGACATTACCCTACAGTAGTTCGCGGCGGGAAGGGCGGCATGCCCGCTCTGGCCCTCTTAGACATGACAATCTTGGAAAACGAGGGTTGGTTCTAGCCCCAAAGGCACGTAAGACCAGCTGGCGAAATGAGGTTAATGGCATTTTGGTTGTGTTTTATTTTTGGACCGCCAG